ATATTGATATTCATAGTTGCTCTCCACACCGAGAGCACAAATGTCAGTGAAAACGGCCTTGATATATGCTCTCATTCTCCCCTCTTCCTGTCGCTCCATCCCTCTTTCTCCACGTCTCTCTTCCCCCCTTCTTTGTTCCCGTTCACCGGACGCTCGGTGCCTGCTGCTGCCGGAAAGATGGGGGGAAAAAAAGTGAACTGGATGATGGAGTGAGTGTAGGACATCATGCTGTTACTCATTTGGGCTTTTAATCAATCAGCAATGAGGGTTAAAGCTATCTTTCCTGTGACGACTGCAGAACCTTGACTTTGGTGTTGTTTATTCCTGTAGTGCAGCCACAGAACCTCGGTGCACGCTGCATACACTATTAAATGTCACATTACTTGTAAAGCGGAGCTCTGCGTGGCTCCAAGGGCTTCTTTTGCAAATCTTTAAGAATGTGGAGGCTAGCATGGAGTCATTTTGAGCTAGAATTCCACCTATATAGCGTCTTTAACAAAGTCTGAACTGTTTTTTCTATAGTATAGAATATCAAGTTTATGTTAAATAAGGACCTAGTGTCTTGTAACACGTGTGCTTTATATCTAGGAAACATATTAGGGTAGGGAAAGAGAAGTCAAGTGGGTTTTTCCTCCATTTCTCAGCATCCATTGTGAAATTATAAACACTGGCAGGCAGATTTAGCGTCTTTGGACCGGTCTCCGGCAGAGACTTGGCAATAACAGCGGGAGATGAAGTTAAAGTATTGCTGGGTGGGAACAGTGGGGTCGCAGGTGTGTAAATCTCTGTGTATTTGTTAATTGTCATTGGAAACCTTTGGATGACAGCAGTGTTGGCCAGGATTTTTGCTTTGGGTGGAAAGTATGCACACTTTGTCAGTCGAAAAACCAATTTTATCTCAGGATTTGCTGGCAAAACTATGAACAAAAGCCTGACTTACCTTTCAAGCTTCGAACATTGAGGCCAGGGGATCATAAAATTCTTCATACAGTCTAGTGAGGCTCTCCGCCTGTGCTAATAACAACCTGTTTCCTTTAAGGTGTATTTGAAAAGAGAAAAGCATTATCATGCAAGAGGAATGACAACAATTCAGTGCAAATGATCAGCATAAAAAAACAGCAGATGAGGCCCTGCAGAGTAGCTGCATATTTCAGGGCACAGCTCCTTGGAGCTGGTGCTAGTTCAAATGACATTTGGCTGACTTGTTATGCACATCTCCATATCTTCGGATAGCTTATAATGATTACAGATATTGGAACCAATAAAACATTTGTGGGCCAGAAATTGTGAAAGAATAAAATTAAATGGTGTGTGTAACTATGTTCTAACATTTTACGTCCCTCCAAGGCTCGTTCCGCTCTGCCTGAAAACGGCGAGAATGTCAAAAGAGGTAAAAAAGATGGCACCGCAGTGTGTGCTCAGTGTGTAAGTTATGGCTGTAACTTTCTCACTCTGTCAGGCGCTTTAACCGTCTGTCCTGGAGGACACATTAACTTGGTATCCTTAAATAAAGTCCTTTAAATAAAGCTGGGGGAGTTAAATAATGAGAAAGCTGCTCCCACTGTCCTTTCTGCTTTTAAATGAACCTCTGCCTTTCTTATTAATGTCCCCTTATCGCTCATCACGGCCACTGACCCGCTGCTGTAACCCCTTTCCACTCAACCACACGAGAAGCTCCGGCAAGTGGTCGCCGCAGAAGTAATTGAGGGCAATTTTCAAATTAAAATTTAAACCCCTCGTCCATCTTCAGGCAGGGGGAGGGGGCGGAGGAGAGGGGATCTGGGGCTGATGACTTGATCAGGTTTTGTGAGCCGGGCAGGTACTCAGGCTGGGCGAGGTGGGATGATGAACGAGGGGCATTAATCTCTGTGACAGAGAGAGAGGAGTTAGCAGCGGTGATAGCTGCGCTAACGGCTTTAATTAGCATTTAATCAGACGCCTCGGGGCCGATGGAGGGGGAGAGTGGAGATCAAACTCTGACGGCCTTCTGTAAGAAGAGGAGGAAAGGAAGACGGTCCCTGTGGTGGCCAGGCGGATGCTGCAGGCTGTGTTGGAGAACACATGCCTATGATCCTGTTTTTGTTCTCCTGTAATGATAGCAAGCCTGATGCGCCACAAAGGCCCCGGACCTTTGGCAGAAAGTGGTCTTGTAAGAGCACAGACCGACTCTAAGACACCAAATGTTCAGGCATCAGGCTTTTCTCCATAGATCAACTTAATTGGTAATGAAAGATCATTCAAGCTAATTATTTGCTGATAAATTCTGGTGCCTAAATTATACCCATGGACCTTAGACAGAGGAAGTCATCGGTAACAGAGTTTTATAGTTGAAGGAGTTATTGTGAACATCCAAAGTCATAGGAGTAAGTTGATTGGGCAATAAACTACCGATTCATCAGTAAAATAAAAAAAAGACATTATCCAATAAAACTTCATAAGGCCAGCCAATGAAAAAGTATGGAAGTCACTTAGGGGCTGTGAGAAACATTCAAACAGTATACTGGAAAGCTCATTTCGAGGGAAAAACCATCCTTTATTATGCATCGATGGTGCATGGTGTGTTGGGTTCAAGTGGTAAGATTGTGAGAGTCAACTGCAAGATATCCGCAACACTGATGCCACATTATTGGTACTGATGGCAATGAGAAGCCACAAAGGATATCAACCGAGAGAGTATCATGATGCAGAGAATGAAAAGGCAGAACGACAGAGGTAGTTGTAAATGAAAAATAAATGCTTTCAGTAGAGCTGTCCTGTATTCTGATGTCGACAGTAACAATCTTTACTAAAACATGAAAAGTTGACATATATGGTTTATTAATGTGCTCCAACATTGTCTTACTTTTATCAATTTTAATTTCTGCTTTTCTTGGAAATTTTAAGTTTGCCATTAATATTTCATGGCCACGATAATTGTGAGGTGAAAATCTAATATTGTGACAGCCCTAGTCTGTGCATGTAACACAACGATGATGATGAAACCCCATGTTACTAGAATTACAATATTTGAATTCACCATCCATAAAAAATAAACTTTAGCAGCATAAACTAATTGGGAAATTATCAGCAAACAATAGTACACTCAGAGCTATTATGTAAATTTCCACGGATGAGGAATACAACACAAGGAGACCCCACCCTAGTTGAGGCCCCGTCTGATTGGTTCCCTCGCTTCAGCAGCGGCTGCAAAGCCTCATTTGTATTTCGGTAGTTAGAGCTGTATGGGGACAATACCCATACAGTGTTTTCTTGGTGCACTAAAAAAAGAGAGGGAAACGGGGGGAGGTTAGACTTTCTGTAAAAAAAATAAATGTATTTTGAGGTTATGAAAAATAAAACCTGTTCCTGGACAACAGCTAACAAAAGATTCACATAGTAAATGTTGTGTGAAATAGTCATGGGGTGACATATAAAACAAAGAGAAAAAGTTGAAGCAATTAAATCTGACGGCGTTATCACAGCAAATGCATGGTCCGTCTTTTTAAAGTGGTCTGGCTGCAAAATGCACCTCTGTCTGCAGATTGTGACGTACAATGTAAAGCTGAAATATATGCTATGACATATTTTCTGCCACTCTAATCTATGTCTCACACAACACATTTGAAACCAGTGAAAAATGTGCTTTTCTAGGTGGAACTATAAAGAATAATAGATCTACAGTTTTGCAGGAAAATGTCAAGGCCTTGATGTGTTAAGAAGCCAAGACACAGCCAGTGTGTGTGTGAATGTGTGTGTGTGTGTGTGAGAGAGAGAGGAGGAGAGAGAGAGGAGAGAATGCTCCAGATAGAAGTTTTGATGGTGACGGTGAGGAAGAGGGCTTTTGGCATGAAAGGGGCCAGTGTGTGATCATGATGTCATTAGGAGTATACAGTGAGACAGACTGGAGGAGGCTGCTGTACCGAGCTGCACCCATGGGACATCATTACCAACTGAAACTGAGCAGGGACCTGAGTACAGGTCAGACACACAGGAAGTGGTACTGCGTACATGCACATAGAACAAGTGTACAGTTGCTTGTCAAAACACACATGCACACAAACACACATGCGCGCGCACACACACAGAAACACATCTGTCACATAACAAATGGACAGATCTGTCTGGCCTCTGACAGCAGTTGAGTGTGTTTGTTGCAAAACTTGACAAATTCCTCAATATCTAAGTGGACACCTCTGTGGACAAATGCGCCTCATTAATGAGCGCGCACAGATGGACAACGCTCACACACACAAACACAAACACACACACAAAAACACACACGCTCGCTCGCACACAAAGACGCGGGCCGAGAGCTCGTGCTGTGCTAAGTTGCAGTGTGTACACCGGTGTAGCTGTCTGCACTTCATTACTGTTCACACACAGACAGTTGCAGTGTTTTTGTGTCAATGTTTAATGAGGGGCTGGGAGTCTGGGGACCTTACTGCTGTCAGGAGCTCCTGTAGTCTGGAGCTACCACCTGTTCCTGTTCGCTCCCAAAAGGCCTCGACACACACACACACACATACTCACACACACATTGCAAGAAGACAGACACACAGAGGCATGCAAACAAGAGGGAGCACGCACAGAAACATGTCCCTGCAAACACACACACGCACGCACCTGACAAACTATATACACTGATTTAGTCGTCCTGTGGCACCTCTGTCAGTGTCGGCTGCATGTAAACAGGTTATTGTGGTTGGCTGAGCCTGGCTGCCTGACAGAAGCTACAAAGACCATGGGAATATCAATTGATACATTTCATATTCCTCGTCAGCTCGCCTGAGATGACAGCGTGAAAGCTGCTGCCAGTGGGAGTGATCCCCTCTCTGCCTTTTCCTGACACCGCCGTTTGATGGAGATCTGAACCATCCTGACTGATTGGAGCTCAGAGACGTGCAGCGTAATGCTTGTAGACCCGGTCCCATAACGACACATGACAGAGCCCCTGCGACTACGCTGCACCTGCGTAAGAAAATCTCCCTGCTTCGGAGTAGAAAAAAAGGCAAAGACATGAGTTTTTACATTTCAAAAAACTAACTTTTATTAAAACAAAAAAACAAAAACAAAAAAAATCAATTATTGACTCATTAACAAGATTATAAAACAGTGATTTAGTTACATAAATAAATTGATATCGGTGTATCAAATCTTAATTTCATAAGCATGTATACATGGGTCATTGTAATAAATAAAATTGGAGAGCAGAAGATTCCTACACAAACAAAACAAAATAAAACCAACAAAAAACAGCTAGAAAGACTCAGAGGAAATTGTTTCTGAAGAGAACAAGAGACACTGGACAACGTATTTTTTCACCAAACACACGTGAGGAATTGCTTTGTTAAAGCATGAGTTACACAGCCATTCACTTACTAATTAAGGACACTAAAGCTGGGACCAAAGGTGGGTCATCTCTCACCTCTTAGAAACGCGTTTGGTTGTTAGACAGATCTCCTGTTTGGTTACTTTAAAGCGTTAAGACAAGGCAAGAGAAAAGGCTGCTTTTATCTTTAATGAACACGAGATCGAAAAAGAAAGATGCACAGAAGGAGAAAAAAAAACGAAATTCAGACATATAAAGAAGGTAAAAAGGCAAGTAATGATAGGACAGCTTCAGATGAGACGCTGCTGAAATTCTGCTGTGAATGAAAGGGAGAACTGAGGAGACTCGAATTTTAATCTTAACTAGTTTGAACCTGTGCATAATTACCAAAGTTTTGTTGAGTTGCACAACTATGAAGTTAATTTAACAAGGTTTTTATTACTGCAAAATGAGACAGACCTCAGCCAGGAGATGTCCTTTTACGCATGTAAGGCTGGACACATAATACATATTTATTTTACCAGGTTTATCTCCAGTTAGCTCTTGTATAAAGCACATTATTATTATAGTTTCTTTTCCCATAAGATCCTATGGGAAACTAGGCTAGTGCAACAGCTTACATGCATGATTAAGTACTTCTAGAAATCCTGTATTGTGTTTTTCAAAAATTGAAGTCGTCTACCTCCATCCCCCTTTGTTAGTCAGCAGGAATGAACAACAATGTTTTTATTTTCTTCGCCACCATCACAATTAGACTCAACCTGCAGGATCCAGCTCAAGTATGGATACACAAATCCAAAATGCCGTCAACAAGGTCAGTCTGGTCCTTCTGATATGTTCTGTTTTTCAAAACAAAAAAAAAAGAGAAAGAGAAACAAGAAGACAAAAAAAAGAGGAGAGCGGAGAGAGAAAGAGAGAGCAAACTACAGCGGCTTCAAGTATTTCACATTACATAGAATACTCTGTATAAATTAGTTAACATATACTTTCAGATCCTCCATATTCAGACATATACTATGGCATATATACAGAGTACAATAAATGCTCGCTCATGTTTGTGTCGTGTTTTGTCTTTTTTTTTCCTGTAGTCAGTCGTTCATTTGTTCCGCCTTTTTTCCTGTGTAGAGAAATCCCTGAGAACGTTCTGGTTGACAGTTACTGAAGGTTCCACACAATGAACTATAACAGTAGAAAGTCTAATTTCTATGATTCACATGCACAGAGGGAAATGACACTGGCCTAGTCTGAGAATACAATGGTGGCTGTAGAGATGAGGGTGTGGGGGGACTGACATACTGAAAAGTCTTCTTCTTTCGTGTGATAGAGCCAATTTCTTTTTTTTTTTCAGGGTGTAAGTACCAATGCTGGGGCGGTGACGTACAGCAGAGCTGAGCGCAGAAACACCTTAGCAGGAACCTGACTCCACTTCTCCTTATAACCTTGGTCTCGCTAGTGAATCTCCTGTTTAATTAACACTGTCAGCTATCATGGATGATAAATATCATGATCAAAAAAAAATGGAAGCAGGTTCAATACCGTATCATGAGGTAGTTGACGCCCTCTGGGTATCTACAAAGTCTGAAAATTCAACTGTAACGGTCAAACTGAGGCTGTAAGAGAATCACAGCTGTGTACTACATTACATTATTGGTATAATACTCATTATCTGTAGCCTGCATACTTTTCTCTGTCTTTTACAGGTGGGGGAAATTACAACAATAACAACAACACAAGTTAGCTAAGAGCATTGCTAACCCTAACCGTATTTACTCAGCAGCCAATTCCCTCTGATATCACGCTAGAGGTGGAAAACTCGAAGGCTGCTCTGATGTCATACCGCCATATTCCAGTTTGTAAAACTTTAAACATGGACCACAGCGATGCATAATGATGGTTGCATTTGACATCAGGGTCCTGAGCGTGACATTAGAGGAAAATGGCCGCTGTGTAATTACAGTAAATAACTGTGACCCAGAGAAAAACTAACGGCTGCTCAAGTGCTGCTGCTGCTGCTGTTACTGCTGCGTCTAAAGAAATGCTGATGGCTGCTTTCTGTCAGTGCTAACCCAAGCTGAGCCGCGCAGAGCCAAGCTAAGCTGTGCAGTGCTGCCCAGCGCCCGGCGAACGGCAAGGGCCTGGGCAGAGGGAGGTGCTCTGTGTGGTTTTAAAGCCTTAGTTTCTCTTTGAGGATGCCGAGTGTTTTCTTTTCTACTTCTTGTTTTTTTTTTTTTTTCTTTCTTTTTAACATGAGCACTATTGTAGAAGGGCCTCAGCCACTTGACAACCTTTAACTCAATGTACGCTGAAAAAGGGAAAAAAAAAATGATTTAAATCATAAAAATAAAATGAAATATTAAAAAAAAAAAAAAGCCATTTCACTTTTCATTTTCCTCTTGCACACATGTAGAGAAATACACACAACATTCACAACATGACAAATTTCCTCTCATGAAAAATAAAAACACTTCTGTACACATAGTAGTAATAATATTAATAATAATAATAATAATAATAGTAATGTTTATAACAATAACAACAGCAAGAACAATAATACCGCGTGTGGCTCTGTTGATTTTTTTGTCATCTTTTCCTTTCTCTTTTTGCTTCATTCTACAAGTCACATCCCTCTTTACTTGTCTATTTTATACGTCCAAAAGAAGTTCAAAAGGCAGACTCAAGTTAATAGAAAAGTACTAGAGTGGGAGGGGGCCTCACCTTCAGCCAAACCTCTCCCTCACCAGCATCATAAGTTTCTTTTTGCCCTTGTAGATCTGTTTCAGGTTGTCTATGAACTGTGTGAACTGAATGTGTCCGTCGTGCGCCATCATGAAAGTCTCCCGAGCTTTACCCAGGAACTCGATAAACTCGCTGTAGTGGCGTGGGCTAATGTGTGTGAGCCGAGAGTGCGTAGTGTTGATGTAGGCCCCAATGGTTGCGTCCAGCAGCTGCCTTAGCGGCGCCTTGTCTAGGGACATCAGCTTCCCAGAGTTCCTGCGGCTGTGCAGTGCCGAAACCATTCCCGGCGTGGTCAGCGTGCACCGCCGCAAAATGTCCGAGAGCACGGTGGCACACTTTACACTCTTCACTACAAGGGGGATAACAGCAGCCAGCTCGTTTTTTCCCAGCGAATGGCTGAGTGCGCAGGCCCACAGCACATCGTTGATGGCCGGGTGTGTGTCCTGGTTGTAACTAAGGTTCAGGTGAGCCATCGCTAACGTCGCTAACTTGTACGCCCTCATTGGGTAACCACGGTGTTCCATGTAGCGGGCTATAGTGAAGAGCTGCGTGTAGCTCATCCCTGTCGCCGCTGCGTCCAGTACAATCTGGTAGGCTGTCTCGAAGGCAATGTGGTCCTTTTCACATAGTGTGAGGGCAGAGAGGGCGCAGTTCTGGGGGTCCTTCATGGCACACTGCAGGGCGAGGGTGCGGGCGGAGGAGGCCAGGTTTTCCTGCTGGTGGCAGTCCAGGTGGAGGCGGACGATAGTGCTGTTGGACATGACGGTTGTGGCCACGATACTGGTGGCCTCTGTGGGGGTGAAGAGGGTGAACCAGCTCTGCATGATGCTGTCCAGTGCATACACACCTGGAGGGTAGAGCAGGGACACAATGAGGAGGAGGTTAGAAGCTAAGATTGATCACAATAAAGCTCCTGTGAGGACAGGGCTTGACACTTACTTTTTTCACAAGGAACACACATGTGCTCTGAAGTTGAAAAGGTAAGGAGCACACAAAGAACTTTAGGGGCACAATGAAAATTGATCAAATAATGTGTGTCTTATTGGTCCACATACGTACTATTATTTTAAATCAATTTAGGTCTTTTGGTCACATGACATGTTCAAAATTTGCCTTTAAATTTAACACAAATTTTTTTTAGAGGACGAATAAGGGAAATAAAAAGGTGTGTCTTACTGGTCGACAGAAGTACTATTATTTGAAATCAATTTTAGGTCAATAAGTCACATGACATGGAAGCTATTGAAGGAAAACAGCCTTTTTGAAAACATCACTCGGTAATTTATTGATGGTCCCTTATTCAACACCTGACGTTGACAGTGAGGGTGCCGAGTAGATTGAACTGTTGTTGCTATTCCCAGTTATGGAAAGTGAGAAGACACCAGTAGATCCGCAGTGAATGTCCATCTGATGTCCTACCTAAAACTAACTTCACAGCCGTATTTAAATGAACAAACATTTGTCGCCCCCGCTGATTTTTTTCAATGCGCACGTGCCCCTGAATACATTTTACAATTCACACACATCTATTTTTAGTCGCAAATGCGAGTGAAACGGTCGCACTGTTCAGCCCTGGAGGAGTTTTAAACCATCATGAAATAGACAAGAAATTCATATTGTTGCTTTTTTCATGATTTATAAAAGCAAACAAGACCACCAGGGACAAGACTGATCATTTTTCATCATCTGTTTTAATGGCTGAAACTGTTACAAGGGGGTAGGTGCCAGCAGAGCAGCTGAAGACACAGCATTGTTTTTACATTTTCTACATAAGTATTCAGAATAAGTGCTATAAGTTCCTTACAGGAGTTTTAAGTACAAGTATTGAAATCAAACAAAGACAAAGCTATGCATTACTTACCAACTTCAGTGGCACATGTGACTAACCAACGCACCATCTCTCTCCTTCTCCAGTTTAATGTCGAGAGAGTTATTCTCATCACCTGTGGAAGATGGAAAATAAAGGGGAGGAGCAGGGGAGTGGGAAGGGGGTTGTTGTAAATTTAGAGTTTTTAATGCGAACAAAACTTGTGTTCAAGTCATAGTATCCCAGTAACTTCTTTTCAGGAGACTACATAACCTTTAAAAATATCTTTAAACATAAACTCACTAATCTGTAGTCATAAATGATACTAAAATCTTCTTAATGTTTATACTGCACATGTACTTTTCGGCTGTTCAACTGGTTGAAGGACACGGCTCCTTTCAGGAGGAAAAACCCTCAAGCAAACCTTCACTGTAGGTACTTGAAAATACAAGGTATGAGCACCATGCACTGCAGCAGTCACAATATAACTGTTATGTTATTCACAGATTTACACAAACCTTGAGCAGGTTTTTTTTTTTTTTTTTTTTACCCACGCTGGTCCAAATCTCAAACACTTTTAACTTAAATGCCACAGGCTTCAAAAAGCTGCTTCCCCATAGTAGTTGCTGTTATTGATGGAGCAAGCGAACATATTTCCAAATATGTTTACAAATCCAGAAAGCCAAAATGTATACGATGACCTGATTCATGAGAGGATTACTTTGAGATTGCATCCGCTGAACCTGAGCAACTGAACTAATGTCTGATTCACAAAAGGTTAAATGCACCATAAACAGTGCTGCCACACATGTAATAGTGTTGTGCTTTGGTGCTGTTTGCATACATTGAAATGTTCCATTATATATCCACCCATGCAAATGACAGCTAATTCACCAAGACCAGCGCTCACAGTCATACACAGGGTCAAACTTTCATCGTCCGCTGAGAATAGGTAGTAATTGAACTCAAAATCCCTTGTGATCACGACAACAATTTGACCTTGGGACAACAAATAATTTACATTTTTTAATGATAACCAGGGCAAAATCAGGCTGGCGCTCTCTACTCTCCAACCCTTGCATATTTTATTTTTACGTTGAATCTGAACGAGCTACTTTTGGCTCACTTGCTCCAGAGAGTAACCTGTATGTAAACAGTAAAATTTAGCTCACCATACATGTGGATATAGCAGCATTTTGTGCAGAAGAGAGTGAAAACCCTAAATCTCACGACCACATTTTGTGGTCTTTTTTGCATTTGAATTTGATTCATTTTATACGTGGACTTGGCTTTCTCGAATTAGACCTAAAGACGCACTAGACAGCGAGGGCAAATAATGCAAAGTGCTTAGTGCAATTAGCAGCACCAATCTAAGAATTTAGCCGGTAATTGAATTGTACACATCTCACAGAGGTGCGGGGCGCTGCTGTATGGCAGACATGATAAATGGAGACAGTTTAGTGCTCCCTATGGCACAAAAAGCATTCTCTGACTATGCTCTCACACTCCATAACAATAGTCCCACCACAACTTTCCTAAGCATTGTAAAGACAGGAATTAAAGTCCTTTCACAGACCTCACAAATCCTATCTAAAAAAAAAAAAAACTGGGGAATTAAAAGTTGATTTTGAAACAAGTTGTGCACTTATTCTTTAAAAATAAAGTCTTTGAAGCAGAAAACTACAACCAACCAACACTGATTTTAACAATAAATGAGTGTTTTAAAGCTCTTTCAAAACTGTTTCAAACAGACAAGGAGTTAGAACTTCATTAAAATATAACTATAGTGAAAATGCATCTGTCAGACTACATGAGTAAACAGAAAGTTTTATCAAGAACTGTTAATTGACACTTTTTTGTTGTCTTTTCTTCACTCTGAAATGGATGTACCTGCTGATCCATAAATAAGTCAGGCCTGATTTTAGGTTTGACAGCTTTGTAAAAAGATAAATACATGTGATATAGGTGCGTTTGTTTACCTGCAGCCCAAGCTCCAAAGAAACTTTGAGAAGTGTGATGTCAGGCAGGCTGTCCATCAGAGTGGCAATCTTGAACGCATCTTGTGCCAGTTTAAAGATGTGAGACGAGGAGTGGATGTTTTTCTGGATGGACTCCAGGACCGTCTCCAGCCTCCGACTGTCACCTGGAAGAGAACACAGGAACTCTTCAGTCCAGAGACAAATCTTTGCCTGACATGTGCATTTGTATGTCTGTATATGATTTGTGTTTATGGCTGCTCCTGTATTTGAGAATATATCCGCACCTTTGGCGGCGGTGAGCATGGTGGAGGCCAGCTCACACTGCTGAGACTCTATGTGGCTCAGGGTGAACCAGCGCGGGTAGCGGTTGGGCACCACAGACACAATGTGGTGGGGTCGAGACAGGTCACCTGATGAGGCTGTCGATTCCAACACCGGCAACCTGACAGATAAACAGACACAGGACAAAGGGTCTGAGTTACACTATTCTGCAGAAATTCAATTACATTAATTTGATGCATGTTTATGGTTAAAACTGTTTAAAAAAAACATAATTAACACTTTATTTGACGCCTATCTTTATACCTCATCATAAATGTATGTATAATGTGTTATGATCATGTTATAGCACTGTATAACTATAGTTATAAACACTCATAAATGATCATAATGCTTTATAGCGATAATCACAACACTTTATAAAGCATTTTATCATGACTTACAAGGTCAGGTTTTATAATGTGTTATGCTTATTGTTATAAAGCCTTATGATTATTAATGAGTGTTTATAATGATAGTTATACAAGTTTATAAGCAAATTATAACACATCATAAATATATGTATAATGCATTATGTATGTGGGCATTATCAATGCGTTGTTAACAGTTATAACACATTATAATACATGACCTTGTAAGTCATGATAAAATGCTTTATAATGTGTTATGATTATTGCTATAAAGAATCATAATCATTTATGAGTGTTTATAACTATAGTTGTACAGTGCTATAACCTGATTATAACGTATTACACATATATTTATAATGTGTTATAGAGATAGGCGTCAAATAAAGTGTGCATGAATCTTTTCACAGTTTAGGAAGAGTTCTGTTGCGCTACTCCAGCGACAGAGATGATGAGAAGGACAATCAGAGGGACAGCGGAGGTTCAGGAATCATCAACATCACAGTGAATTAACTTCATACAGAAACAAGCAGACAGACAGGATCAGAGCACAGACAGAAAAAGTGGTCATTATGATGGTCTGAAAGGGACTTCAAAATGAAAATGACTTTGGTGATCACAGGGGGATTACAGTTCGCCTATCCCTGCAATTTACTTCCAACCTGGTAGTTAATCACCTAGAAACCGCGGTATAATTAGTATTTTCTTCACTCTAATTGGTCATAATGAAGTCAGAGCCTTGCAACACCTGCTAGTGGATGAAGGAGCTCCACTAGTTTCTCTCATTATAATAACACCGAGAGGGCCGAGTCTTCTGCAGTACCACCTCCATTACCACTGTGGCCGGCTCATCTCCTATTCTGCTTCACTTTCTCTCCCACCTCACTTTCAAAGGTCTTCTTTGCTTCTGAAGACAGCACAACCTGGCCTCCTCTCAGCCAATCACAAAGCTAATTGAGTCCACGGGGAAATTAAGGAATTCACCTTCCAGCCCTGTAAGGCTGGACACACATCAAACAAATACCGACACACATGAATGAAGAGAGTCAGTGCACACACACACTCACACACATGAAACTCAGATAGATACACACACACACCTGCCCTTTTGAAAACACATCAAAGCATCCCAGCAAAAGCAATGTGATGCTAAATGCCAGTTTCAATTTCAGAGCAAAGTGCATGTGATACTGTTGCCACCTGAGTGCAGGCATGCAAGAAAACAGCCTCTTCACATTTTACCCAAGAGGGCACAGGCCAGGCCGGTCACCCCGCCCCCCTGAGAGACAAGGTGTCAAAAAACCCTGTCGTGATGTGTGCCAGTGTGAACACAGACACTTGGTGTAAAACGGAGAAGTTTGGACGCCCTAGCAACAGCCGGGTTGACTCCACACACTTAAAGAGCTGCTAAAAGCCTCCACCACACTGGGGCCTTCTGGAAGATTCCTGGGGTGTAGCAAAGCAAAAAAAAGAAGGCCCTGGGTAAAGATGGAGGCCTCATCAACATTCCTGTCTTTGTTTGGTTTTCACCAGAGACCCAGAGGCCTCTATTGGATGGAAGCTTGAGAGGCCTGGCCCCACTGAAAAATAACCTCCTCGAAATGTTGGGAGGAAAATCCATACTGGGCTATTGTTTCATGGGAAACGTAAAAAAAATAAATGATGAAAAAGAAAGCAAAATGGAGAGCTCTGAGGTGTTCAAGTACAGTACATTCCTCGCTAAGGGTGCATTCTCATCGAGCACCTTGAAAACTGCTGCAAAAAAGTTGAACACTGGCTATCAAAGTGATCTTCCACTCTCTGCAAAAGCACTACGCAAACTCTCAACTCAATGTCAAGTGTGCTTAAAACACCAAATTAAACTCGTATTTCTGCGCAGCGCTGCAACGGCTGGATAAAAACATGCATTATCAATGATAACTGAGTCAGCTGGAGGAGGCCATCAATCCCTGTGTGGGGCTACTGTGGGGGGGCTTTGGTGTCATACAGGTCCTGTCAAACTGTAGCACTCTGTCCTGTCGGAATCAATGCTGAGGATGTGTAGAGAGTCCAGAAGACATACGGTATTTAAAGAGGATTATAAACTGTCTGTAAAAAGGAAATAATCACAACCACATATAAATCCACAAATACGAAAACGAGTTGCAAGAAGAAAAGAAGAAAAAAAGAATAGAGACTTTGACGAAAAGCAGTCCAGTCAGGTTTTACTTCAATCCCAAGGCCCTTTGGGGGTTTCTGGTCAGCATCACCATGACGACTGACCTCTCTACCTCATGCTGCTTTCCCCTTTGACTGTAAACACCCTTCACTTTTATAATCTATCAAGCCCACATTTATCAACCCAGAGCCACATCCACTGAAAGAACTCCACTAACATACACAAACGGGAACCTTCGAGGGTCTGACAGGACATAAACCTCAGCCCAAACCTGAATACACATTTTTGCTCTCTGCCCCTCATAAGGATGCTTGAAACGACAGCAAATGTGTCATCAAAAATTAGCTCAAGCCGCCGCATGTGCAGTCTTTTATTTACTTATTTATATTACAAGAAGGTGTCAAGTGTGGGTTATGATCACAGAGGGTTGTGGGATTTTCTCAGACACAGAGGTGCATGTAATCCTTCAATTGGATTAGAGCATGAACATCCACAAAGCAACGGACAACACTCACACAATCCAACTTTTAACTCCAAGGTATTTTTTTGTTACAATACGTCAGGAGACTAGGGTCGAGAGGTTTGAATATGCAAGTAACAAAAATCAAAATGTTGATTTTATTGCCCTTTTTTTTCTTAAAGTGGTACAATATTTAAAAACCAGTTATTTCTGAAGGAGTGAGTATTATTATCAACTAAAAGTAGGATGAAGAGCAGCAGAAATTTCCATTGGCTCAGTGCAATTTTAAGGAACTTGAGTATTTTAAACTCGTGTTACAGTTTCATAACTTCTGTATATATGCACAGCTTGACCACAGATGTGAAAATGTATGTGGCAATAGAGGATTCTTTTGGTTTTAAACTTTAAGCAGATACTGCATTTTTATTTTTTTGATGCACGAATAGGTTGAAATTGGACTGGAATGATGCTCTCATGCTAAATGTCTAATTATTTGATAAGATATCACAAAACAGCAGCCATTTAAATATTTTGTGTATCTTTTTATTCGTAACACTTTCTTTGATGCCTATCTCTATAACGCATTATAAATATATGTATAATGCATTATAATCACATTATAGCACTGTATAACTATAGTTATAGTTAGTTAATGTTATGCTTATTGTTATAAAGCCTTATGATAATTAATGAGTGTTTCTAATGATAGTTATACAAGTTTATAAGCAAATTGTAACACATCATAAACATATGTATAATGCATTATCTATGTGGGCATTGTCAGTGAGTTGTTAAACGTCATAACACATTATAATACCTGATCTTGAAAGTCATGATAAAATGCTTTATAATGTATTATGATTATTGCTATAAAGCATTATGATCATTTATGAGTGTTTATAACTATAGTTATACAGTGCTATAACGTGACTATAACACATTATACATACATTTATAATGAGTTATAAAGACAGGCGTCAAGAGAAGTGTTTTTATTTAACATTTCCAGTTGAGACCTACTTTGGCAATATCTAAATATTCCTCCCGTCCCTGCAGCTATGAAATCCCCTCATCATATTTGCAGATATAATACTGTCTTAATAAGTTCAAATGGCTTCAATATTTAAAAGGTTGTATTTATAGAAGTTACTGTGCAAGTCTACACTGTCAGTTATCAGTGAGTGTCATTGAAATATCACTGTCTTCATTTATCCTCATTCTACATTTATGGCTCACGGTGCCATATGTTTAAAGATTATGGATTATACAGTGGATCAAAGGTTGTGGATTATAGCAAGGCTCTAGATTCATTAGCATTGGAAGACCTGCATCTAATATGGAAATCTCATATGATAACAGGCGGCTGGGATTTGTCTCTTTGGCTTCCACAGAGTTGCGATAAAGGCCGTCTCCAGAGAGGAAGCCTTCTTCTTCCTCGTCTCATTCTTTTCTGTGTCTGCAGTCAATTTCTGGGCAGCTCGTGAACCAGTCTGCAGCTCCTCTGTTTTTGTTTTTGGACGCTCACACCAAGCCATCGAGCAGCATATGCTGCTCTCGCATGCTTTAATTAACCTCATGCACATGCGGAGCATAAACAGAAAGCATATTCACACTTGAAACCACTCAGCCTACATACACAAATGCATATGGAGTGGATTTAGAAGCCGTTGCTTTTTTAAAAGGCTGTTTTTAGAGCAACTGTGAAGGGGAAGATAAATCGACAAAGCAAGTGGAAAGCGGAAAAAGTGTGTGCATGTGTGTGTGTATGTGTGTGCGAGAACGAGCAAACGACCCTCCCTCTCTCTCCTTGTATCAATGATAGTGTTATAATAGGTCCATTAAAATAGCCGTGGTTCCTTTACCTCCTCCTCTATATTTAACTGTCCGCCGTCCCCTGGGAGCACAGAGGTATATGCTATCATATTACACTACGCTACATTACACACATTCATTATGTGCTGAGTAGACACCCCTGGATCCCAGGAGCACCCATAAGTGGCCATATTATTCTAAATCGCCAGTTTCACACCACAGGAGCAGGGATGGAGGAGATGAGGGGAGGAAACAGGGTGAAAGTGGAAGGAAATAGGGTAGGAAGGAAGGGGAGTGACTGACCCGAGGGAAAAGAAGCAGGTTTGGGATGGGAGTACAGAGGCAAAGGGGACGCTCGGCGGATAGATCTGGAAGCTTTAACCGCACAAACTCTGTGAGGTAAGGGAAGATATTTCAATCCCTGACACCTCCTAGTGGGTAAACTAGAGGAAAGTGTTGATGGTGTGTTTGTTGTCCTTTTGTTCTCCCATTGTTCGTCTGTGACACCCGATGCTACGAACCAGAAACAAAACTCACTTTTCATTCATTCACTAATCATCTGCCAGTTTCTCAGCCGTGCACTCAGAGAAGAATCGCTTTGTAGAAACACAACAAACATCATCCACACGCTGCCCTCTCCCTGTTGGCCCTGAGTCTCTGTGAGTGTGTGTGTGAGTGTGTGTGTGTGTGCGCGCTCCCTCATCATTACAGCTACACTAATTACACTCTCATTAATGTAATTAATATTCACTGATCCAGCTCCCACTAGTCACAACATCAAAACACAGCAGCGCAGACTGATTAACACACATACACATGTATGCATTGTCCACAGATGAATACACACAGGAGTTCAACGCAGAAAGACCATATAGAAAACACACAGTCAGGCTGCCAAACTAAAGATAGACACACATGCAAACATCATCTTTGTATCTCTTACAGCCAAAATTTGCTGCTTGGACACAAATCTGAAGCTTGAGGGAAGTCATTTGAGTAAAAAATGGTGTTATGAAAGACTTGTAATAATTTTAAAATCCACTAAAATCAACAAACAAGTGATGGAGAGCCAGTTTCTGTCAGATAATTGTAATAACTCAGAGTTTTTATCCCTGGCTTAAGAGAAACAGGCATGTTTTCCTATCCTGTTACAGAGTTTTCCGTTGTAATGTTTTTAAAGGCTCCATTAGTCAAAAAAGAGGAGGATTTTCTTATTACAAAGATTAGGATTTTTTTTCTGCAAATGCAAATCGTTAAAAGCCTGATTTACAGGGTTTGGACATAATAACAGCAACACACAAACATACACACACACACAAGAACCAATCTTGCAGACACTTACCTCATGGCTCTCAGTGCAATTTTATACGCCAGTTCAGCGTCGTGAGGTAGCAGAGAGGTAAAGAGATAGCGGGCAAAAGTGTGCATGGGAACGCTCTCTCTGTGGACGATCTCCCCAAGGCCAGAGTACGGACCAGCTGCATATAAACCAAGGAGAACAACAAACACAAACACAGGGAAAAAAAGGGGTGATGCTTTTAGTGAGAGGAACAAAACAGAGAGTGAAAATTTCCAGAGTGAATACTCGTCTCGTCAGGTCAATAAATGTTACAGTGTGGTGTTAAAATTTATGGAGAATAAAGTATAAATCTACAAGAAAAGAAATAATGTGTGTTTATTTTGTTGTTTATTTGATTGTGTGTTTATACCGCACATTTCAAAGTGATTTATCTGGTCTTTCCCTCCCACTGAAGCCGAGGAGATGCCACGCTGCATAAAATAAACTGTGACGTCAGAAAACCATATGGTCGTGTGTGCAGACTTGGCCCCACTCTCGCTCCCCTCCCTACCCCCATCTCTTCCTGCACTTCCTTTAGTCTCTGGTGGGTTATTTTAAACCCCAACAGGCTCCTCAGCCACAGACCACATCACACAGTGGCACGGCTGCAGCCTCCAGGGGCCCGCAGAGGCCTCAGAGCCCGGCACTCTATTAACAACGGAGCCAGAGGTGGGTGGTCGTGTCGTGGGGCCGGGAAGCAGGGCTGGGGTTTGGGTGGGGACTCCTCCTCCACCTCCTCCTCCTCCCTCTCCTCCCTTCTTCTTTCCCATAACCGAGCCTTATTCTGCTCCAGCCCCGGTCCTGTAAATGTACACACTGCTGTGTGTACGTGCATGTGTGTGCTGACACAATACCCCTGGTGTTACTGTGTAAAGAGCTCATTTTGGTCTGGCCCAGGGCAGCTCAGCCTCTATTTGCACCACAAAATGAAAGGATAATAAATAGTGAGGCAGAGTCCAATGTGTTTTTTCCTGTTTAAGCGGGAATGTGTAGGGGCTTGGTGCGTGGGAGGGAGAGACAAGAAAAGGAGGAGGTGTGCCTACATGTGTGGAAACTGCTGGGAAAAAGATGCAAAATAAAGGGACGAAAAAAGATGAAGTAGTTTCTATTTGTTCTCTCACCCTCTAACAGAAAGACGGCCTGTTTGCGGAAGATTTTGACCAGGGAGTCGTCCAATTCCACTTCCTGCAGCTTAGCCAATAGCTGCTCTTCATTCCGACACACCTTCTCTTGAGCGTACAGCCCGTCAGGCATCACCCGCTGCTGGCCCAAGCCGATCAGCGCCGTCTCCACTGCCAGCGCCACATAGGATTCACCGTCTCCTAACAATCGCTGCACGGGCATTCGCTGCAGGTCCGCTCTGCTTACAACACTGGAGCAATCTATGAGAAAAAGGAGGACATAAAGAGAGTAGAACGAGGCTGAAACAATGGCGTAAAGTGGCGGTCAGACGCTGTGTTATTCTCTGAGGTTTTGGACGCTAGATGAGCCTGTCTCCTATGGAAAACCAATGTGTCAGTCACAAAGTAGAGGTCTGAACCAAACGACTATCCAAAATAAAGATCAACGCCTCAGGAGCATTCCTCTCTTCACTCCTCTACCTCAGAGTAGAAGGCTATTTCTGTTCGCAGAGGAGGCGATGAGGGACGGAGCGATCGCTGACTGCAGGAGAGGCGCTTTGGGAACGAATGAGAGGATGTACAATATGATGACATGAGGGACTGAGGCTGAATTATCACAATGATTCTGATAATTTGCTACATAATCAAGAAAAAGTGAAAAATCTGACTCATTATGCTCCCAAAAAGACTAGAAATCGCTTTACAAGACTGGACAAATCAGTGTTAATCAATGATTCATAAAAATCTAAAACCTAATAATCTACGACTGAAGTTTATTTAAATATTTTAACGACAGAGGTTTGCTTTCGTTATCTTTCATGATAATAACCTGTGCTTTTTTTATCATGCTATACTCAGAGCATAGTTTTCTATGTGGTAGTTAAGTTTACATATGTATGTATATAGTGTGTTATTATACGGCATATGCAGCATATATCATATACAAATCATACAGTGCAAGCATGTGGTGCAAAGAATGCATACAAAAACATACAGAAGAATCCTTCTGGGTTTTTGTTGGCCTAGAATTTATTGTTTCATATGCGACCACAGAATCAGAGCTGTGTTTATGTATATATATGTGTATGAATTTGTTTGGGTCATGTTGCCAGTGTCTGTAAATCTGCCGTACCTGAGAGGTCTAAGCAAGTGTTGGCGCCTTCCTCTCCCACTCGTCCCGACTCTGTCAGGGTGCTGAACAGGGTGCCGATGGGATCCAGAGGGTGTCCCACCCAGCCTTCCATGTTGGTTATAGAGGTATGGCCTTTGTGGAGCAGCTCTAAACAAAAGAGTATGGGGTTCATGAAACACAAAGTCAAAACCACAAACTTCAAACACATATTTTCAGACTGAAATATACTAATTTTTCTTTGGGAATCGCCAGGCAGAACTTAAGAGCACTCAAAATTAACTGCACTGGGGAAAAGGACCATCCTAAATCAAGTTACATGATAAGAACAAAGAATGAAAAATAAATCTTTAATTGGACTTTGGAAGAAACGAGGTTATTTCTACAACCACACAACAATTTTTTTTTTGTGTGTGCTAACCGTACTTAATTACTCCCGCTTCCATAAATAAATGACTTAAAAACAAGCTTCACAGCTGGCAGAGTTTAGGGAGAGTTTTCCTCTTCTCCTTTGTCAACACTTTTATTTTCCCCTGTTATTACACGCTTGTATTTATGTGTGGTTCTGCTTTTGTTTGCATGAACAATAAATGACTTTTCAAGATTGATCTATTTGCCTTTTTGTATGAAGAAAAAAACTTGAACAGCTAAAAGGAGCCTCACCTTTCTTGTGTCGACGAAAGTGCTCCAGTTGCCGCTGCTGCTGCCGCCGTAACGTGTTCACCACGGCGATTGCCAATCGGAGGGCTTCTCTTGGGTAACCATGGGAACGCAGGGCATCAACTCGAGCGCAGGCCGTCGGGACGTGTTCTGAGAAAAAAAAAAAAGAAGCTTTGACTCTCGTAGTCTTTCAATGACGACGTGTGATCTCAGTCAAACCTAGTGTGTGTAAAGAACTAACCTTGCACTTAAAAACAAACATGCTGACATATACTCACCATGCCACAAAGGCCAGCCGCGCGAGTCAAAGAGGGAACCCTCCTGGTTGTCATGGTAACAGTAGTTGGCATAGAGGTCACTGGCAATAATGTGCTGGAGGTGTCGGTCCTGCCAGTGCAGGTCACAGGCCTCAATGGCCCGAGTGAACACGGTCCGATGTGGACGCATCTCTGCCATAAAACAAGACCCAAAGAGAAGTGAGAGGAGGATAAGAGCTTCACACTTTCACAACAAGCCACATAAAGAGGTCTGTCTGTGTGGCCAAGAGCTTGTGTCTAACATTAAGAATACAAACATTTGACTCGGTTGATATGTGAGTCACTTGCATTATTACTTGAAAAACAAATGTAACCATCAACTACAAAGTAGGGATCCTATACCAGCTTCTGCAGCTTTAAAAATCTGTAGCTGTGATTTTAAGAAGCTCCATGAAAGCTTCAAGAGAAGTAAAGAAGGACCGTAAAGAGAAAAAAAACACCTTTACATGAGAGGGCAACAGATACATCCAAACAAATCAGATGCAAAACGTGTCATCTGTGAGTAAAAGCTCAAAACAAAGGTAATAGAAGATGAAGACAGACAAGAGGAGGAAGATGATAAGGAGGGTGATAAAAATGGGGGAAAAGAAGAAAAAGTGGAGGAAGAAGAAATAAATGGAAGAAAAGAGATGGAAGGAAATGAAAAATAAGAATAGAGAAAAAGGAAAAAAGAAAAAAGATGAGGAAGAAAAGAGAAAGAAGAACCGAAATGGGAAAAAGGAAAAGAAGTAAGTTAGGAAAAAGAAGAGGAAAAAGAGAATAAAGAATAGAGAAAAGAAAAAGAAGATGAGAAAAGAGACAGAATAACAAAAAGAAGATGAGGAAAAAGGAAAAGAAGAAATTTTGAAAAAAGAAGAAGAAAAAGAGAGGGAAGAATAGAGGCAAAGGAGCAAAAAAAGAAGAGGAAAATGAAGAAGGAGGAGAAACAGTGGAAGAGGAAGAAAAGAAGAAAAAAGAAGAGGGAAAAAAGAGAAAGGAATAATGAGAAAAAGAAAAATAGGGAAAAAAAGGGATAAACTAAAGAAATCAGAGGTTTAGATGGTAGAGAGGAAGAAGAGGAAAAGTTGGAGCAGAGCTGTTGGTGTCGAGCCGTTTAAACAGTTAACAGAGTGCTATTTATAAAACAAAAAAACAACAACTCCAAAAGAAAATCAGACAAATACAGAAAATTATGTGTTTTACTTCGAGACGGACAGGTCCAATTAAAACCTGAAGAGTGAGACGTTAAAAAAAAAATTGATGTTTACATGTTGATACAGCCTTTGGCACGTCTCACCCTCCAACGCTGTCAGATAACTTATTAGAAAGTAAATACAGTTTTGACAAACACACAAAAATATGTCAAAACCCTGACCTTGGTTGCCATGGGCACCCTGAGGCAGTGAGTGGGTGAGGTTGGGCAGCTCGTTGCCGTGGTTACCGTCCTCCCAGGGGCAGACGTCCACGCTGTTCCATCTGCGCAGCTGACGCAGCCACGAGGACTTCTGCTCGGGTTTGCAGTGAGGGTTCAGTACAATGCACATCCAGAGGGCGCCTGGACAGACACACACATACACACAAACACACATGTAAATACAAATAGTGTACAAGTGCATAATCTTATACAAATACAGAGGTTAGATATAAATTATGATAAACTACAAATGAGTTCAGCCCTGAAGTTTTTGCGAAAGCTTTAATATTTTAGATTATTTTGAGGATTAGCAACTGTGTCACTCCATCACCGTCTGCTTTTGTACATTTGTGACGCAAGAAATGAGTCATATGACGCAGGTGGGTGTGTCTTATTTGTTTTAAATACAGTTTTCATGCAAGACTGAAAAGCTGCAGGCAGTTTTCGAAGATGTACAGCATTCATAACATTCTTTCTTCTAGTGCACATTTTGTATGCCTTCGCCATCTTGCAGGGAAATACAAAACTCAGTGAGAAATGGAGAACTTAACTAGTCCCGAGGCAACGCAGACTGCACACACATCATTTTGGAGTAAATTGGAACAAACAGAATATGAAAAGTGGCGACGTCTCCTGGGATGCTAGAACATTCAGGGATTTTACTCTCAAGACTGCTGGAGATATCTAGACTCTACAATGTGTGTGCGTCTGTGTGTTTGTGTGTGTGTATGTGTGTGTGTGATTATGGTGTGTGGAAAGGCAGAAAGAGTTTGGGAGGAAGGACAAAGACAAGGACAGAGACAGAACACGATGGGAGGAAAAAACGAGTACAAAAGGTGCAGAACAGAGAGGGAGCAGAAGAAAGGGGAAACAGAAAATGAAATGGGAGTGCAGATGATTTTGGACGAGGAGACACGGGTGAGGACAAGTGAATGAGGCACGGCTTTGTGTCTGGAGGAGAGAAGTAGCTGAGGCTCAAAGAGGAGAAAGACAAAAGAGGGGGAGAGAGGGGAGAGCGAGAGCGAGAGAGAGAGGCGCCAAGAGGCAGCATTCACCACACATCAGGGGGAGAGATAAGGACTTGGGAAGAAGGGTTTTGAAGTGTGGACTTCAAAGAGGCCGAACACGCACTTCCAAAAATACGTGAGGGTTGAAACAGATGAGATCACTGCGCTGTCCTCACAAAGTGCAGAACAAGACCAAAGTGAGAAGACGAAACATCATCGTCAACAGCAACAGCGGCGGCAGCAGCTACATCAACGGAGACATTAGAGGGGAACAACAAAGACAGGAGACAACACGACACATGCTGTCCTGGTGATGGGCTTGTTGGGGTTTTTTTGTGGGTTTGTGAGGATGTGCTCGGCTTAAGGTACAGTACATCTGTCAGGAGAACTACACACCGCATCAAAACACATGACTGCATGGCGAGCAGCACTCTGTCACATCAACTAAATATACAATGTGGAGCATTTGAAAGCGTTATGGAGGTCATAATATTTGGTGTTCTGATGAGGCACGACGCGCCGAGTTTAATGGCTTGTAATTCACAAAGACGCTCGCTGAGCTGCCAAACTTACACTCGCAGTAAGAGGAAGAGACTGGGCTGTCAGTGATGAGTGTGAACGTGTGTCTCAGTGTGTCTCAGTGTGTGTGTGTGTGTGTGTGTGTGTGTGAGTGGGATGTCTTGGACACAGAGGACAAATAAACAAACAGAAAAAGAAATATGCGTGTGTGTGCCTTTGTGTCAGTGTCTGGGTTCGATCGCCCACTTTGCTAAATCTGTCTGTGCTGTGAATAGAGGAAAGAGGAGAGAGTGTGTGTGTGTGTGTGTGTGTGTGTGTGTGTGCATTTCTAGGACAGTCACTCTGTGTAACCGTGTGTGTGAGTGTGTGTGTTTCTCCCTCTCACCTAGCTCGTCCCAGAGCTGTCTGTACTTGTCGGTCATGGTGGTGCCCTGCTGTCTCCACAGCGCCAGCCGAGGGTCGGCCATGAACTGTTCTGTGATCAGTGTTAACATCCTCGCTCCGTTGGAGTCACGCATCTTCAGCATCTCCCTCACCTGCAGGAGGAGGAGGAGGAAGAGGAGGAGGAGAATAAAAAGAGGAGTCAGGGAGGATGGTTCCAAACACAAACGGAGAAAGTTGTGAACACATGAATAAAGTTTATATTTTTCAGTCTTCTGACCACTCAAAGCCAATTTTTTCACTCCCTCATGTTCACTCTTTGACACACAACAACTTACAGACAAAACATGACAAACACATTTAATGTTGCACTGTTTTAAATGTACACAGGAATGCGCACACATGCATGAGTCTGTATTTGAAGGACTACACTTGTTTTCAAGGGGGGACTTTAATCACAAATCTTGATGATATTGCCGTTTGCACTCTTTTGTGTTCATTTGCATTTTTTAATGGATTCTATAAACTAAGTAAGAGTCAATACTGGAGTCAAGTTCACCTGAAAAAGTGGTGTGAAAACTGTTCAAAGTGAGTCCAAGGAACTCAAATGACAAAATTCCTCATGTATTGTCCTTGCTTGCTCAAAAATGTGTTCTCAGTCTGTTCCACACCTGAACTTATTTTAGTGAACTTTAAAACCCTGACTTAAATGGACTTGATTCTTTGTCCCTATTAAAACCAGCCTTCGAGTCCTTGAATAATTTGGTGATTTGACATCAAAAATTAACGAGATGTTGTAACTCAGAGAAAGTTACATTCAACTTTAACACGGACATAATTCAAGCACTAACTTTCTCTCGATTTAAATTTAAATCCAGAATTTTGCAGCTTTTGTTTAGTTTGAAAATACAGTTTAAAAAAGGAGAAATCTGTGGTTTTGTTTACAGGTGAGATTTTCTTTCTTTTTTTGCTTTTCTTTTTTTTTTTTCACTTTGAGTCTCAGCGCTGTGCTAATCACAGCTGGGAGACGCTCAGTTCAAAATACACCGATCAGCATCTTTTTGCAGCAGAAAACACAACCACTTCCAGGTGTGTATATGGACATAAACTCAAAGCAAATATTTGTTTGAACAGATTTGCAACTCTGGAATATTTAGAATTTTTCTCAAGGCTCAAGCAGTAAAAACAAGGTATGGTGATTTATGGATGTTTGCACACAAAAAAAAAGACGCAAAATGATATTTGTTCTTGTGTCTCTTGTGCAACATTTACACACAAATACACACTGCAGAAAGCGGTAGACACGGGTCCACCTACATACACAGAGAGATGTATTTACAGTATGTCTTTGTGTTTGTCATCTAATCTGAGGAGAGTTCAGAGTACGTACTGATGTGACAAGCTGCTGTCGGTGAATGTGTGTGTGTGCGCGTGTTGAAAAAGATATAACAGGCATCAAAGAGTATGAAGCCGAGAGGAGCTGTAAAAGCCTTGATAATGGCCTTGGCTTGCAGTCCTTACATAGCACACAACAATACGCTAATGCCGGACCAACTGTGCTCGACAGTAACACCCCGACAACAGAGGGAAACACACATCCCTCATGTAATCGTTTCATCGCAGCACAGGGAAGTTTACTGAGTGAGCCTCTCTTCTTTCTACACCTCTTTCTCTCTCTTCATCTTGCGCTTCCTGTCTGCAATTAGCTGCAGCTAAAAGGCAACATGGCTTTTAATGTATGTGCCAATAAGTTGTTTTGTCTGGGAATACTTTGAGAAGAGACGGCCTCTCTCCATAAGGGAATACAAGAGATTACAAGTGCACTAAAGAGAGAGAGAGAGGGAGAGAGAGACAGAGAGAGGGAGAAAATATTTATGATGCAAGAAGGATCAGGGTCAGGCAAGCGTGCCTGGAGTGAACCGTGTGCCTCCGCATGTGTCAGTCAGAGCTGGTATGTGTGTAATGTGTGTTGTTATGTTCTGTATGTGGATGAATGAATGTTGCGGGTTGCTAACCTTGCTGAAGAGCAGGTTGAGTTGCTTGCCCGAGCCGTGGTATCCTCCCTGTGACAGGAAGAGCTTGACTTGCTCCTGAACCTGCTCCTCGTCCAGATGCCAACAATTCTCGTCGTCCACGCTGGCCCCTGCCGTGGGGTCTGGGGCCCCTAGAAACGCGCAGACACAGAAAGAAACAATCAATCTAAGGAGGGAACTTTTACTAAGGCTTGATTGAGTGTTTTGGCCTTTTTGTAAAAGTCAAAATGCCAAACTTTCTTATGTAACGGATTTGTTTATTTTCATTCTTTTATTACTAAAACTAATCATTGGACAGATAAGCAATGTTAACAAGTCTTCCTATAATCCAGCAAAAAAAAAAGTCCTTGTTTACTGACATTTCTTTCGATTTGAGAGCAAAAAAAATCACATTTACACATGGAATCCATACATACCGACTCTAACTACTATATCACTGTTCGCAAACAGGCCACCATTTTATACGACAGTTTTTTTTTTCTAACCATAACATCAGAAAAGCTTAATTCAAAGCAAGCGACGAGTCTTCTGGGAATAATTAAAAATACAAGCAGCATAGCTCTTCTTTATTATAGCGGTAAAAAAAATAAAACAGCTGCAAATTCAGTTTAAAAAAAATAGTTTTTTTCATTTTTTCAGCCTTCACTGTGATATGAGACCGTGTGAGAGAGAGAGAGGAACAACATATGGCGACTTAAGTGTGACAAAATCACACGTAGTCCTTCTTCTACATTAAACTAACTTTAGTTATTTTCATTCTTTTAGGGTGTTTTCTCTATTTATAAAGCCACTGTAACACTGCATTACCCTGATAATTGTTAAATTTGCACTTATGCTTCTGATGCTTTTTTAAAATTGATGCATCACATAGATTCAGTGTTTCCTGATATGTCAGTACTTGTCAGAGATTCTTATTTCTCTGTCCTCCATTTCTACAAGTCTACCTCTGCTGTTACTTACTTTTCTTATTTCTATTTTCCTCGATATATTTTCTCTTTCTCTTGAAATTAAACACCCCTCCAACCTTCTTTATTGCTACTCCAGATTTAAAACCACTCCAACAACCACTCTATATGTTTTTTGACCTTCAGTTTCCATCTCCTTCACTAAGGTAAACAGCGAGCACAGTATTGATAGTGAGAGATATGCACCTCTCTTTATCTCCCTGCACACCTCCTCATCTCTGTGTATCTCTCTCTCTCGCTCTCTCTCAGAGGTAAATAACAGGTCTATAGTGTTGATTATAGGCACACAGTCTCTACTTTACTGCCTGGATTTCACTAATGAGTAACATTGATCCTGCCACACTTTACCTTCATCAGCCAGTCGATACACGTGTGCAGTAAAGAGGCTGAAACACACACACACACACACACTCACACACGCACACCTGCATTGTCCTGACGCTACAAACATGCCAACAACCTCAGCAGCAGCACACACAGATCTCCTCACCGTGGACCTGGTTGATCTCCGAGTTCTGCGACAGAATCTCGTCGGCCAGTTTCTGCGCCGTAGGCAACACTTCGGTGTGGTGGACTGAGATCAGGTACTGGACAAACTTCTGCAGCTGGTCTCTGCTCATCTGGAAAAGGGTTTCCGAGATGGGCAGGTGCAGTTTGACCTGCTCGGGCTTCCGTACTCTGTAAAGTGACAGCGCCACTACATGGGCGCAGTAGAAGATGTCCTTGTTGCCACAGGTGCATGTTACTGCTGTGATTTTGCAGCGGTCGAAGCTGACACTGACACTGCAGACGAGCTCGGGGGATGAGGGCGTGGCGGGGTCTGTCACTGTGCCGCTGAGATGGAAACCTGCAAAAGAGAGAATGACACGTAAATATTTGCTTTACCTCATGATCCAACTCTTCACATTTAAAGGATTATTTTGTTTTTTTCAGGGATGGATAAGAAAAAGTTAACAAATATGGAGAGTAGCGCTAGTACCAGATTGCCACAAAAAGACAGAGCAGTAACTTTGGCATTAACAACAAAACATCAATGTAGCCAAAGTTAAATATATCTCATGTTAGTGATACAAAGTTTTGGAAAGTTAGATGCAAAGACACAGTGCCTCATAAAGTAACTACAGAGACACATATAAGTTGAAAGCACATGAGCTATGCAAAGGTGTAGTGTTGGCAGAGGTAATGGCACTGAAAATGAGTGCGATAACAAAAACAGCAAACAGAGATAGATAACCAAAGAGAGCCCATACGGACAGGCAGCTGTACATTTTGTTTATTTCAGTTCCCTCAGAAGTACAAAGCTGGTTTTCTAGTCATTACCGGATCATTTATTGGCGATCTAACAAACAAAGAATAGGCTGCTTACTTAGAGGGACCAGACCATAAGCATGCTGCAATCCTCCACACTAATAAGGTAAGTTGAGGCTATTTCTATGAGTGTTTTTGTGCTTTGGCAGGTCTGATATTTCCAAAGTTATGCTGGGATCTTGAGGACTTGTTATCAAGGGAAGATAAAATGTACGTGTGCATGTCCCCTAAAGGCCTCTATCAGTTAGGATATCAAATGATATTCAATGTAACTGTGCATATCAGTACTATACAAGCAGTAATGCATATAACGCACATGACAGTAAAATGGTATATCGCACATGGTTTTGTACGGAGCCCAGGAAATGACATTGACTTTTTTTTTTTTAATTCACACATGCGATTGACTATCTCGCACGTGCGTTTTCGTACATAGCATGTGCCATTTAGTAACTTGCATGCACATTTTTTTAAAAGGACCTGTGATTTAGTATCTAGAAAGAAAATATAAATAATATGCTCTCTGTCCATGACACTATGACACTTAAAAAAAAACAGTTCATGTCACCTCCCAGGTGCGATTTTTTTTGTAGGATGGTAGGGGAAAGTACCTCCTTTGCCTCTGATTGGCTAGAAAAGCCGGAAATGTCGTGACACGCTCAAGCCAAACGCGGGCTGTTGGCTCTGTACATCAAACAGCAAACTTCTGAATCTCCTAACCCTAACCCTTAACCCTAACCCGACAGACGATGACTTTTCACAGCCATAAGGAATAACCAATCAGAGCCCAGCACTTCCAGCCAATCAGAGGTGAAGGAGGGCGGGACCTTCCCCTACCATCCTACAAAAGAAAAATTCCGTCCCAGGCTCCGTAGTTTTATTAGTAATCAGCAAAATAAATTTCTTCAGAACAGAAGAAATTAGTTAATTAACAGAAAATCTATCCATGTAAGAACAGAATAACCTCTTTCTTCAAGTTTTCACTTGCTATCAGCTTCTTTTTGTTGCTCTAAACAGCTGGTTCCAAAGTTTTTAAGGCGCCAATCATGAAATCTGTAACAAAGTGCCCTAATAACTTGATTAAAAAAAATCTATCTAAAAATTGATTGTTTTTAACCCTTTTCCAGACTTGAACTTTTTGTTCAACTCTTCTCATGCATCTATACTTAGTTTCCAACTTAAAAGCTTCCTTGGACTGAACTCAAAGACCACAAACGGAAAGAACTGAAACAAGGAGCAGATTTCACTGCCATTGCTAAAACAACATCTGAAGTATTATTATTCAGTCTTCTATAAATAAAACCAAGATCACATCGGGCATCTATCATCTTCATATAGAATTTCAAACCAAGCTTTACCCAAAACATCCATAAAATGAGAATAAAATGACTCAATTAAGTCATTGTAGGTGCCCTTTGGTAAACGACATTATTAAGTAAAAGAATGAACAGTCTATTATATGAAACAGACTCGGTTGGCCACAGTCACCTGCCAAAAGCCCCGTGTCCTGTTATCATGAGAGCATGATCAGGACCAGCTGCAGCCAGCTGTTACGCTCATTTTCTCCAAGTCATGACAGAAAACCGAGACGCAGAAACTCAAGATTGTAGATCCACAGTGAGAGGAAAGTGAGCCAGTGATGAGGAAGTGAGCGTGTTACAGTATGAATTATACACTCCCTTGTTTGAATATAATGTTTGATCTTATCCTGACTGCGCTATCCGGAGGTACGTCTAGTCATTATGCAAGGATGAATATAAATTAGCAGGGCGGGGTCCCCGGCAGAGGCCTAAAACGCACGCTGATGAGCATATGAAAGAGACACACTTGTACGCACACACTGAGTCGCAGCGTGAGATCATGCATTTATTAATTATGGGAGTGGTTAAGACAGCATGGAGTGTAGCTTATGAATGCATTTATGCGCTCGGGAGAGGTCTCTGAAATTCATGTGGACCGGGCAAAGACATACATCTCTTAAATATGTTTATCAAAGAGATGAGCGCTTGCATGGCGGTGATATCAAGCGAGTATTAACGCAGATATCAAAGTGTATCCTAGGCCTGTACATTACGTTGAGAAGGGGGGGGCGTAGGAGGTGAATTTTTCATAGGATATAGATGGAAAAGGGGTGTCGGGTGCATAAGAGGTCAGGCCAAAGCAGCTTTGAGTAAGGGTGCGCTCAAACTGCGAGTAAATAAGAAAAGGAAAGAAGGAGGTAAACAGGGTCATAGTCATGGCCTATAGTGTTGGCTATGCCCTTAGGATGGGTATAAAAATAAATCAAAGCTGGATGGAGACTTTGTTTTTCTCCCTACAGTAGAAAGTAGAAAGACAGCCAGGAAATAGCATTTATACAAGCTAGCAAAAGGCCCGGTACATTTTTAACCATCCAAATAATCAAGAAACTACATTCGCCTGGATGTTGTGAACACGCCGAACTGCAAGAGCATGGAAAAATAAATGGGAAATGTTTTGTTATTGTATTGTAGGACTAAGAAGTGTTGGCTGCAAATGTCTAACAGTGCAGAGCTGCAGAACATTGCCATGGAGATATGTTTTTTCCATTCGCGACGCCAGCTGGCACAGGAAGTGCATGTTCGTTAACAATATCCACAGAAGAGGGGTGTGGATCCAATATGGCAGCCACTTGCATCTGCAGTGATCAAAGCCTATACATCTACAGCTGTGGGAAAGAGAGACACACGTATACAAACACACACACACACTGAGTCACTCTTGAATGAGACAAAAAGGTTTACATGGTGCAGCTGGTTACAGAATGGCGAGCTAACCTATTTAGCTGTGTAATAACATACAAATGAGCAACAGCTTTTTATACATGCAGATACATTCAGTGTGTGTGTGTGTGTGTGTGTGTGTGTGTGTGTGTGAGAGAGAGAGAGAGAGAGAGAGAGAGAGAGAGAGAGAGAGAGAGAGAGAGAGAGAGAGAGAGAGAGAGTATTTGTATCTGTGTGCGTGTGTGACACAAGCTTATGTTTCAAGAGTGGCCCCTGGTCCAGAGAGGGGAGAGAAAAAGAGAACATCAAAAACATGTGGGGCTGAGAGAGCTCAAAGAAAAATCCACCTCTGATACAAACACACTCTAACACACACACACACACACACACTCTCTCACTTACTGTCTGTCTCTCTCTCTCTCTCTCTCTTATACACACACATTTCAGACTGTTGTAAAAGCAGCTGCACTTTTCGTTTTCCTGCAGGGTAAATTAACCAGGGTACTTTTTTTTCAAAATCCAAAACACATGGAGTATGAAAAACTAAATAGTGATAAAAGACGTATCCTCCAGTCTGTTGTGTTTTCCTTTTTTTTTCTTTTGATGGACACTTTCACTCTCTCTCCTTCCAAGCTCTTTTCATACATCCCTCCCTCCTCTCTCCCTCCCTCCCTCCATCCACATTCCCACAGCTCTCTTGCTCTCACTCTCTGACAGATGGGTAGGTAATGAGTTTCGCCTTTCCCCGTCCAATCGTCTGGGCACCAAAAACTAACCCCCACGCCAAAAATGCCCTTTTAATTTCGCCAAGCACTGAGTACAGGGATATTACTGTTTAGGTACACACACACGCATGTGCGCACACACCTCCCGTGACTCCTGGTTGGGTGGGTATGAAACCTTCAATGTCTCATGTGCTAGCTATTAAAGAGCCTGGTTTCCCCCCTCCCCGAGAGCTGCTCAGGGCTCTTTTCTGTGCATGTTCAAGAGGCCAGGGTTGGCTTTCAAAGTAACCATGGCGGCCATTTTTAGAACAAGGCCTCTGTGAGGTTGCCCTAGAAACCCTTTCTGACCGCCCTGGTGAAATCACACTTGGCCCGGGGAACTGTGTAAGGCACAGTGTGTGAAAGAGTGAGCGAGAATTAGTGTATGTATATATATGTTCAAATCCCACAAAGGCCTGTGGACCACCCACACTCTTTAGTGGGACTCACATCAAAGCATTCCCTGGAATAGACCTCTGCTCTATCTTTTTCTCTCGTTTTGATGTGTATGAGTGCCGATAAGCCAGCGTTCGCTCTCTTGACCAGCTAGTACCACTTCTACCTATTCAACCAGGGCCCCCTAGAAATACCAAACTCCTGCTCCTATTTCAGACCCATACGAAGACCTGAAACTCCCTCAACATACATCTGCCGTGACGGAAGAATGCCGCCTTTATATGCTCCCAATAAAACAGGATTTAGCTTCCCACATGAAGGCAGGCGGCGGGTATCGGGGCCCGGCCTCAAAGGTTCGCTCAGCTAAGCACAAAAGTGTTCAGTGTTTCAAAATCACTGGAGTATATTAGATTGAGCAACATACGTATATTTCTGCAATCACATTAAGATTCCAAGTGAATGGAGAAAATTCAGGTCCAGCAGTGGGAAGGTCATTAAGTTTATCAGCTGAATTGGTTCATGAGTGACTGTCACCTTAATCTAATATGGCACCGTGCAGTTCAGACAGCGCTCGTCTGTTTTATTTGTGTGTGTGTGTGTGTATGAGAGGAAAAGATTCCGGGATGAGTTTAGTGCAAGAGGAAAGATGCAAGAAGGGGGGGGGCTCTATGAAAGCAAGTCAACAAAAGCAAAATGGAGGAAAACAAATAGATATTTAAGGTCTATTTTTCCTACACTGACTCACATTAGCCCTGCGTTTTAATCAAATTACCTCACGAGCTGCAGACGGACAAAAAAGCAGGACCTAAATCCGACTTTGCCCTGCTGGAGCTGCTCTGATCCTGATGGGACCACCTGCAGTATCTGGAGCTTTAACATGGGATCCTGCTCTACGTAGACCAAAGATAGCTCGCTAAAACCTCTCTGAGAAAAAAAAAAGAGGCTGCTGGACTGGAATCCAATCCGTTTGCTCGGATTGAACCAAGAGGCCCTGCTGAAAGGAGATCTGAACCACAACTGAAGAAAAGCAGCGGGTTGAGGAAGGGTCGAGAATTGTTGGGCAATCCCCACCCCTAAAACTGCCTTCGGTCGATCCCACCCACAGCTAAAAGAGCATTTCCTTGAACTGGCCCAATTAATAAGGCTACAAAGGCAAATACAAGGCCTTTCAGCATCTTAGTGGGTCGGTCTGTGTGAGTAACCATGAGTACATGCGTGTGTGGTCCTATAAGGAAGCGCCCATACCGAGACCATAAACAGAGATCAATGCTGTTCTGCAGGAGACCTTGCCCCAGGCGTGTGTGTGCATGTGTGTGTCTTAGGTGTGGGACGGGCTGGAATAATACAGCTGAGCTCCAGAGGCGGCCATGTTTATGCCTTAAACCCTCTGGTGGACTGAAATGCCTTTTTCCCTGCCCGTATGTTTTTTCATCACCCACACAGTCATACACACGTGCACCAACATACACCAACGTACCGTCTCGCTGTCTGAATGCTGATCCCAACAGACACAAACAAGCATTATGAAGCATAAATTAATGTTTTGAGATATTCTATGAATTTCAATGCCTTTACTTCCTCTTCGGATTCTGACAGCGGAATCTGCATGCTAATCAAACTGATGGAAGAGGGAAGGATAGAGTACATTGTGTATATGTGTTTCTACGTGCGAGTGCGTACGTGTGTGTGAGCATTGACGGCAGTGTGGGTGATTGGAGTTGTCATCAGCTGGCGGTTGAAATGACAGTCGACTACTGGGCTGCTGCCACTTAGTTGCCATGCGGTACATCAGGAATGACTTGCAATTTTCTAACTATCACTTTCAGAATGAATTCTAATTTTCCCTGGATCAGGCCTGTCAGGCAAAGCTGGAGTTACTACACTGCTGACTGATCCCACAGGTTGATGTTCAGAGGGCTGACCGGTGCAGAGAGGACCCTGTTTAGGGAAAAATTCAAAAGGATAGAGTAATGAAAAAGAGACCCTAAGATACTTTTTAATAAGAAACAGTTTGATGTTTTGGTAATACTTTTTCAATCCTGCAGATAAGCAATGGGGAATATTGACTGTCACATCTTTACATTAAAGCTGTGGTTTTATGCGTTTTTCATATTTAAAAAAAACAAATGTTAAGTTAAAATGTTAGACATCAGTTCTACACATGAGCCAAGTTTGATTTCAAGGTTGACTTGTGTTGAAATAATCACTAGATGGGACTACAGAATGCTCTGAATGGCTAGTTCAGAAATTCCCACGAGAATTCAGCGAGATCATAATGAGATTTGCTCACATTGTGACATCACCAAACTGAGAATCTACTTAAAAGGGCAAATTAGTGGTTTTATGAGGAGAAAGAAAACTTTGTTGCATGGCAGCAGTGAAAGAGGCTTCCAGAATGGGTTAGGGTTCAAGGGAGGGGGTCTAAAATGAGGGTCTTTTGCTGCGTTCCATTTGTAACTGGAAGTCGGAATTTCCGAGCTTCAAGTCGGAAATTTATAACGCCCCCTTGAAGTCCGATTTCTGACTTGGAAAGTTGTACGATCCTCACCAACCCTGACTTGACACAATGTCATATTCCAAGATGGCAGCACAGTGCATCAACAGTAAAGAGTAACAGTGAAAACTCTTGTAATGTTTTATTTATTAGCACTTCTGTTTTGTTTTTGTGAAATTAAAAAAGCGGTTTATGTTGTACTGCCCAACGTCTAACTGTGAACTCACTGGTATGGTGTTTGTAAGAGTAAAATACTGTGTTATGCGTTGTTTACAGCTGGTATCACTAACAACAACTAACAACTGCAGAGAACTGCTAACAACAACTTACAATGGCTAACAACAGCTAACAATTGTAAACAACAGCTAACAACAGGTAACTGTAGGCGTCCATCTTGGGTTTCCAACTTGCTAACTGTATCACCGTCAACTGGGGTCTAACGTCATTCATATTGTACTGTATTAGAGGAAGCATTAATACTCTAATCAAAGTCTTGCAAAGAAAGAAAATAACCATATGAACCAACGTAAAATATCTCAAATTTTAAATGTGCACAACAGCCATGCAGCACATGAATTAAATTTCCCTTTGAGGATCAATAGAGTTTGTCTTATTTTATAACAGCTGTTCATCACCAAGCTTAAGCATTTGCTGATGCAGCTAATACTAACAAAAAAAAAGAAGTCAGTTAAGCACAAATTTTAAATATGTTTTGGTTAAAAAATGGTTCTCTCAAACAAAACAAGCAATACATGTCTACTTAAGTATTAAACACCATGGTGTAAATTTACTATCGGTTTTAATTTCAGAATGGCACTTGTGTGTATTGGATGAACGATCCCTTTAGCTGCTATTCTACAAATCTCTGTCACTGGAGAAGCCCGTAGCCTGCTAATTCTGTCTCCTGGCTGTACATTAACTATACATTATCCCAATCCATGTGCAAGGTTCATTAGTGTGAATGAAATTACAGCTGGCTGGAAATGAATGTGTGTAATTAGCAGAGGTCTGTCCCAGCAGAGCAACGCAAGCTATAGAAGGAGGTAATGGGATCCATTGAAAAGCCATTGTCTGCTACTTCAGGGTCTGAGTATCTTTCTAATGACAAACCTATACAGTCCAGACATTATAGCGCTAGTCTCTATGAAGGGCGCGAGTCTGGGTTGAGCTGAGCTGGTCTGTATTAGTCAGAGAGGACAAAACGGACAAAGAAAATGGCGCCGTATGTACTACTTTGTTATTTTTGTAATGTGTGTAAGGTAGAAGCTTTGTTTGTTGGTCTTTACGCCTCATTTGCATAGAGAAAGTGTGCTAAAATGACATTTGCCACGCCTGTCAGAAATGATTACAGATGTGCTCCTCTTGCTTAATTTGAACTTTGCCCTATAAATCTTTTTTTCTTCGCTAAATCTTTTTGATAAAGCAGACTTCGAAAATTTGTTTTGACACCAAAGCCCAAGAACAAAGAAGGTTGAGAGCGAGAAAAAAAAAACATAAAATCACAGCAAAAAAAAAAAGAAAGAAAGAAAGAAACTGTGAATCTAGCACAGCAGGCAGACATAAAGCCAGCACTGTGGAAACAACATGGCTGAATGTGACGAGAATTTATTTGAATAGGAAAATAAAAGGCCACTCACAACACTGGGGTTTAAACTGCTGCATGACTGTGTGCGCACATGTGCGAGTTTGCATGCGCTTTCAAGTTCACATGCCCACGCCAGCAAATAACCTTACACTCTTTACCCTTCCCATTTCGTTTGGAAAGTCATCCGACACACTCCAACACACACACATGCACACACACACACTTGGATATGCATATATAACCCCACCCTTTGACACACACTCTTGATGCCTTCATGCATGCACGCATACTGGCTTCAGTGACTCCCTGCAGTCAACCTCCTTCTGCTCACAAACAGCCCCTCCTCTTTCCTTTTTCTCTCTCCAATAACTGGCTCCTCCCCCGTCCCCTCACCCCCCCTCCCATGACACACACGCTCTCTCTCTCTCTCTCTCTCTCTCTCTCTCTCTTTCTCTCTCTTTCTCTCTCTCTCTCACACACACACACACAGAAATGCTGCCTAGCCCTAAGCTGACCCGTTGTGTGTACTGACGTCACACTCTAGACAAGGGGAGGCATCATTCCAGACAGACACACACACGTGCACACCCCACACACACACACAATCACACACACACACACAGGCCCCAGCCGAGGGGGAAGCTGCATTCCAGCACAGGCACACACAAACACACATCACCCCGCCTGGCGGTGGGAAGCATGGGGAGTGCTCAGCTGTAGCGGGGAGGTGGGGAAGAGGGCCAGGGGAAGGGGGAGGCGAAGGGGGGGTAGTTTCAGAGGAGGGGGGAGGGTAGGGGGGTGATGGCTTTGAGCCAGTGTTCCTCTGAGCTCAGCACTTCCCCTTTCAGCTCCAGCCAGCCGCCAGTTTGCGTAACGCAGCCCATGCAGGCCTGCCGGCTCGTGCTTAACCCCTTCCTTCCTGGAGTCACTGAGGTCACACCCGATGTTTTCTGTTCGCCACATCCTGGTGTAAAACCCACCCCTACTTTAACATCCCCCAACATCCCTCCTGACTCAGGCTGCCCCATTATAGCGCTGAGCACACTGGCCCACTACGCATACTTCCACATTATTACCTGACACAGATACACACATATGAAGCGAGAGAGAGAGAGACGCACATAAGCAGTGCAGAGAAATGATACACTTACCAGGAAGTAGGTTAACCTTCTGCATGTCAATTTCCTCTTTTATTCTAGCAGCTGAGAAAATCTGCATCTATTTTTCTTCTTTTTCAAAATGCTTAGCATCATCCTGAGCAGAGGAAGGTAGAAAAGTAGGTAGTGTGTGGCCTTAATAAACCTCTATGAAGACGAAAACAACAAAAGTACAACTGAATACACACCCATTAATTATCAATTAACATCGCCAAAGACAACCGTACAGCTCACACACGAACCATCCTCACACAGACCTGTTTAGGTTATACAAAACAATGAAAACCGGTGTGTGCGTCCTCAGCATTGTACGATGCGGTGTGTCTATGTCTCACTGTGTGCGTCCATTGACCTTCCAGCAGCGTATGTGGGCCAAAGTGTCCGCTCTACAAACAGAAAATGTGAGGCCTCCTGCAACAGACATGGCGACCTCACCCCTAAAAAACCCCCCAATGAAACGTGTCATAGCTCACACTAACCACAGCAGACACAGTCCACAGTGGAAGAAGAGGGGGAGGTGGGCACAGCAGAGCGGTGGGGGCAGAGTGAATGAGGGTGGAGGATGGGGGAAGTTCTCTCACATTTAATATCACTTGACACGCGTCATCCAGCATCTCTCAAACAGCCGCTGAGCCTGTGTCAAAGCTGGGGGGATGCTGCGCACGCGTATACGCGGCGCACCTTCAACAACACACAAATAGTCGAAAACAAAGGCAACCCAAAGACAAACACCTCAGCCACCTGGCGCCGTGATCGACGGGCCGCTGCAGAGAAGAGGAATAACTGGGATGAAGACAAGTGAGGGAAAGACGAGAGAAGGGGGGGTGGGGGGGTGCAAGAGAAAGGTTGGATAAGTCTCTGCTGAATCGTGGTGGTCGATTCTCCTGCCTGCAGGCTATTCCTGTAAATATTGACGTTGATGTTAGGACCACTCTCTTAAGGATAAGCTATAAAGCAAGGGGGTTAGATTTACTCTGTGCAAACTGTAAGCATCTGCAATCACACGCTATGCCTGCTTGGCCGATCTCTGAGTGTGCTGAAGGGGGGGAAACACAGAGAGACTTTGAGGCTGAAGAGCTGCAGCCACATGAGGGAAGTGAACTCTCTTAGTAGGTTTACAGCTTGCTCCTCACCTCCTTCTACTCTCTCTCTCCCTCTCCCTCTCTGGATGGGTTAGGTTTCCACTCTCAAGCTAAAAGCAGGCAGCTGACATCAAAACCTTCAGAGAGACCCCTATTTCCCAGAAACAGCTCTCGTTTCATGTAAATAGCTGCCTTTCATGGCTACATTGAGATAAATTGCACCCTGCTGGACAAGAGGGAGACAATGTGCACCCTGGAGCCTCCTTTGTTGACATCTGTATGGGTTGCCATGACAATACATGTCTGCCCAGTGTGAGCGTGTTTGTACATGTGTGTGTGTGTGTGTATGCACTCATGGGCCGCATTCATGGGGGCACACACCTTGCATACATTGAGAAAACATAGACAAGCACACACGAAGGCGGGCAGGTCCACACACATAGAAACAAAATACAAATACCTCCCCTCATTCTTCCTCAAACACACAAGCATGACTGCACAAAAGCTTGCAAAGAATAATGCATGAGCGTGACCAAACACTGAATCAGGTTCGACTTGCTTCCAGCTACAATGTTCTCGTGGGAGGCTGCAGGCAGAGAAGTTATTACTAATCATCCTCATGTTAAAAAGGGCAAAACTAATCTGACTATGACAACACCTTTTTTCCCAAAACCCTCTAGAGGATCGTGTGTGTCTGGTCCACTGGGAATGAACGTGCGAGAGAGAAACGCAAGAATGCTTCAATTTATTTAAATACAAGTGGGTTAAAGATGCCAATCCTCCTCGGGGATCCTAATTCCCCAACTTACATTAGTCACTATCCATCTATGTTTGTGAAGAAATTACCGCGATTGTCCTTACACTCAGAGCATTTCCACGCCGTTTGATCAAATTCGCTCCAATTAGCATTTTCATAGACGGCAGGAAAATAATCATATCTGTATGCAATTACGCTGATTATGTCTGTTTAGAGACTTGTGAAGTGAAGGACTATGTCACCTCTGAGACCACGTGAAACAAAGGACAACTGCTTTGTTTATACTCTACCAGACGTCTCTACTCCCTCATTATGTTCATTTCGGATGCCAGAGTGCCGAAGGAGGCAGGGAGGGAGGGAGCGGGGGTTCAGTCGGGGATTGTGGGGCAAAACTGAGGGGGTGAAAGAAGGTTGTGGGTTTGCATATTAATCATAAGGATAGAAAATAGTATACTGTATGTGTGTGTGTGTTTGTGTATGTGTGCGAGAGAATCCCCCTCCTCTGGGCAAGTCAGCATTCACCCATGAAGTAGGTCAGTGAAATTTGCCCAAATTAGGTCAGTGGCAGTCAATGGGTGCCATCCTGGACAAGAGGGAGAATAAAAGAGGAGGAGAGAGGAAGAAGAAGAGAGAAAGAGACGCTGAGTCTATAAGGTTAGGAGAGCAGAACCAAGCGGCTTACTTCAACTTAGCTTTTACATTTAGTTAATTACTATTGCAGTGGACCATACAAAACACACGAGACACACACACAAAAAAGAGAAGGAAGACACACAAAAGGGTCTGGTGTAACGCGAAAGCTTCTCTTAAAGCAGGAAGAGTTTTTACAACTTCAAGCCGTCATGTTTTGTTTCCTCAAACATCCCTGGTTTCGGGATCAAAAAAGCTCCTTTTGATTGAAAAAGCTTGTGAAAAGCAGTCCGATTTGGTTACAGTGCTTAGGTCTGATTATTTAGCACCCCTCCTCCTCCTCCTCTTCCTCCTCCTCCTCCCTCCTCTACACCCTCTAGCTGTTTGGTTGGTATCTTCTTTGTCATGTGCGTCTGTTTCGTCTAGCTGTTTTCCTTCCTTATTTTGAAGAATCCACATCGGGGGGGAAAGAGGTTGTTGTGCGTTGTTGCCAATAAACGGCTGAACACAGGGACCTTTGAAGTCGGTGGCGCGTTGCGATTCGCTTTCATCACGCCGCATCTGTCAGTCAACCGGAGGAAACGTGACTCAAAAGGAAAACTTTTTAGCTGCTTTTCCTACCAAATTTCTTCCTACCACACACACACACAAAACACAACCACCGAACACCAAAACACAACAACAAAGGCAGCATAAACGACAAAGGCTGAATTGGGCATTAGACAGACAGGGAGTGGGCTGAATAATAAACTGTGAGGAGCTGTACAAGAAGATTCCTCTCTGTTTCTTCCTGCCTGGGCTTCCTTGTCCCACTTCTGCACAAAAGGAAACATGTGTGTGTATGTGTGTGTGTAGCTGTGGGGTGCTCTCTGAACTCTATCCTGGCAGCCCCCCCTTTGTCGCTCAGCTCAGTACAGCTGCGTGTCGGAGAGGAGGAAGAGCACTGACAGGTGTCTTCTGTGGGCAATGTCTGATGGCAGAACCCGGGCCTGCACCTACTCACACCAGCCCGCAGCCTCGCTCTGACAGCCACAGAGGTTGAGGAGGGGGAGGAAGGGCGAGGGGACAAAGGCTCCCTTCCCCTGGGCAGCGATCAAACTCAGGCCCCCGGCTTGCCTGGAGATGTGACAAGGCCCACTTCCCCTTTTCACTACTTCCCCACCATCCTCCACCCTGCTGTCAATCATTTGTCATGTGCTTCACACTCTTGCGTGCGCTCGTGTGCAGAGCATATGTCGAGTCTTCCTGCACGAGTTAATGGGAGATACAGCGAGACAAAGAACTATACGAGGATACAGCAGAGAGCTCAGTGGGGAGTTTTGAGCCAGAACAACCAAATGTACAAGCTAAACGTGGCTCGCAGTAAAGCACGCCACAATGAGTTACAGTCGCTAACGTTAGTAGCCAGAGAGAGATGCCTGGCTGGAGAGGCTGGGTATAGGAGCCAGAGAACTGAACTGCAGCCAACCTGGATAAGGCCTCAGTCCAGCTAAGTTGGGACAGTACCAGGGACCCAGCTACAGCCCATCAGAGCAGAGAGGCAAGGAGGAGGAGGGGGAGCAAGTGAGTTAGCAAGAAATGCAGAGTGAAAATGAAGAGAAAGGGAGAGAAAGAGAGAGGGGAGGTTTGGAGGCCAAATAGAGATAGAAAGAGAGAGTGGTTCTGAGGCTTTTCAGCTCCGGAGTGGGATAGAGGGGGATGGTTTGGAGGGAGTCAGGCAAAGCTGGAGCCCAGGCTCAGAGGCAGGGCCAGGGCTGAGCTGGGGCTGCAGAGAGGAGCCAGGGCTAGAGGCCAGAGGAGGGAGGGAGGGAGGGATGTGGGGCCGGGGCCAGGGCCAGAGCCAGGGGCCCCAGCTTTAGATTTAGTCAGCTGTTCCCCTGGCCAGCAGCTGGAAGCGAGAGAAAGGGAGGGGAGTAGCAGGGGAAAGACTACATAGAGACTTTAGGGGGAGAGTTTGAGTAGGGGGAAGGAAAGTGAGAGGAGATGGAGAGGGGTAAGAAAGAGAAAAAAAAGAAGAGGGGGATGAAGAGAGAGAGAGAGAGGATGAAGGGAGTAAAGGGGAGAGAGAGAGAGTGGTGGAGGAGGTTTGGAAAGAGGACAGTGGAAAAGCCATTAGATTCCTATGAGGGAGAAAACAGCGCCGAGAGCAGACAGACTGACAGAAGGTGGTTAAGGCTCACTGGCTTTGCAACCACTCTTCTCTTCCTCCCTTCTCGCTGCTGGTCCTCCTGCTCTTTCAGTCCACTCCTCCCTCCCTCCTTCACTCCCTCCCTCTGTCCGTTCATGCATCTCTCCATCCTCCTCCTCCTCCTCCTCTTCTCTTTCCGTCACTGGTGTGCTATTCTCTGGCTACCTCCCTTCTCAACCAGTTGTGCTTCGGCAACAGCCCTGCTATTCATTACGCACGACCTGCAGGCATGACCCTAAACACACACCAAGATCCCAAACAGGTGCCCCACACACACACACACACACACATGCAGCAGGGATCACAGAATAGAGGGAGGAAGAACACAGAGTTTAGGGGCTGAAGTGAGGAGAGAGAACACTCTGTGACTGCAGGAGAAAGACGAAGAAGATGAGGGGATGGAAAGAAGAAAAAGAGGATAGAAAAGGCTGTAATCAAAGCACAGAGCATGCACGCTTTGTTTCCATAAAAGTGTTGAAATGAGATTTGGAGTAGGGGAGCGAGGGGCAAGGTTTGCCATGGGGCAAGCAGCCACTGCTAGCAAAGCACTTTATGGCCTATTATATTCCATTCAGATGGACCAGGCGTCTGGGATAAAAGCATTCAGTCTGTGCGTTCGTGAGTGACTCAGCACTCTGAGCCTTTGCAGGTGGACCCCCTCATAACTACACAATGCATATCAATGAAGTGGCCAACTCTCTGCATACAGATCGCAAACTCCCACACCTTTGCCTCTGCTTTTTTCCCGCTACCTGCTCCACCACCAACGCCACTTTTTTTTTCTTTTAGCACTTTTGTGGGAGCCTCAACACTGTTCAGTCTTTGGATTTAAGTAGTCAATCATCTCTTCTACATAACAGACCCAAAAGTGGACATAAAAAAGAATCTAAAAAAGAAATACCAATCCCAAAATGCACCACTTTGCACACTTCTTACGCCCCACTTTTAATCCAGCATTTTCCCCAAATTAAAACGGAGATATTTCTTGCGCACACCTTCTCCCTTCTTCTCTCTCTCATCCAGTGTTGTGATGGTACATCCCCCTCCTCCTCCTCCTCCCTGTGTCGCTTTCTCTCCATTACTCTCTTGTCTCTCTACAGCTCTCCCTCCACCCATCCTGCCCTTTCCTTTTCTTTCTCTATGCCTCTCTCCTCCCCTTCTCTCCTCCCCTCGGTGGTGGTTAATGGCACAGGGATCCAGCATGGAATATAGATCAGTGCGAGATGGATGGGGCACCAGGAGCTCCGGCCAGTCCCGTAGGTCCCAGACCAAAGATTAACTAAATATTAGCTGACAGGAAGAGAGAGAGAGAGAGAGAGAGGCAGGGACACAGCTGCAGCTGCTAGTGCCACTGCCGGCAGAACAAACGACAGAGGTTGTTTTTAACCCCCTTTGCTCTTTGGAGGGACACATGCGATAAACACACAAGTGATGCAAAAATACACACAAAGCATCGGGGCATACATACTGCTGTGCGCTGGTGCACACATGCTAGCAGAGGCACCCTGGAGAAGAAGTCCACTAATCACATTCTCTCCTCCCCCCCTCCTGCCCTGCCAAGGCGGATGGCGAGCAGAAAAAAAAGGAATAAATCTTTATTAGGCGATGTGTCCCTGCTTTATCGATCGCTTCGCTCCTTCCCTCCCCCCCTCACTCCTCCTCCTCCTTCTCCACCCCCACCTCCCTTCTCTCTCCCTCCTTTTGTTATTTTAGGCGTGTGTCTGCCATCCAGTCCAATTGAGTCAGGCTGTACATCAGAGAGGACCATTACCCATGTCTCCCTGGGCCGGGCTGTCACTGGCTGTGAGGGGGGTAGGAGGTGAGGTGATGTAGCCACCCAAGAGGGACAGCTAGCCAGCTAATAGCTAGCCAGACAGACAGGCAGCCAGATAGTAGATTTTGGGCAAGAATGCAGGCAGACAAAGTGGCAACAACTCACAGGGGGGAGACCGTCTTGGAAAGCAATGCCAGGTCACCGCAACAGTGGGTTTGTACTTCACCTACACTCAAGTCAAATGATTTATGGTTCTAATTTTCAACTGGACGTTGGTGATGTATATTAATCACATCTTTCTTCTGGCAAAGGATAAGCACCAAGGATTTTCCAGTGGTGCTCGGATTAAACTGACACTGAATCTCCGTGAGTCAAATCCAAAGTTATATTTTCTGAAGTGTAAAAAGTGTCAAAGTCTGTTTGTATACACACCAAAGGACTATCTCAGTGAGTATACTTGTATTGTGTTAAAATGGAACAGCTTATGAATAACTTATTTTGTACTTGTTAAACATAAGCTGTGCTAAAGTAGTACAAAAGCTCACGAGTGTATTTCATGTTAAATTGTGGTTTCCTGATTCAACTGAGTGAGGGTGTCAACATAAAGCATAGAAGACATTTGACTGGTCAAGGCTCTGAGTGTAGGCAACAACAAAGTCATCTACTGTATATACATACATATTTGTCTTCAATTATGAAATTCAACCACCTCTTAATAAAATACAACAAAGTACTTCAAAAGAATCTGAATTTGAATTGTGCTTCATCAAGTACCACACTACCAGTAAAATACAGCATACTTTACGATGAAATGACCCTGGGGTCAGTTTAACACTCCCTAAAGTTTAGTTTTAACAGTGAGCCAATAGAGCATACTTTCCAACGTATGTGTTACATACACAAATAGGTACATTTTTACTCAGTAACACAAAAGTCAATGATGATTAAGTGTGCTTTGGTGTATAAGTTTGTTTTTAAGACCATACCACTTATTGAAAATACAACAAAGTACTTCAAAAGAATCTGAATTTGAATTGTGCTTCATCAAGTACCACACTATTGTTAATACTAACAATTATATCAAGGTTCGCATGAACAAAATGTGAAGGCTCTGTTATTACGGTGTGCAGCTGTTCTGAACACTTTGGATTACTCACTTGGTTGAGTTCCACTTGGGTCATTTTTCTTTGTCTCTTTTTCTTCCACAGGTCTACTATGATTTAATGATTTCACATTATACCTTTATGTTTGTCTAAACTGTGTGATATTTTAGTTCCATTTGACACAAAGAACATTTTACTTTTCACTTGCCAGCTGAGCAGTGTCATGCAAAAACAGAGTGTTGACGTTATTTTCCATTGCAGCAGCAGAAATATGCCACAAAAGGCTTTACTGTGGCAAATGGCACACTGTTGAAATACACTAATGCCTTAATTTTTGACTTCAATAACATCCTGATCAACTTATTAACAGCTACTGCTTAACTATACTGTTATCAGATGATATGACAGTGTGAGACCACCAAACAGTGCTTGTGCTTCCAAATTGTTATATATTTTAAAAAAAAATCAACTTACTGTTTATTCTCACTTTTCAACCATGTTTTATTTTGTCTGTTTTGCTTTTCATGACATGTGCTGCTGACTTCTTGGCCGGGTCACCCTTGGGAAAGAGATCTTGATCTCAGTGGTTTTTATCTGGGTAAATAAAGGTTAAATAAAATAAAAAATATCCAGTGGGCTTCAAGACTGATAAAAGATTGTCAAACTGACAAACTGTAAAAGGGCACTAAAAAGTCTGAAAAAAGTGCTCATATATGCTTGATATTTGAAATACCAACATGCGTGCCTCTTCATAACCAAATGGGAACTGAGGTTAGCACCACAGCTGAGTAAAAACGTCATCATTTGACTTGAGTAACTAGACACAGTCAAACTGACATTTAGACGACACACTTAAATCCTCATCCAGAGCAACAGCTAAATGAAAAAACTAACAATACCATATGAATTTCTGAAAGGCGGGACTTGCCAAAAAGTTCCAGGATGGAAAACATTAGGTTGAGACTAATTTTTAATCCAGAGAAAAACACCACAGCAAATAGGCCAAGTCCTGTCCTGCTCCTTCTTCCAGACAGTGGTAAACACAGAGCCTCTAAATGTAGAAACAGTGATAGCCCCTGAGGTCTGGAAGCAGACTGCGAGCTATGGGCAAAGAAAGTGGAGAGCTAGCTAACTGGCTAGCCATCCTCTAAGGGGTTTCCACACAAGCAACCCTATAGAAAAATGATGTATCCAGATAAGAGGAGTGTAAATAAGATATGAGTTTTTATTGCCCATCTTGGGAAATAGAACTGTAAAACTAAGAAGGAGAGAAAATAGACATCATATGAGCTTGAAAACATAAAGGAGGAATTCACAAAAGACAAGAAGGACAGTCACAAGTTGAGGGAAATAAGACAAGAGAAGGATGAAGGTCAGGCTGAATGAAGAAAGACAGAGGTAAGAAATAAAGAACTCCTTCAAGACAAAACTATTCAGAAGAGCAAACGAAATTCCATAGTCGGATGAAAGCCTTCTCCTCTCCTTCTCCTCCCCTTAAAAATCTCTTTCTTTCTCTGTCTTCGCCTGTTTGTCTCTCATGCCTGGAGAGCCATTCTAGCTCTATTCAGCTCTGCCACAGAGCAGTGAATGCATGTCTCACATGCCACACAGCCACGACATCGCTGAACCAGGCACAGCCAGAGGCACCTCGCACTCTGGACCACCTCCTCCTCCTCCTCCTCCTCCTCTGCATAACTCAAACGGCACTTGAGCCTGTTGGGCAAGAGGAGACGAGGAGTAAAACCCCCCGCCTCTAAATACGGCCCAGATCCCTGATTCTCTGGCCTGTACTTTGTCCTTTCTCTGACTTATCTCTCAGATGGGGAAATTGCTTACCGGAACACGCAAAAGACATTAAATCAAGAAAACAGTATTGCTTTTTGGTATGTTGCTGTTTATTGGAAAACAATAATGTAAGAAAGGTCCGTCTTTCAAGCAGAGCAATCGGCCACTGAAGGGACAATCCAACCAGATTGACCTTTGACTTAAGTAAATCCCTGGGGGTCAAGTGAAGAGGTCAACACTGGTTCAGCTCAATGCTGGGGGAGGCACTAGTCGATGAGTGAACACCTCCGTCACTGTGTGTTTGTGTATGGGAACAGGGTCAGCTGCAGGTAAGCCCTCATCCCTGTCTGTTGTTTATTCTAAGGCGCCTAGTCACTGGCACTGTGTGTCTTCGAGTGTGTGCCCAAGTAAGCAAGCGTGTGTGTGTTTGGCAAGAGTGGAAATGGGATAGGGTGGGAACGATGACAGACGGGAATGTCATCCAGCCTCTTATCATTAGCATGCCTCACCTTTATTCAGCCTGACACACACAGCCATAAACACACTCACTGAGCTGCTACCACATAAAGTCATACATGCACATGTTTGTACGCACACAGATACAAAACAAGCTCTGGGAATCCACCTTAACTTCAGTCCTGTACAAACAAAATGTGGCTGACTTTACACCTTATCAACACCAAGAGCAGTTTTCCCGTCACAGAGTTTGAGGGGTAATCTTTTAAGTATCTATAGATCAAGCTAAACATGCCAGAGAAATGATATACCTCTGATTTTTGCAAGGACAATAACAGTACCGCCTTTATCCTAGGAGGACAGCAGGTAACTCACTACCCCCTGATTAAGTATGTAGTGATTTAGCTGAGACACACACACACGCGCACACACACCAACAAGAAAAACATGTGTAGCCTTTAGGCTGATCCAAAGCAGTTTGGCTTCTGGGGAGAACCAGCTGTTGACCAAAGTGCACAGAGAGGCTCTGTTCTGTGGAAACAGTGAAAGCATATATAGGCAGCTTCAACACGTAGACTCATAGATAGCCCATCTACAAACGAGTGCACACACACTCCAAACACACAGTATATGCATACATACATACATTGATCCCAACACTGCAGTAAGCAGAGTCTTGGCCTGCTTTGTGCTTATTTCAGCAGCCCATTGGTGCAAAGAGGAATTCATTAAAACTGAAAAAAAACATGGAAGGGAGCATCAGATAGGAGAACGCTGAGTGCTGCATTCCCCTGTTGTTATTATTGCCAAATCGAAGAAGAGAAGGGCGGCTGGTAATAAAAGTCATTAAATGAAATAGAAAAAACAGCTTTTAATAGGGCCTTGTCGTTGTAGATTTAGTAGCCTTTCCATCGCCTGCTCCCTCCACTCACAGGGAAGAGAGAGGCACGAGCTGTGTGGAAGGAGCGCTGGATTCCTAGACAGAGTCAGCCAGCCGAGGAGCTGCTGACGCACACCCAGCAGCCACAGTCTGGGACAGGAGACAAGTCAAGCTGGAACGGGGGGGACGGGCAGACGTGAGGGAGCTCATGCTGGAACTTTATTTCTTTAGCTGATTTATTTTAATGGGCAGAGCATGCTGATCTTGTACATTGAGCGTCTCTGATAATGAGCCAGAGCTGGGCAAGTTTGAAGGGTGGTCTTGTGCAACTCGGTAGTAGGTTTTGGAGTGTGGCAGGCACACAGTCGACTCAAGCTAGAACTGAGGCGGCGATTTAAGAGGGGAAGGGAGGACACAGCTATGTCTGGGACCGGGAACGGGATTGGGAGGGAAGCTGGCTTCAGTCAGGTGGAGGGACTGGAAAAAAGGCAGACGGAGTGAGCTTGAGATGGCAGAGAGACTGCCTAATGGTACGTTTTGGGGACAGTGCTGGTAATGTGAAGAGCAGGAGACGGTTTTGACTGGGTGTAGAGGATGGAACATGGATGCTATGGTCTGTGGTGGGAATAATCTATCTAGAGGCACATCTGCGTCTGGGAATAGGGTTAGTTCAAGTTTGGGAAGTGACAACCATTGGGACCTTCTGGAAACTTCTGACATTTCGGGAACATGGCAGGGCTTGCAAAGGAACCATTGGTCATCTATCACTCTATGGGTACAGAAAAGCACTGTCAGAACTTTCTTTTATGGGTTTAATCCTTGAAGGGGCCACCCAGACTGAGACCTGGCAAGGGCTTACTGTCTGTTTGTAATCGAAGGCGGAAATCGAGCTGCTTCTGAAAGTCATTAAGGGTCGAATGAAAGTAATTATCACGTACGCATGTTCCAGATTTATGATGCTTACTGCAACTTTGGCTCACATTGAAGATATTCTTTGTAAATAGAAATAAATGGAAGATCTGTTAACCTAGGTACCGCCATAGGTCACTCAGTGTTGGTATTGAAGTAAAATCACAATAAAATACACAATCTAGAATCTGTTTCAACATCTTAACAGCCAAGTGTGTATTACCACTCAGATTGTCATGCACGGACGCTATGGTAGCATGTCTCCATTACAGGACAGCTGAAACATATCCTGCTATCTGTTCAACCAACCAAACCAGACAAAGGCCTGGAATCCACTGCTCCCAGTCTCTCACAGTCAGAGAGAAAGCACTTTCCCCAAAGACTCGGTGTCTCTTCACATGGATGTGGTTGCAGCCCCTCTTCTCTCTCCCTTTCTCTCTCCCCCTTGGACGGCCATTTGTTTACACTAGCTCTAGGCTCAGCCATGTTTCCATGACGACACAAGCCCAGGGATAGTCACATGGCTTGGGGTAGACCTGAGGCACCAGATTCAGGATCACTGCCTCTTCGGAGCCTCACCTTGGAGCTTGGTGGAGAAACAAGTTCAGACCAAAAATCCAACGACTCCACTTTGTGAATACCTTTAAAAGGACCCTATTCAGGTCATTTTAAGAGAAAATTAAAGGCCTTTTCAGGGGATATTTTTCAAGGTAATGAGTCATGTTGTGTCCACCACCCTTCAGAGTCCTGAGTCACGAGTGGAGCCTCTTTATAACCAAATAGTTCCACACGGAAAGACAGGATGTTCGGATAATTTTTTGTCTCTCCCTGTCTTTGGCGGTAGGCATGTGGGCTCAATCTCGACGGGCATTGTAAAAAGATAAAGGAACTCTCTAACCTAACAGGAAAAATAAAACCAGATCCACCCACATGAAAAGAAACAGCCCACACACAAACAAAAACGACTAAGCCCTCATCTACCAAAAAAAAAAAAAAACCCCGCACAGCCTGATAAGTGTCTCGCAGACAACATGCTCATGCAAGATTTACATTTGGCATCTTAAATTCTGCACCTTTGTGAACAAAATGCTTGAGATGTCAACGTTGGTCCTCGAGAAGCTCTTCGAAAAGCCTTGTGAATTCTTAGTTCTTCAAAAAAATGTGCGCACGAGCGTGTGTCCTGCACAAACTCGCTCGGCGTTAAGTGTTACAGATTTCTGCTCACTACTTTATAACACAAACAATAACCTTGCAGTGTGTGCAAATATTCTTTGTTGTTTTATCAGCCTCTTTGTTTTATGGGTGTAGTCTATGTCTTTGTGTTCTCGTATTGTTGTAAATTATGTCTGGTATTGCCAGTGTTCTGCCTGAATACTAAGCACACATGTGATTTAGAGCCAATAGAAAATGACATACGGTCCTGCGGCTCTTCCATACACACAAATACACACACACCTGAAGCATGGCTTATAGGAGAAAGACATACGTTAGGAGATTGTCTCTGTTTTGATTTCCACCATCTGTTCGAAAAAGGCACAGGTGAAAAAAAAAGAAAACTGGGAACCACCAGCCTGGTTGTTATTTCACTGTTTCATTGACATTATGATAAAAAAAAGAGGGTGAGAGAGGAAGTAGATGACGCAGAAACCTAATTAAGATTCTCTAGAGCGTGAACAAATTAACCTGAGTTATGAACATGCAGGCGCGCAAGACAGACACGCACGCATATGCACACACAAGCATTTTGTCTCTGGGATAGGTGGAGCAGGGGAGGATGACATTCACACCCAAACAGGCATGACTGCCACGGACATTCAGGGATATTTTAGGAAGAGGGGAAGGCGAAATATTACAGCCTACCTACTCAAACAGCAGCATGGAAAATGCTCCGAATTAGGCCCCAGAATTCATAACGACATATATTCAGTCTGAATTTAAAACAGCCCAAACAAAGCATCCACTTCATCACTCAGATTTGGGGCAGCAGCTTGATATAATGACGTGTAGCTTCATGTGAGAAATTAGCCTAACAAGGAGAGTGGGATAAATAGGCTGCAGCATGTAGCCTAGCCTAATGACATTGCACAGAGCGACATATGCCAGGCATCAGTATGTCACTCCATAGGGACATGGGGCTTACGGTAACAGGATAGTAAGGAGTGAGGTGGTGTGTGTGTGTGTGTGGTGTTGGTGTTTGTGTGGGGGGATATGTGTTTTTTTATCTCCTGGCACAAAGCCCTTCAGGCAGGCAGGCAGGCAGGGTGGGGAGGGGGTGAGGGGTCAAAGGGAGGAGGAGCGGGACAGTACATGTCATAAATGAATGAGAGAAGACAGGGGGAGGGGGAGTGAACTTGACCCAGACTGAAGGACTGAAACAGGAAGGAGGGTAATGAAGTGCAAACATGCTTTGTCATGCCATGTTAGAGCCATAGGATTAGAATTCTATAATTAGAGGACGGGGCACCATAATGCTAGCCTTCCTTTCAACGTGATGAGCTGCCGAGGCTAAATTACACAAGGGGGGGGACGGAGAACAGATGCTGTGATGAAGGGGAAGTAGCTCTGGAAGTTTTCTATACCTGTAAGTAAAGCTCAGTTACGGCACAGTGCGGCCTGATTGACAAGACGAAGTACGCTGAAACTTTGCATACTGGTGAGATTCACCGATTTCGCTTTTATCAGCTCATGACAATTTAATTTCATGACAGACAGCAGTTGTTGTGGGACTCTTCTTCGGGGTATCATGTATATTTCATTTATTCATTTGCAGGTTTTAATTAATTATTACACACAGACATTTTCCTGCAGGTTGAGGTTATGTGTGTGTGTGTGTGTGTTCCCCGACCTGGTTGGCGGCTGACAAATTCATCACTGATTTGACAGGGTTGTTATAACACCGCTATACCAAGAGGAGCAACGGCCTGCTAGATAACACTTGCATTCATATATGAATATTTATCTGGGAGGCTGGCACTGGAACAGATGAGCTCGCATGGGAGAAAGAACAACCCATCCATCTCACTCTCTCCCCTTCTCTGCACTTCATTCTTTACTTTCATACGTCGCCTTCTCTTGCAATCACCATTTCAATGCCTTTCTCCTCTTTTGCATTTTCCACCCACTTTCTCCCTCTAGGCTTCCCCTCTTTTTCTTGATATCACCCTATCTATTGCTCTTCCCCTTAAACGCCGTCCCCCTCTATCCGTTCCCTCCGCAGCGCTGATGTATAGAAAGAGATGGAGGGGAAAAAAGGAAAAAGCGTGTGATTAATGTCTTTGAGAAAAAGATAAATAATCACAGGAGACTGGGGGCTGGTAGTTGGCCTTAGGGGAGTAAATATGGAGAGTTTTATAGCTGCTCACTTGGGAGAGAGGGGAGGTGGAGGAGGAGATGAGAGGGGGAGGAGAGGAATACGGCGACAGCAGATCCATTCAAGTATATTAGCTTTCCCCCATACACAATAACCCCCGCATCTATTCTATTGCTCTACTGTCTTTCATCATCAACACTGAATCCCATCCCACTGACAGCACACACACGAGAAGACACACAAAGCCATGCGCGCTTGTGTGCACACACAAACACACCCTGCACTTTTTTTTTCCAGGCCAGACCCACTGTATGTGTTTGATGGGCCAATACATGTGGTGTGTGATGTGGCTGACAGCCCCCTCCCATGCTGCCCCGCTTTTAAGCCCTCATCCTCCAGTGGCTGCCTGTCCCCTGGAGTAGATTGCATCTTTTATTTATCATTTTTCTCTTCCTTGGCTTTATCTACCCAAGCTTAGAGGAGAAAAAAAAATTCTGGGCGAAAATTGCAATCAGCATAACATGTACTCCTCCTGCTGTGTACTTGCCTGTCATCCTCCACTCTCTATGAGCATGCCGGATGAGACTGACAGCCCGTGCAGACGAAGACACACACATGCACGCACAGATGCATGCGCAATCTCCCCTCTGTGTTTATCAAACCCCCACACTCTCCTTTCCAACACTTTCACACACAAAAACATGCGTGGCCCGAGAAAAATGACCCCATCGCCTTCTTTGTCACTACTTCGAACTTATTTCCAAAGCACGCAGGCACTCACACTAATGCCTTGGACTGTTTTACCCCGTGCTGAGTGTTTAGCTTCCCAAAGCCCCAAAAAGAGTGAGCACATAAATGAGTCTAATGCTGGGGAATCTGGTAAACACGCCAGAGAGGGAGGGAGAGCTGCCTGCCTGTCTGCCTGCTCCATGGCTACTATTGTGCACTGCACATTCTCTGAGCCCACAAGAGCTGAAGCCATCTCCACACGGATTCTTTGGAGGGATAGTAAGCCAAGAAGTGAGAGAGGGAGAGAGATAGGGGGTTAGGGAAGGAGGGAGGGAGGAGGAAGAAGATCATGCATAAAATCTTGTTTGCAGAATGCATTAAGATTCAGATGAACTGGGGGGGTTAATGGGATTAGAATCCTGAACCGTTTCCAAGGGTGGGGAGCCGGATTGACAGCTGAGTCTATTGCACTGACGATTGCAGTGAAATATTGTGGCTCTGGCAAAGGCAGCCAGCCAGCCAGGCAGGCAGGCAAACAGGAAGGGGGTTGCTGAGCCTACAGCACCTCTGTTTACTCCGAGCTTTACCACAAATAATGCAGACGGGAGAGAGAAAACCATCTTTGCCTTTACCAGCTTGCATAAAGCATGGGCTTCAGCTGAATTCTGGAAAGGCAACAGAAAAGCTCCAGTCTGTCTCACAAAGGTGTTTGGCAAACAAAATAGAAGCACTGTGGCTTTAAATCGCCGTCCCTCCCACCCTTTCTAAATATCGTCTATTTAGCCAGCGGTGAAAAGATATAGGGGGCTTTTGTCTGCGTACCCATTGGTGGGGGCATGGAGAGCTGGAAAGACATAAAAATAGGAACAAAGTGCTAAGCTTCCAATTGGGATGGCTCTGGGCAATTCAATGCGCGCAGCTCACTGGGCAAAAACAAGGAGAAGTGGGCTACTATTACAGGCTTATCTGAAAATAGGCTATTCTCACACAGCTATAGGGTAGACTGGTGTGGAAATACCCTGCATTGTTTATAATTCACAAGGCTATGTAAGGCTAGCACAAGCCCTTTAAAGTCTGGCATGGTTCCATAGTAAAAAGGCGAACCTCGTGAGTTAGATGTTTGGTGTTTTATCGGCTGTTTTCCTCTATCATTGTGTCGTTAGAGTCCACTCACCGACTTGCAATACGTTGTCCACCCAGCCACCCTCCAGCAGAGTGACACCCCGTAGGAAAGGCAGCTGGGTCTCGTCATTATTGTCCCCGCTAGTTCCACTTTCCTCTCCTCCGGCGTTGAAAGAGGAATACATACAGATCTCCTTCTCACTTCTCGGGAATGACCAGTATACGATCCTCCGCTGGACGGGCTCCGGGATCCTCTCGAACCGCTCCTCCACCCTCTGGAACGGCCACTTCTCCGCGACTCTGCGCGCCGCGATGTCGAGCAACGACTCGGGGTTGTGCGTTTTTCCATTCCCCGACCCTCCCGGAGCGGACCCCGCGCCGCCACACAGGACTCCTCCAGCCCGCTGCCCCTGTCTGCACGCCGGGTTGTAGCCGGGCCTGCAGCAGAGCCGCTTGGCTGGGGGCTGCTGGACTCGCTCGGCCATGATCGCACCGCTTCCAACCTGAAGCGCAGTTCCTCTCCGATCATATAAACGGGATAAGGAAGAGAAAAGGGCAATCTCGCACCGATTGTTTGCCGTACATGGAGAGACTGCCCTTATTTGGAAAGGGAGGCGGCGCTTGCGAGTTCCGTGAAGTCCTTTGTGTTGTCAAAGTAACCAGGATGGGCGGGATTCTGGAACGCAGCCAGCGCACGAGTGGCGCTATAAAAGGAACTGGAGGCGGAATTCCCGAACGTCGGCAAATCCTTTGTGAAACCGTTCGGGAGCGCGAGGGCGGAGCCCCGGCGGCCGACGGCCTTTGAAGTTTCCTTCTTATTTGAGTTTAAAGGCGGGGACTTAATCCAGGGGCGGACTCGTAGTTTCCCACAGGGGTAAAAGGGGGCAAGAAGACTGACTTTTTTCTCTTTGGAGCCTGTGCTACCACCCCAGGCTCCTGCTTCTTCAATAACAACGTGATGGTTGTTTTCGATTCTTTAGTCCAAATGACTCTCAGCTGTCAAAGACAGAAAGGGCGTGGGAGGAGAAACATGAAGTAGAAGTAGAGCTGGACACGCTAGTCCTCTGTGGTCACTAATCACTTATTTTGGTCAGCTCTCGCTTAGCCTACTACCTCTAAAATCTATCACGAACATCTCTCTCACTTTCTTTCTTTTGCTCCCTCTTTCTCTGTCTCTTATACACCCTTTGAATATTAAAGGCTCAACAGTTTTAACAAATAAGGAACTCTATTTATCTATCTGGTAAGAGGACCCCACCTCACATACATGCCTTTAGCTCATTAATGCCTGACACCACAAATTATGGCCAGAAAATTCAAGTTTTTTTGGAGCTGAAATGTTTATTTCACTTACTACTGACAACCAAAATAATCAAAATGTCCTTAAAATTTAACAAATATATTTATCTCATTTGATACATGAGATGTTCTTGGAAACTGATAACTACAAGAGGACATTTTTAGCATTTATTGGACTGTATTCAGGTGTTTTTTTTTTAGTAAGGTTAAACTGTTTTGTATTGAAGAATTAGAATTTAAAGTGTAAAGCCTATTGCAAATTGAAAATTTCCTTGAAGGACTGAAAGACATGTATTTGTAGGAGTGCAAGTTCAACAATCCCAATCAAAAGATCCCATGTCTGTATTAGATATGTGACTTGAGATCAAAATATGCACCTCTGGAGCATTACTCTATAACTTAATTTTTCACAAGTCTCCTTATATTATAAAAGTGAAGCTCTGAATTGCAGAAACAGACTTTTCTTTTAAAGAGCTTTAGGGTATATTCCTTACTTTTAATCACTTCTGTAGCTGACTCTGTCAACTTGCTATAGAAAAAGTTATATCAAAGGATGTTGGAAATTCCTCAAGGTCTGGCCAGACCAATGTTTTTTTTCTTGTAACCATTATGACACACCACTAGTGAAGCTTGTTAACTATAAACTGTGGTGCATTCATTTTATGGTACTCCTCCCCGTCTGTTGATAATGTTAGTACCATAGCCGTGCCAGGAAAAGGGGGCCTATGTGGGAGTAGAATAGTCATCAGGGGGGTTTAGGGTGCGGCTGTGTTGAAGACCCCCGGGGTTCTTCCTGCCTGGTGAGACATGAGGCACAAGCTAATAATTAGGCTTAGTGTGTAACCCAAAAGCAACTAGATCAGAAATATTTTTCTAAATTGTCTATAAAACTTAGCCAAAACTATGCTGATAAACCAGAATGTGTGTTTGCAACGTCTGCATGTGTTCCCAGCTGCCCCTCTCCATCCTCTGAGGGTAAGTCTAAAAGACTGGCCTTTGAACTGCTCTGAAAGTGATCCATGCCGTATGGACAGAGCAGATGTGGCCTAACCTGATTTGGTTTCAATACTTCCCCACAGGAAGTTCACAAAGCCAGCAGGTCCTCTTTTGTTATGTTAGTCATCTTCTCAGAGGGCAAGAGTTATTTTCCCCCCTTTACACAGTTATTACCTCGTTTGCTTCAGCTTTGGACAGAAAGTTCACACACAATTAGAAGTTTAGAAGCAAAAGCATGACATCCTCTTCTGCTGTTTTATCTTTGTTTTTCCTGGCTGATCTATTTCCAATATATCCCACTGAGCATTTTGGGGGGGTCTAAAAGAGGTCTAATAGACATCTAAATGTAGCCTAGATGACTGGTCTAAAATCAGGCTACCACAGGTCTAAAAATGAAAGTTTTTTTGAAAGTTTAGACTAAATCTAAATCTGGGCTATATCTATACTGCACTGTAAATTGCTCAACGGCTATCATAATTATTTTGGTTAAGTACTTGGAGATCAGTTATGCAACTCACAGTTGCTTTTTGAAATAAAAAGTCATCAAATAATCAGTTAAAGTGAAAAGTCTAAATTCTCTCTATAAATATACAGAATCTAGACAGTTGAAATAGGTCTAAAAAAACTAAATTTCTAATAGCCGTCTATTGCTCAGTGGGATAATACCTCTTTGTCCAATTTAACAGACATTGTTTAAAGCTATATAAACAATAAATATTTTCTATTAGTCATGAGGGGAACCAAACATATCATGATTACAAAGGTACTGAAACACAAAGAATAATTAAAATCAAAATAATACAATTCAACTTCTGCCCCCCTCAAGAAAACAATCTCAAAGCATGATCTATGAAACCCTACATAGTTAACCCCATTATGGCCCGTATCAACTTATTTGTGTGAAAACATAAAAGAAAAAATGAAATCAGTAGAACCCTAAAAATGTGTTCTTGCCTTTCCATATTCCCCAGACTGTAGGATTTGACTCATTCATGCTTTAAACCACAAATTCCTGTGCAAAAATAATACGTGCGTCTACGTCTGATCATGTCTGTATATTTGTGATGACCTGGTCTGCACTGTCCATACCTGCCGGTAATCCCCGTTTCTCCAGTTTGGACTACATTTCCCATAGTCTGAGGAACACGTCATAACCAATCACGATCAAGCAGTAATCAAGCAGTAAGGAAGGGAGCCACGGCAGTAACACTTCCTGGAACAGGGAGGAGCGGGGGGGATATTCTGTGGATAGAAATAACATCTCTGCACCGTGGTAAGTTTCTTTTACTCTCAGGCCAATTTAAACCATTAACAATCGACGAAATGAAAATATATAGCTTTGTTAAATGGGCGTGTCCAGGTGACCGTCGTTGCTTTGGTTTAGTAAAGTTGGGCCGTTATGATTGGGCGGTTTGACGTTAGCTAACCCTGCTAACGGTACGAGCAAAGTCAATCTTAAATCAACAGTTCCGATAACTCACTTCTCCCCCCAGAGTAAAGATAGTGTGAATTTATTGTCTAGCTTGCTTATGATAACGATGCTGAACGAGGGTGAGGTCATAATTTACAGTTCTTTCGCTGGTTGTAGTGTTATCCCTTAAATGAAGCTAACTGATGCTAGCAGCGACTCGGGTTGATGTTGTTAGGTCGGTGGTCATGTGCAGTTTATGGAAGACTGTAAGCTCAGAGTCTAAATAGGAGAGATATATTTAGATTACTTTAAAGGAGTTTATAAAAACAACTACACTGACAGAGAAACTACGAAAACCTGGTGTAAGATGTAACGGTTTTCACAAACTTGAGAGTCTGAGTTTAAAGCTCCAGTGAGGAGCTTTCAGCTGATTACTTCTACTGGTGCCTTTTTATAAACTACAACCTTGACCACTGGGATAAGTGAATGACTGTCTTTTGTTTAGAAATACTGAGTAAAAAAGTGTAGCCGTGCCGACATCAGCACGGGTACCATGGTGCGTAACATGCCAGTGTGGCCATCTTGATAGACATAACAACACTAGGCGCATTGGAATGAATGAAATTAGGATGATGTTAGGTTTTAAAAACCAACTATATATTAGCTGACTACACAGTAAACAGAGAACGGAATGGAGAGAGAGAAACTTGGACTTAACATACCGAACAGGGACAAGCTGAACAATGAAGAAAGAGAGTGTCACCTAAGCTAAATTGCGGACATTGCTGGACTCGACCCATATGAACACACTGTATGGTCAGGAGATTATCTTGAGATGCTACCACCACTTAACCGAGTGCATCTGATGCAGTACCCCATTGAAGTAACAAGCTATCATACATTTAATTCCTTCCATAATGAAAAGTCTCTCTTGGCCCACGTTTTTTCACATCCAGTTGGGTACACAAACAACAACAACAAAACAGTCGTTTGCACAATGGCAGGTAATCATACGCAAACATGTCTGCCTTTCTCGCTCTCTCCCACACATTCACACACTTGAGCAAATATCATGTACTGAGGTACTGCATCAGATGCACTGGGTTACGTGGTGGTAGCATCTCAAGATCATCTTCTGACCTTACAGTGTGTTCACATGGGTCGCGTCCAGCAATGTCCGCAATTTAGCTAAGGTAACGCTCTCTTTCTTCATTGTTCAGCTTGTCCCTGTACGGTATATTGAGTCCAAGTTCTGCTCTCTCCATTCCGTTCTCTGTTACTGTGTAGTCAGCTAATAAATAGTTGGTTTGTAAAACCTAACGTTCTCCTAATTTCATCCATTCCAACGCGCTTAGTGTTATGTCTGTCACAATGGCCGTGCTGGCACGTTACGCACGACGCCCCCCATGCTAGCGTCAGCGCTGCTACACCTTATATGACAATATATCCTCGTACCACAGATGAAAAATACTCTATCATAACATACCAGCTCCAAATACCTTTGACACTGATGATTTAGATGACTAAGAAATGTATCATCAATATAAGGTAGACCAATTTGAATTAACTCAGGGAAATTATTATAAGAAAATAAGTTTATGCTGTGAAATAGTTTGATATACATCCAGGATTTGAACAATATGTTTGCTTAGCGATATTTTAGATTCGTGTAAGTGCTGTATAAATGAACATAAGCAGTTACTTCCTCTTAGTAAAGTAGTAGTTCCTCTTAAGAGCAGGAGGGAAGGTCAAAAGACACCAATGAACAAATGAAAGAGAATCAGATTATGGAGATCCTCGGTGCATGGTATTCCATCAAAATTAGGAATTTGAATGCTCCTTATAAGTGTTAGATGTTACTGTATGTTGGCAAGGATTTTGGATGACTTTAATAAAAGTTCGTGACTTAGATTTAGGGAAGAGGACAACAGCAAAACCTGCTTTTTGAGCAAATATCTGTTATTTCTAGCTGTGAAAATAGAAATGATCAATAAAGCAACTTTCAAATACTTCACTGTCTTTGGTCTATAATATGCACTTGTTGACTGTACACATTGTTGACATGGAAGTTGATAAGATTGCTGTGCTGGTTATTCACTGCTCTCTCTCTTGGTACCCTCACTCAGGCTTTTATTAAGTCTCATCGTTGCTGATCAGTATGATTGACGTAAAGGCATGGGCAGAGTACGTGGTGGAGTGGGCAGCCAAAGACCCCTACGGTTTCTTGACCACTATCATACTGGCCCTCACACCCCTATTCATTGCCAGTGCGCTGCTGTCGTGGAAGCTGGCCAAAATGATCGAGGCACGTGACCGGGAACAGAAGAAGAAGCAGAAACGTCAGGAAAACATAGCTAAGGCCAAGAGGACCAAGAAAGATTGAGCCTGTGCGGACAGAATGAGGGCATGACAAGAAACATAGGAGAGACCACCACACTCACAGCCCTCCTTGTTCTAAATAATGACACAGTGCCCTTCTTTGTCCTAGCCCTACTGTCAGCATAGGGGCCGCTGCGCCTCCTGTCTGGTGTGGGAGGAGGGACACTAGCCCCACAGGCCTCACAGTGCTGAGGCGGACAGTGCTGCCTGGAGGAGACTCGTTCCTGTGGGACTTTGGTCAGCAAGAGCACAGTGGTCATCTGTATGACGTACTTATACAGAGATCTGCTGATAATATTACGCAGCTGTTGCAGCACCTTGCATTCCATTATTAGAATCCATTTTCTGCTGAATAAACAATGTAATGAACATAATGGAACTTTATCCAAAGTACTCGCAAAACACCCAAATACTACTTTCTAACAAATAAAGTTTTCATGGTTGATAAAAAAAAATCAGTGTCTCTCAGTTGTGTTAATCTTGAACTGGAAAATATATAATGTAAATCATTACATATACACATATTATCCCTGCATGATTATGATAGTGTTTACCAGACACGTGAAGTTCTTATGTTGTGTCAGCATATTTAAGAGCAGCAACTTTCTTTCAAGTTACACAAACATACCTGAGTGCAAAAAGGTTGTGATTAGTGACTGAGGTTACATAAGGCTGCATTCATGAGAACTACAGTGGACACACAATGTAATACAATAGGTGAGTTTAAAGGGATATGCTGGTGTAAAATTAAGTCAGGATCAAACACATTTAACACTGAGTTAGACACCCCCTCGAGAGATGAATGTTGCCGACTGCTTGCTTCTCTCGATATACAAATAGTCATACTTGCATATAAAGCTAAAAGGCTGTTTGGTGGCTAGTGCTGTGGCAAGAACCCTATATGTACTGTTGATGAAGTTAGGTGCTGTTCTGAGCATTATTTGTGGCTATAGAGTGGCGTTTTGGTTGAGCGCATGGCTCCTCAGACCACTGTGTATATCTATCGTGCGGTCGTTACTAAAGTTGGTATAACTACAGAATTCATCTCTCGACAGGATGTCTAACTCAGTGTTACAGTGTGTTTGACCCTAACTTAAGTTTATGCCGGAATATCCCTTCAAGGGTAAAGGAAAAAAGGAACAAAAGATTTGCAGGTACGTTTTTTTTCTTTTTTTCCATATGTATATATATATATATGTTCTAAAGGATGTGAACTGGGACTGTTTTGGCCATGTTTCAATTTTTTTTTTTTTTTACATAATTTTGTATTTAGAGCACTGTATGGTCTAAAATTGGATCTATGTGCAACGATTTCCTTTATTTATATGCAGAAAAAACAATTTTATTTATAGTTATGTAGTCACGATGGGTAATGCTGTTACATGTTTTTGTTTTATTTGTGTAAGCAGATAGAACACTTCTCATTTGACAAGTCACATGTATTGCTTTCAGCTTAATTTTTATCAGTGTACTGTGACCACTTGAAAATCAGGCCATATCAGTTTCCAAGTTCACGTTGTTTTTCAGTGCGTGTATAACCCCGCTGAACTTTCTGAGACTCGACTGTAACTAACATGCACTCTGATCTCAAGTTGAACCTCTTTCCTTGGGATCAGTATAGTGTTGCATTATCCCATCTCATGACGGGTAATTTATCAACAGCAGACATTAAGTCTAATAAATAGAAACATTATACTGTAACAAAAGTTTCATGGCTCCATCTTCAGGCCTTGGCAGGTTGTAGCTGACGATATTAACAGGGATCTTATCAGTCACAAGGTCAAACAGGCCTTTTTTCCTCATTTGCTTCCCCGGCAAACATCCATATTTGTTATGTTACAATACTTGAATCTAAAGGTTATCCAGAATGAATGTTTTTTACTCATACTAGGCATCTGCTTTAATCTGTTTGACATTTCGTATTATCTATTAACTCTTAATTTCAGAGCTGAGGAGTCACAACAAAATAATAAAATAGTCAAAATTTATTTAAAACGATCTCTTACAGCATCCCTTTAACATGGAAGAATGTATTTGTTGTTAGTTTCTGCTACTTGATATCAAATCATTGCCCTTACAAACTCAGCTTCAGGAGGAGTGATTATTGTCTTGTACATGAATAAATTTTACACAGTGGGACTGGGCCAATAAAACAACTTAAATAGATCATTACACTGAAAGAAAACTAGTGCTGAATAATGTTTAAGTAAGTCATTTCAGACAGATATCAGCTGTTTAAATCCAGGTGGTTCTGAGATCGTAGTTTGTGTTTTGGCTGACCAAAGTATCTAGATATTAAAGATACTGTGTGTCTAGTGCTAAATTCTAAAGTCCAACCTCAGAGTGATTATCAGTCTTACACTTGAAGCTCTTTTCAAGAGGCTTTTTATTATGTTACAATTTACAGCAGTCTTAGACTGTTTGGATGTCTTTGTCTATTTCTTTGGATTTGGTGCCCAGGATCCAGGCTGGAACGTGTTTGCAGTGCTGGTTGGTTCTTCGCTGAACTCCTGCTTGCCAAAGCTGGTGCTGGCTGCATGGCCTGTGGCCAAAGTTCTTGTAGGAGTTGCCACCAAACCTTCCTCATACTCCTTGGCCTGTAAAGCGAGATCTTTTTCCTCCACCTCCTTTGCTTTCAGTTTGATCTGCTTCCTGTAGGACTCATTCTTCAGCAGCTCCTGTCAACACAAAATTAAAGACGCATTAATTAAAAATGTGATACCAGAATGATTTTTCAACCTGAGACATAGATATCAACTAAACCCTATTTCAAAAGAAGCAGCTAAAAGTTATTGAGTGAAATAAGGAGAATGTCAGGACAACTGAATGATACATTCCATTTCCTTATCCCCACGCTAATATTGTGTTGAGCTTTAACTTCACCTGTTGTCCTAAAATTGACTGCAACCATGTGAACGTGTTATATATATATATATATATACACCATACCATACTAATTGTACATAAGCTCTATGTATGCAGGCCACTGCTATAGAAAGTTGAATGCTGAAATATTGCTGAAACAGGTTTGCAAGTTTAGAATAATGACATTGGTGGGTGCTATCTTCACATGTGTAGTGGTTTGAAATAATGATCGCCATTTCACATTTATTTCATATGTCGGCTAAACGGCATTGAAAGTATATCCCTGAGTATGTGTTTGGTGTCAGCGTGGGGGTGGTCGTACAGCTTTTGTCCAATGCCAGTTAAGTCTAGTACATGTTGAAGGATTCTAAAGTGGCTGTTAAATGAACTCAAACCTCATACAGGATGTAGAATGTAATAGCTTTATTTTCATGGTCATACTTAGCAGACATTAATGGGGAACCTATATGAGATACTGTATGTGGCCTAAGATTATACAGAAAACACATTTTCACAGGTATTTATGTCACGCTTTTGCCACAACTTCTCTGCCACAAGATTAGCCAATTAAGGAATAATAAAAAGTTATAGTTTGTGTTCAAACTTCCCCATGAATCAGCAAATTTCCTACCTAATGTAGCTGGCACTGCTTACAACCTTCAGTCACTTCACCACCACTCGCTGTTTATAGATGTGAGCAGAAGGAGTGTCCCAATACAATTTTAATATTGGATATCTGTCCGATATCAGCAAAAACATGAATATCGTAAAAAACATGAATATCGTATTATATCGGCCTGCATTCAAAATCTCCGATATCAGCACTCCGATACAAGCAGTCCATTTCAGACTCCGCTCTGTCACCTCTATCTGGCAGCACCTGGATCCAGCATGTACAGCCCATGTAATCATAGCAACATTGTGTACTAAGGTATTAGCAAAGTAGCAAGGACTCGGAGTGATGTCTGCTGTGTGGCAGTATTTTTCGTTAAACTCAAAAAAAGACGTTGCAGCTGAGTGCAAAACTTGTGCACAAGTTTGTACCAATATTGGATCAGTATCGGCCAATACTGAAGGCTACAATATCTGTATCGTATCAGAGGTAAAAAAAAAAAGTTGTATTGTGAGCAGTATTTAAGCCACCAACCAAAACTAAGAATAAAGAAAACTGAAAGGGTCACTCGTGTCCCTGTCTGTGGTAGTAAAGAAACACTTTTGTAAAAAATATCAGCCTTTTGAATAACTGTTCAGACTCATATTGAAGAGGACTGAAAGTTTGAATACCTCTAAACTGTCCTGCAAAAACTTCCTGAATAAAAGTCTCCATGGAAAATTGATTATTTCAGTTTTGTTGTTAGGTGAAGCAAAAAAGACAACTGCGACAAAGTCCAAAGTACCAGACAAGTGAAGCTGCACTGGGCATCATCCAGGAACAAATGTGAGAAGCTGCCGTGTATAAAGTCAGGCATTTACCAGCCCTGAACAAGCCCGCTCAGTTCTCCTATATTGGTCTAATAAACCTGGGTTAAAATGTAGTGCTTGGAACAGATCGGTAAGCTAACATGACAGGAGGCATTCGCCGTATAAACAACCATTTCAGCTCATGGAAACAATTACAACCTGAACACGGTCCACCACTTGAGCTACAGCTAGTGTCCAGTGATGTTAGCCTCTCCCTAGCATGGGAAACCAGAAAAAGAAGGGAGGACTGGGCATTATGCTGTTGTGTTTTGGCAGGACTGAAGGACTGGAAAAGAGACGGGGAGAGCCATGGCCAAAAAGCCCCGCTTTGGGGAGGGAGACAAACATACTGAGCTGCTTTTCCAGCCTGTTAATGACAGGATTTAATCCAATCAATTTATGTCGGCTTGGACCAGGAAGAGAGGGAGCGTGACAAGGGGTAGGGTAATGTGCTGGGAGTGAAGCCTTGGCCACATCAACACTGTCCAGCTGTCGATGGCAGCTATTGGGCAGACGCAAGGCAGAAAATTGGAAGAGAATGTTCTGGCAGCAGAGGCAGGGGATGGCATTGGCCACTGGCAGGAGAGAGGACACAGAGAGATAGAAAGAGGGCCTGGGTACTGGCCTTCTAAGGGATTTCCTATAGACCCACATTTCTCTGGCCAAATGATTTCCAGCATTCTCACATTTAAAGAGCAATAAACCCGGAGAGAAGAACATGAGGGGAAAAAACTGCACTCCTTCACCATTCCCTTCTTGGAGACTGCCAGAAATAAAACACAAAAAGCTGAGATGCTGGGGAAAAAAAAGACAGTAAACTAGGACATGGTGTCAGTGAGCCGCTTGTTCAGAGGCTGTCTTTGCTCTCTGTCTCACCATCAACGCGCTTCAGCTGCTGTTTATTCTAACACCTGTCCCCCAAAGTTCCTGGATTCAGTTTGCAACTGTAAGATAAAACAAATCAAAGCTATTTCCTCTCTCCATCTTTACTTCTCTCCCTCCCTTGTAACCAGCCCCCCTGAGTCCAACCATCAGCTCAGCAGGGAGGCTGTGGGGAAGAGGAAGAAGAGGAGGAGGAGGAGAGTGGGGTGGGGGGGCGTACCTCGATGGAGGGGGGCTCCTTCCGTCTGCCTCGGATCCAAGCTGGAGGAGTTAGAGAGAAGAGAGAAGAAAAAAAAAAGAGTGAGCACACCCACACAAACATACGGTGCACAAACAAAACCTGCAGTCATATTTAAAGGCTGCAGCTATAGCATCAGTGAGTAACCAAGCTAGCAGCAGGGAGACTGCTGCACCCAGGGTTTCTTACTTTGTTTTGCCTCATTTTACTGAGGAAACTATGGGGAAACAGGCAGAATGGTAAAACTGGTTCTACTCAGTATAAACTCAGAACACTGATACTGCTTTAGTCGAAGCAGAGCTGGGCCACTGAGCGCTGTGTCTCAGCAGAGAGAGTGTGGATCTGCTCTGATCTTTGAATTTGAAAGTACACACTCTGTCATTTTCTATCACTACCTCTGTCCTTCTTCCTCCTCCTGAGAAGAGCTGTGTCTGTCTGTCATCTTTCTCTCCACTTTTTTTTTTTTACTCTTTAAGGAGCTCTATTTTGGCTGAGCTGGCTGCACGGCGGCGCAGGTTAAAGGGAACGAGGAGGAGAGAGAGAGAAAGCGAGATTTTCTAACTCTTCCTCCTGCTAGCGTAGGGATTCTGGGCCTCTTTTATCCCTTTCTTATTTGCATCCTGATGAAAATGCATGAGGGATGGGGCGAAGCAGGATGAGGGGTTTAAGGTGGATAAAGCCAGTCTGAGACAGAGGGAACAGTTTGTATCCAGTTGTAAGAAATCTGAAACACTATTTTATGGTACGGTTGTATAACACCAACAGAAGGCGTCTTTGATAAACTCATGAGTACGCTTTTCCCCACCCCCATATTGCATTATAAAAAAAGAAAAAAAATCAATGGATTAGCTTGGGCCCCAAAGATGCTGCCATGAATTTGTTATTCCATTTTATTTGTGCTGCACTTTGTGTACTCTGCGAGGTAGCACCGGTGTTTATATTGTCATTTATCTCTTGTAGTGATAGTGATAGTTTAGGTTTGTAACCGTGATGCTGCAGTCCAGACTCACCATCCCACTCCGTCGGTATGCTGCCTACTGTGTACTCAAATTCTGCAGGATTGGCTGCCTCTATGATCCGCTTGGCCCGGACCAGTCTTCCTGGAAAATGAAAAGAAAAAAAAAAGAAAAGGAGAGAAAGGATGAGAGAGATTCTCCACAATGATGCACACATAACGCAAACAAACACAAAGAAGGTGTAGACGCAACGCTCTCAAGTCTCCTGCTCCTACAGACACACGGATATAGACAGACACACAAAAACGCAGAGGAATGACAGCGCTGTGACAGGCCATGGATGATTACCTCGTGGCCCCTCGGGCCCTTCTCCTCAGATCTCGCTGAGTGGCTCCAAATCTGGGCTAAGCCTTTATGCAAATCAGCCTCCTCTTTAACCCAACCAACCACAGCCCCCTCGCCGACATCCCTCTTCCAATCAGAGTGTTCTGGCTAACAATGCCCTCCAAAATCAACATCAAGCTGAGCAGGAGACAAAAGAGGTCAGATATCACAGAGAACAGGAGAGGCACGAGCTGCGTGGAATATTAAGTGCTCCTTTCCCTATCTGTATACAGCACGGCGCGCGCTAGCAGCAAGGCCACCGCCAATTATTTTTGGTCGAATCTGCTGATTAGACAAGTTTGGCTGGCACACAATGACATGGAGACGGAGGTAGGGAGATGGTGTGGGGGGACAATAGAGGGAGAATAAGAGAAAGCCGGGGAATTAAATGATCCAGTTGTGATGTTTCTTTTGTGTGAAGCTTCATACAGTGTAATAAGAAGTGCTGTGTTTCCATAGTTTCTCCTCGCAGGTAGCCTGGATGTCCATCCATCGCTCACATCCCTCTGAGAAATGATGAGGCAAGCAAGGAGGGGTAGAGGCAGAGAGAGAGAGAGAGAGAGAGAGAGAGAGTGATGATGCATGGCAAACATGGCTAGGAGGAGAAAAATGGATGGGCAAGGAAAACAACACGCTCCAAAACACAGACAATCTGTCAGGATTCCATCACCGTTTCTCCGCAGCTGACTGGACATGGACAAATGGAGGCAACCACCTCCATGCACAGCGCAGACTGATGGCCTTAATGTTTACTTCAGCCATGACAGATCGCTGTGGCACAAGTGATGGATGAATGATGGCACTCAGAAAGTGTGTTTACAGGAGGCTGGGCTGCTGCTGCTGCTCCAGCCTTCAAAATAAAAGTTTATCTGTTTGGTGTTTAACGAAAATTGAATTAAAGACAAGATCATTTTTATGGATCTGCTGTTCTGCAATCTTGCTTTACGGGGATGATTCTTCTCAATACAACATCAAGCCTTTATCCTGTAATCAGGTCAGCTAATTAGGCTAGTATTGCTTTGGTTCTGCTTTGGTTCCCACTAGAATGTCACTATAGGGCCTCACAGGCTCCAGCTCTACAGCACCAGTTTTCTACTATCCAGTCTTAAAAAAAACACACTTTTTCTATCACCTTATCAGCCATGCACAGAGTAAAACACATCCCTATGATCCTCGCTTTGTTTTTTATGCATGCTTTAAAATGTCTTCTGAGGAACACTTTCCTGGAAACCCCCCCTGATAGCAGAACAAAAAGATCTGCCAGCAAACAAAAGACTGTGTTCTCTAGGCAATACTAGCAAATACATTTAACAGGTATGCTAATTATGAACAGATCCTATCCATATTTGCATTGGGTGTGGGTGGCAGCAGAGTGAAATGGTACAATTATGACACAGTCCCCACAAGCGACGTGCTTGGCTACAAGCTAATGCTTAACTAAAAAGCATAAAAAGAGGCACCCACTTTCTCTTTCTCTGTGCTCTCTACTCCGTCACACAGCACCATGGCTCTCCCCTTGTCTTGTTGCTTTTGCAGCATGACTAAACCCCTTCCACCACGGCTTTCATCCTTGGATTTGAATAACAAATACAGTATGTACATATATTTATGAAACATGGCTGATCCTCCCACCACATACACATTGGGAGGAGGCGTGTCGCCCTGATTGAGGTGAATCTGTCTCTTGGTATCTTTGATCTGGGACAACTGTGGTGGAAAAATAAAACAGCACACAGAGGCAAAGGCTGTGTGCTATACTGGTGAAAAACTTCAAAAAGAAAAAAGTGTGTCACCTCAGAGAAGCTGCTGCTCACTAAGAGAAACAAATAACTTAAATAACCTCACAAAATATGTAATTTAATTTTTAAAGAATTAAAGCATAACATTCATCTTAGTTTTAGGGCGCTTTAAGCTCACGGGGCCACTTAAAAAAGAGCTGTATCCAAACAACACAAAAAAGATCGTAACTTTTCCCTACAACTATAACACAGAGGACACAGTTCCGATTTTAAAGCTGCAGTTGCTAAATTTTACAATTTTTCACAATGAAACCAAATTAATAATAACAACAACAACAACAACAATAAAAATAATAACTATTTATATAGAACTTTTAAAAACAAGCGTTTACAAAGTGCTTTAATATGCAGGAACACAAAGAAGATAAAAACTCCAGAACAACAACAAGAGAACACTTGGGGTAAATGTCACATTACTGGCAATAAAGAAATAAAATAAAATAAAATAAAATTCGGTGGAAGACATAAAAGCTTTGAAAATGATGGAAACAGTAAAAAAACCCTCACCACAATATTTAGTGTTAAACTGACCATGAGGGTCCTGAAAAGAATTAAAAATAATAAAAGACTTGAACAGTGCAAGTAAACCTGGGCTTGATGTAACAAATGTATGTCAACTCACAATAAGATGTACTGATTATATGGTGCACCAAGCTGTTACAAAGCTCAGACTTTCACCTAAAGTGAGAGAAATAGAGAGAGAGAGAGGGGGGTGAGTATGAAGAGGTGTTAGGAGCTCTGGATCTCAGTGGGCCCCCTTGTGACAGGTCTGCCTTCTCATCACTCACTTGGGGAAACCTACTTACTAGTCAAATTCACATACACACACACGCACACAGTACACACACCAACACCCACACTCACTGGCTACAGAGTAGGCAGATTAACCTGAGGGACAGGAGCGAGGACGCTGCCTCTTACCGTGAAGGACAAACGCAGCACAGCGTTAGAGAGGGGGAGGGGCCAGCGGCAGGAGGAATGAAATCCCACCACATAAATATTCATGAGCCATCTCACCTGTCTGAGCGCGACTCATCTGTGAGCCTAGCTGTGGAACCGGAGGGGGGGAGGAGGAAAGGAAGGAAGGAAGCAGAGGAGGGAGGGAGGCAGCAGGATGGGTGAGGGGTTGCCTTGGCAGCCAGATCGGGAGCCAATCAACTGGCAGGTACGCGTCTTTCTCTTGTTCGTTAGAATAAGACGTGATGCGCTCTGAGGGCTGCTCTTTGAACCCTGAACACACCCCACTAAACTCTATCACCTGCTTCAACACACACACACACACACGCACGCACGCACACACACACAAACACTAAACCCCCAACTTCACACATAAGCTCCCAGGTGAGTACTGCTGGGGGCGACCTGAGAGGTTTTTCACCTCCACAATGTCATTGCAGGTGTCTTGGGCTGTCTCCGTGGTGGTGTGCTTTCCTCCTGCGCTCTGTCTTTGATTACTGACGCAGATGTCAAGAGAAGGGGAGCTCACCTCGACGGGCAACATGCAGGTGAGAAAAACCCTAAAAAAAACTATCAGCAGCAGACAGAGCAGTCAGCTCCAACTGATGGTCTTACAGTTAATGCCCATTATTACTGAACCCAATGTCTGATTCATAAACACCACCACAGTCTGGAAGGCCTGACAGATATATCTAATGGCTGATATTATTAAGGATGCACCGATCAGATATTTGGATCAGATATCAGCTCCGATATTGACAAATTAACTGGATTGGATACTGGATGAATAACTCCGATAAAGCGTTTTGATCCAGTCTTTTTTTCTTTTAATTAATATCATACACAGCTAACATACAGAGAATCAGCATATTTAACCCTGTAGAATCTGTATGGCTAATATTTAATATGAGGTTTATTAAAGAAATCTCAAACTAGTTGGACTATTCAACAAACAGCACCTATTGTGATGTTTGAGTTAAATGCCATTGAACTCCATCCATCCCCTCACAATGGACCGCAAACAGCGTCACTCTCAGTTTTCCCTCATAGTAAGAGAAAAGCAGTGAGTTTCAGACCTGCCACTGTGTTGGAACAAAAAAGCCATCCTGCAGCAGAGAACCATCAGTCTGGTATATTGAGTCTAGTTTATTCCTCTCCAGCTGGGCTCTGTGCTGGAGACGGATGTGGGGGGACTGAGACATGCATGGTAATGGACGGCTATATGAAGATGGAGTGATCCGATAAGCATCAGTGATACAAGGGCAACCAGGTAACAACACTGACACCCTCGCCTCCTTTCTCTCTCCCTCCAATCCCTAACCCTGGAGGGGGGAAAATAGAGGGGATGTGTGATACCTGTAACCATGGTTACCTATTAGCCCTGAGCCTGGTGACGCTGGGATGAGGTTTGGAGGGAAAAGGCCAGGCCGTTGTTTTGCATCAGTTCTGGTGAGAGGAGGAGCTTAGCCATAAAGTAGGCCTGCTCATGCTGCTGCTGTACGCTTTTTTATTCAGCCCTCATTCTGTTTGTCCCTGTTGCTGTCGATCCCGTTGAGGCTTGAGCAACTCGCTGCAGAACAGAGGAGAATTATTCATATAAAAGTAATAACGCGCAGAAAAAGAATACCCTGATTTCCCCTGTGTGTGACTTTTAACTAAACCCCAGAGCACTTGAGGGTGGAAGGGATACTTTAGCCTCCTTCCACTTAAGACCACCCATTCTCTCAAAGTCTCCTCTCTGCCTGATGGGCTGTGGAGAAAAGGACCATGTCGAGCCAGGAAGTCACCATCCTTTGTGAGGCTATGGAGCAGTGTGGATGCCGCCTCCTCTGCTCCCTTCTTCCTCCCTTTCCTCCTCCTCCTGAGCCCCATGTGTGCGATGTCCAAGCACTGAGCTGTCCACCCCTTTCTATTCACCTCCATCACCCTCATCCAACCCCCTTCTTTTCTCCCTTCTCTCTCTCTCCATTAACCTACCTCCACCTTCTCTCTCGCCCCCTCTATCTATCTGCCTGTTCCACCCACTCATTTCACCCTCTTTCTGTCAGAAACACTCCTTTCACTTTCACTCTCTCCATTCCCCCCCACTCTATAATTTCACCCCATATGTCAGCATCCCCCTTGTTCTTTGTCACTCACTTTCTGTACCCCACCTTCTTTTTTTTCCAGCCTCTCTTGGCCTTATCTCTCCTCCCTTACTCCTCCTAGCCCTATTTCTCTCTGCCTGTCTGCTTTATTAAAATATTCTGAATTGAATAAGCAGTGGCAGGCTCCAGGAGATGTCTGCTTGTGTGTGAGAGTGTGTGTGTGTGTGTCTGTCTCTCTGTCTGTCAGTCCTTCTGGGTGAGTTTGTGACTGACAGGGAGCCCGAGGTGTCAAAACATCTCGCTGGCCATCTGACCAAAGAGAGAGAAAGACGTGAATTCATTGGACAGTGAGTCACGAGGGCTAAATGGAAACACGTTTTGGATTAATTTGCATTAAACTAATCCATTTTTTTCCAATCCAATCCGATACCAATACCTGGGTTGAGCGTATCGGCCCATATCTGATACCGACCCAATACTACGGTTGAATGAATGAACTGTATACCCAACCCTGTGAGTGAAGGCATCAGGCTTGACATTAGCCTTGTTAGAAAAAAGGTACAAAATTAACACAGATTTAATATTTTACTTCATATTATTTATTAACAAATGCCACATTAGCACACAGCAAAAAGAAGTGAGACATTCATGTAAACATTAAGTGCAAAAGGATAGACAGACAGATAGACAGAATATAGAGCGAACAGAACCGCTGCGTTGCGATGGGAGCACTGGATTGGCGTTGTTCATCAGTTATCCGATCAAGTTAATTTATCAATATCGGAGCCGATACCCAATCCAAATATTGGATTGATACATCCCTAATTGCATGAATATAGCTCTGTCAGACAGGCAGAGTCTGAAGTGGATACAGTCACAGGTCTACTGTAGATAAGGAAGTGTTAAAGAGACCTATACATGCTTGGAGTACAGATACTGGAGCGAGGCCCATGTGTAATGTTCCACCATAAGAAATAAATGTGCCTGTTTCTCATTTTCAGCATCTATCTTTTCAAATGCCTTTTTAATGAAGTAGTTAAGCCACTCCATGATGTTCCACCTCATGCACAAATAAATACACACTTGGCAACCAGTGTATGCAGAGAGATGAGTTAAACCCACTTGGTTTCCCTATAATGATTAAACAACCTTCATTTAAACCCCATGCATTGCAAAGCTGCTGATCAATTAACATGATTTAGTGAAGCATCTCTGGACATCGCGCCTCCGTGGTAAGCACTGACTTAGTGTCCTACTGTAGGATAGACCTTCCTTCATCACACCCTAGGGATGACTTGTGGCAGAATAAACAGCCATTTGGACCCCCGTCTCTCTCCGCTGCGACTCTTTCCATGGAAATATGCGGCTTGAATCAACGCTCTGATGACACACAGCCATCTGTTGTTGTGTTATGAGTGTTTGGGCATGAAGTGGAGAGAAAACACACAATCTCTATATTTTTTTCTTTTTTGTTAAAAAAACAAAGAAGATAAAAATGCACGCACACATGGACGCTATCACAAATGCACAAACTAGTAAAAGACACAAACACACATACACACACCTCCTCCCCGAGTCCCCAGAGTCGCCCATCCTGAAATAGCAGAACTGAGGCCTTTTCAGTTTTTCACTTCATAGAACACAGCTAAGAATCAAATAAATAATAGACAAAGAGAGAGGGATAGTGATAGGACAGCGAGTCAATGCATCTTTTCTCTGCAACAGTGTGGCACACCTCTGAAGACCCTCTGAATCCCTTCCATTCTCCACACAGCAGAGAGGACCAATAGATTAAAACTGCATGGCACACACTGCTAAAATGAATAGCGCTAAAAATACATCCTTTTCACCGAGACATGAAAGGAAACTGCCTTTCCCCTGTCCAGTATTGAGCAGCCATTGATTCCAAGACAAAGGCTACACCTCCTCAAAGAGGTAAGAAAAATAGCAATCATACAGGCAATTATTTTCAAATGTGCCTGCAGCGGCCGATAATGTCAGCGCGCCTCTCTTCCTAAATAAAGGGAGGGAAGGCAGGCGTCAAGGCTGCAGGCCCGCTGCTGAAGACGAATGAGCCCATCCACAGAATGCTTCGCTTTCATCTGGGCAGCATGACACGGCGCCCCATGCAGTGTGAGGCAGAGCCGGGCCTGGGGGACAGACACACACACAGAAAGAGGGAAGAATATAGATTCGCTATTCAGTTCTATGGAGCGAGTACAAGGCAAAGACCTTCTAAAGACCAGTGGCCAGATTGCCAGTGGCTTTCTCTTGTAGTTCGGCCCATAGACAACAATCACTGGGGCCCCACCGCCTATAGCAGCGCTCCCTCTGTGGGGCAGCAGCATACAGTAGGCCTCTTTAGCTAGACCCTTTCTAAAGCCAGAAACAGAGACAGACACACTCTCCCTCTCTAGGCGTGTACTTCAGACTCAGGCCTTTTTTCGTTTTGATGTGCAGAAACATCTGAGGAAAGGGGGGATAGAAAGCTCTCTGCTGGGTCTAGCCCTCCGCACTGCTGAACTTGAGTGTTGTGAATAGAAATCTTCACTGGACCAGCTTCAAAGGAGGGAAATCAAGAGGCAGCGATGAAGTGGAGGGGGAGAAAGGGAAGGAAGGACTAACTGGAGGCAATTAAAGAGGTCAACCTAAGGAGGAATCTTGAGCAGTTGTTGAGATTTGGCAGAACAGTTTCACATAGAAAAAAGAACATTGCGTCCTTTTATTTCTTCTTTTAAGCAACCATTAGCATCCTTATAAATAGCCTACTGCACGCAGAATTGCTTATGCCCCAGTTTTCTTAAGTTAACGGAACGAGAGAGGTAGAAAATGGGAGCAGCAAAGCATGGATAAAGGTAGAGAGGGTTTGACTGAACACAGGGGATGGACAAATGAACTCAAGAAGTAGGCAAAGTAGAGAGATAGAGTGAGAGGAAGAGGGGAGAGACTCCTCACCTACTTCAACCACTACTCATGTGCCGCAGTGGAAAGCCCTGCGGTCCATGCCTTAAGGCCCTGAGCCCACGCTTGGCCTATCAGTTTAAGATCAAAAAGAGCCCGCTTTAGCAAGACATATGGACTGAATAATGCATCTGCTTTATTTCCACAAGGCTGGACGGGGTGAGTGGCAGAAAAAAAGGGGGCAAATGTGTGTGCCGTATTTTTCTATTTGTTTCTTATGACTTAATATATGAGTTTGTGTCAATGTGAATGCCTGTCGCGGGGTTTATGAGGGTGTTTTGTTTCGTAACAGCTTTTTTCTACTGGGGCACTAGCCTCTCTACAGTGTCAGTCACTGTGATTGGACAGTGAATGCGGTAGCCTGTAGCGTGCTTGAAAATGGGCTTGTGTGATGTCTCATTTGAATAGTCTGACAGCCAGGGGTGGAGGAGCAGCCTAGTAATGAATTATAAATATGAGGTGGGCGCAAGTTTTCCCCGCAAACTGCTGAGAAAAGGTGAGGCACAAAGTCAAGTTCAGTCAGAGAGAAAGCAGCTGGAGGACAGTCCCTCTGCAGCAAACCAGAAAAACACAAACGTGTGGGGTTTGGTCCCCTGAGGAAAGTACCACTAAACGTATGCAATGTATGATAAGCCTGTAAAGATATCAAACATAACGTTTAACCAAGAGAGGGAGACAAACACAAAACATGTGAATGTGATTACACAAATATGGTCCTTGTAATTCTGGCAAATATCATACAGTGTATAAAGCTTTTGGGATTAACACGTCAACAGTCCATGGCTTGTTAACCAGCAGTATCATGTCTAGGGTAATCAAGGGTCATGCTCTTGGACCTGTGACCCCTGACCTGTGGCCTTAAGTTGAGGACAGACCCCTGCAGATGATGATTAATGGTGGTGCTGAAAGGAAAATTCGGCTAATGAATTGAGCTTGAAAATTGCACTTACGAGCACACTTTGCTTACCTCAGAAACAAGTTTACAACTCAAGTACTGGGAATTATACCTGCGTGTTTTTATAATCACGGTAAAAGTCACAGTCTTGAGTGTCTTTCTGACAGGAGAGCCTATAGGGGAGAGTGGGGTAAGTTGAGACACCCCCTGTGGCTTGGAAATGGTATAAAAAAAACTGATCATGTGACCAAACTATGATGACAAAAACTATGATTGCCTTGATGTAGAGATCCGAAATATGAAAAATGACTCACTTACCCCACTCTCCCTATATCAGAATGCCTTTATTCCTCTTCTCCCATTGCTTAATCGAGCCTCCAATAAAACCCTTCTCCAGACACTACAGAAGTTAAGATGGTATACTGCAGCAGAACTCACATTGAGCCAGTCATTCATTTTAGAGAACGTGTCCTTGGCCTCAGCTCAGTCTGTGACAGTGCAAAGGACACCATTGGCATCTCACCATGGATTAGCCTGATGACACAGTTCTACTGCTTGGCTTGAGGACTGCCATATCTCAGAAGGGATATATGACCTCCTTCTAAATCCTCATCACACACGTAATACTCTAAAACAGTCCAATACTCGTTCCTCAGGAAGCCCCGTGTAGCTGTCAAAGTTCTGTCAAAGTTAGAGTTACTAAACTTTAGTAAATCGCATTTAAATCCTCAGCGGTCGCATTGAAAACACTTTGAGGGACTGCCTGTTGAGGTGGGGGCGACATCTAGCGGTAAGATTATTGTAGTGCAAGGGTAGCCTAAAGCTAAAGTCAATCACAATTTCAGGGAAAAGTACAGCTGAATATGTGCATTAGAAAAGCTGGACTCAGTATATATTATTATTCCATAGTGAAATTGACATATTTTGTCATTTCAACACACTAGTGACGTGAAGCTACCTTTGCCACTGTGAAATGGTCCATGCATATACAAAAAAAAAGTGTTTAGGTAGCCTCAATTGAGCTTATTTTAACCTTTCTTGCCCTTCTACTTGCATGTGGGTTCAAGCACTTTGAAGAGTGTCAGAATAAAGCCCATTGATAAAACACATTAAGGATGAACCTACCTGTCCATGTCTTCTGCTCTGGGATTATGTAATATTTATTCCCAAAATGATCTGTGCCCACGTGGTCGCGAACTATTCCAAACGTGCGCCGGAAAAGGCCGACAATCCTGCTCATGGTGTTTCCAGAGAAACAAAAAGGTTTCTAGCTGGATATCTGTGTCCCTTGGTCAGTGAATGTCCTCTCACTGGGTTGTTTATGCAACTCCTCAAATGGGTAGAGAATCAATAAACTGCTTTGCAATTGGACAGTTTTACTCAACCGACCAATCATCACAGCTTTTGTAGAGTTGACGTATGCGCCAACATGGCGGCCAAACGCACCGAGTTGCTGCGAAGCTAGTTGAAATTGGAGTAAAATAAAGTATATTAACTCACGCATTGTATCCAAATTACTTTTAAATATCAGATTTTCTTATTACGGAAATATTGTACGCTGGTATGCCTTTCTATACCCGCAAACGTTTAGTTTACGGTAACAACTGTTTACAGTGTAGGTAACATGCTAGCCTCTGAGCTAGGTTATTGTACGGTATCAGATTAATTACTCTACATTTTTCATTCATTTCGCTTTACTTTGAGGCAATGTTGGGATATCTGACAGCAAGACAGGCGGGCCTGGATGACCCCCTACGACTGAGACGCGCAGAGTCAACAAGAAGGTGAGAGAGGGTGCCTTTATTTCAACCAGGGAGGAGGAAAACAGCACTGTAAAATGCAACTCTCATAGATGTACCTTTTGACTTTACTCCCCCAAAAAGGGTCCAGAGTCTGAAGTTGAATCCTGACAGAGATGTGGACAGAATCCATGGAAATGGCATCAACACCATTGACATCGAAGCAATAGAGGGCAGATAGTAAGTCCACTGAGACCTGATCTATTGTATGTTATGATTGACAGGTGTGCCTAATATTTTGCCCTTCATCTTTGTGAATGAAGTGGACAAAATATCATGGCAATGTCAACAAAAACTGATTATGTGGATGCTTTCTGGATGTCAAATAAATGGTAGAGCTGCTGTATTAGATTGCTTTCTATTGCCCAGGTATTTACAGTGTTATGGCTGGTAGGGATAGTTCATTTTTCACACCACCTCGAATCAACATGTTGTTTCAGTGGTAAGGACATGAGTGATCAGCATAGGTTATAAGCATTCACAGCTTGCACTAACCATGAGTCTCGAGTGATCAGATCTGACCCTCCCACTTAAGAGACAAATGAAAATTATTGAAGGGCACCGCCTTCCAGACCACCTCCTTAAGTGAACTGAGTGATCAGTGATCAGTAGATACTCATGAGCGTTTACATCTGGACCTAAGACACTTGTAATAACATCAGCCAGACAATAATTATAACCATAATAGTAATAATAATAATGTTATTTATGTAGCACTTTTCAAGACAGAGTTACAAAGTGCTTCAAGACATAAACACAGAATAGAAATAGTGGTAGAACATACAGCAGACATCAAAACAATTTCCAAAACAGTCAGTCAGTAGGTATGATTTGGAATTCAATAAAAGATGACACCCCAACCATGTTAAGTTTTTATAATAAGTTAAGAATAGTTATGATAATGATAATAGATATTAAAATTAAACAAAATAAAATGAGTTAAGTCTTCATGCAAAGTTAAGACCTAAGTTAATGGTCATATCCACTAAAAGCACACTTATAAAAATGGATTTTTAAACGAGTTTTAAAAGAGGATAAGGAACTTGCCAGTCTGATTTCCTCAGGGTGTTTGTTACAGAGAGTGGAGGCCCTGACAGTAAAGGCCCAGTCCACCTTGGTCCTCTGCCTAGACTGAGGAGTAGTTAGGAGACCCATGTCTGAGGGACCTGAGGGTACGACAGGGCTTGAAAGATGTGAGGAGATCAGTGATGTACTTCAGGTTAAGTCCAGACAAATGGACAGATGTGATGAACTTGCAAGGTGTTACCAGGGTCTTTGAGCAAATACATTGCCTTTTGTTTAAATAGACCTTGTTTAAACCTAGCTGTTTCATCAGATCTGGACAATATAGCAAGTGACAATCCATACCAACCTCTGTATCCACCACAGTAAAGACCTCATAGTCTCAGTAAGTTGGGAAGAGCAGTCCAAATTCAGTTGTAAAGAATCCGATGTCCAAGGTTTAAGATGCAACAGAGGGGAAATTTTCTGTGAGGTAAACTTACTCTGTTTTTTAAGCATGCTGTCTGGAGGAGCAGATGGAGTGGTTGTCATCTATGACCTGGAGAACTACAGTGGAAAACAGCAATACACCTGCAAGGCAGTTTGTTCGATTGGAAGGTGGGTGTTACTCGATTTACTCATTCTGTCCAGCAGAGGGCAATACTGCATAAAACTCTTACAACACAGGTATTTCTAATGTTGTTTACAGACATGTCCTTTTGTTAACACCAACCAAATGGAGTTGCCTTAGTCTGGACTTTCATTCCTTTAGATTCTTTATAAACAGTAGCATGAAAATGTACATTCTACTAAATCCTATTCAAATACCTCAACACATTGCAGTTGTAATGAAGATGCATTTAGTATCAGTGTGACTTCTCATGAACTTTCATATCAGTATTTGTTTGCTGTCTATGCATCTTAGCATAGGTCATGAAAGGATGCACCCACCTAACTGAAAAGGACTGAAAGAAAATGTAGCATTGAAGTTTGAATTGTGAAAACAGTTCAGTTGATACTACCTGAATGTGCCAGTGAGACACCAACGGTCTATGGAAAGATTCTTCATCTGTGAATTTGAGTAATTTTCTGATCACATTTTCATGTAAATCTTTCAAACGTAGGTCGAATCGGCATGTCCATAAATTCAGCGTTGAGACTGTCCAGTGGTATCCGTATGATACAGGCATGTTTGTCTCCAGTTCCTTTGACAAGACCATGAAAGTTTGGGACACAGAAACACTCAAGGTAAAGCAAGTCACCTACCAGCACTCTACCAACCCCCCATCTTAAATATTTAAACATTGACTAATTAGTTTATTAGGTACGCATTTAGAAATTTTCTCCAGTGTACAGGGTGAAAGTTGAGCACATGCAGGGAGAAAGTCCTCTCAAAATAGTAGGAGTCACAAGGTGACTTATACCTCCATTGACCTTTACTTTTACTTTATTTGTTCTTTGCACTGTCTCTTCCCCTCTCTTTTCCATTTTCTGCTTCATGCTCTCTGCCTTCCTATGCCACATCGTCCCATATGGCAGGCCCTGAGCTGTGCTAGAGTTACACTGGCACCACGGTTACCTCCAAAGGTCAGGGAGGGGACAGAAAGGAATCAGCCGACCTTTCATTTGTTTTAGACTGTGTGTTTCTGTCCCTGGGTCCCACACCAACGCACACAGACACACACGCACACATTCAAAACTATTAAATTATTTATCGTGATGGTGTATTTGCACTTTATCCTGCGCTCTGCAGTGGTGTGCAGCATAGGGCATTTGTATGTGTGGGGCTTTTATGCAAACAGAGCCTCCTCTGTGTGTGTGTGTGTGTGTGTGTGTGTGTGTGTGTGTGTGTGTGTGTGTGTGTGTGTGTGTGTGTGTGTGCCCATTGGCTGAGTCCGTGCTGGTGCTGGCACACACTGACAGATGGGGCACAGAGAGGCTTTTTATATTTGCTGGAGAATTTGCATTGTAACCACCACTGCTGCTCAGGGTGAGCTGCAGTGCCCTCTCTCTCTCCCTCTCTCTCTCTCTACTTGCTTTCATTTTAACCTTATTTATTCTCTGACCTTATTCCCTGCACTGTTTTGAATTTGTACTCAATGTTAGGTCTTTATTCAAGGTCATGGAGGTTTATTTTAGAATAAATGAGGATGATCATTCGTAATACGCACATGGGACAATAGCTGAATGTCCACTTTAGCTGACAAGCTCTCTCTGTCTGTCTTTCTCCCTCTTTCTGTAACTTTGTGATTCTGTAGCCTGCTGAAGTTTTTGAGTTTGAGGGTAATGTGTACAACCATCATCTGTCCCCCATTGCCAGGAAGCACAGTCTCATTGCAGGTATGTATTAAAAGTCAGCATTCTTGATTGATTTAGCAACACAGGTCTATCCACCAATCATAATGAAGAGCACTGAACGTGACAAAAACCTCGTCAGTCACCCAGTTCGCCATGGGTTTTTCCTTCCTGGCAACAAACCACATTTCCTGTAGTAAACCACACAGAAAGCCCATCCGCTGTACCCCAGCTTTTAACCCAGATTATGAAATGCCATGTGCTGGAGGTGACAACCGAGGGGCAGAAGCTGGTTACACATGAATTCAGGTTCAAAGACACATTTCTGTGGAGAAAAAAAAACTAGGAATCTAGGTGCGTCACCAGGCAGGACCAACAGGTTACTCATGCCTGCTGAGTATGTGCTCATAAATGTACACAGAGGTGCACACGGAGTCTCTTTGCCACGCCTGTTTCTAAGTTGGAGACAATCACAGTGTCTGTTTTTTTTCTTCTTTTTTTGGGTTCCTTCCCTCTCAAAGGTGTTACAGATGCTTGTCAAACAGGTTTTAAACAGATTCAGGGTGGTTTATTTCTCCCGGGAAGATGCTCGAAGGGAATCTCTTCCTAAAAAGCAGTACCTGCTCAATAACTGCTCTGAAAGTACTTTCGGCTACATAAATCTCAATGGCAACCCAATTATTTCCTTTGTTCTGCTGAATTTCACCCTGCCATCTTGGCATGTATACAGGCTGGGTGTGTTGGCTCACTGATACAAAGAAGTTTGTATCAGGGATCTCTCCAATTACCACACCTTATCTAGGAAACCTGGGACTCCAGTTTTTTTCATTCTGGTAAAGCACCTTTCCCCTACATACAGATTGTAACTGATTATACCGACACCTTTGTCTTGTCCTATAAAATCTGTGATAATTGAGAAGCAGTGTTGTGATGTGTAACAGCTATTGTACAAGAAGAAGAAAGACTGAATGACAGCTCTTGAATATTAATTGTTGCTTTGTTCTCTGCATTTTTAGTTGGCACCAAAAACCCTAAAATCCAGCTGTGCGACCTGAAGTCTGGGTCACGGATTCATATTCTTCAGGGTTGGTTGACTGATAGATCACAAATATACGCTATATAGAGATTTTTCTACCAACAAATAAACAAAAACCCTCCCTCTCTAGGTCACAGGGCAGAAGTTCTGTCTGTGAGGTGGTCGCCGAGATATGAGCACATCTTAGCATCTGCCAGGTAGGCTCCATTATCCGCCTGTATTTTTGAGATAATTCACCCTCTGAAGGTGTCAGTTGTTCCTGTCATCTCATTGAAACTGAAACTCCAAGTCAAGGATAATGCCACCAAACTATCATCAGATAGAAACTGTGCTGCTGCAGCTGCCCTGTTAGTTTAACATATGGTAGAGACTGTCCCCACCTGGTTTATGCTACATTAAACCTGCTAATTAACCAAGTGGGAGTGATGCCCTGCTCTCCCCGTGGACTCTAAGTGATTCTGAAAACAACTGGCACAGAGAGACGCAGAAAAGTGAATCCTCTTCTATTATGGAAGAGCGTTTAATTCCCAGCAGAGAAGTGACCTTTGAAAATAAAACACTGGCTTCCTTTACAGATGCTGTATAAACTCACAGTTTTAATCACAACTTTTGTGGACTAATAAACATTCTTAATGTGGTTTCTTAAAGTTTATGTGATAGTGTAAAACTACTCTACTCCCCTCATTTTACCTCTAAGTGCAGACAGCAAAGTGAAAGTGTGGGATGTGCGACGGGCCTCCGGTAGTCTCTTCACTCTAGACCAGCACAATGGAGACAAGTCGAAAGCCTCCTCTGAAGCAGGTAATGTTACCTCTCTCCATTCTTTTTCTTTTTTTCAGCTAAAAGCTTGAGCTATTACTCAGACAAAGGAAAAACACACACAGTAAAAAGTGTAAAGACTTGGGTATACTTTTACTGCATGCATATTCAGCATTATCACATTTTTGGCAGTTTTTGCACTCATGCATTGATAGTAATAATGCAGATATTGAACATAAGGAATAAAAAATAAAGATTATGTACCAAATCATCCATCCTACTCTCTTCATCTTCCATTGAAGTACAAAAAAGCAAGATGCAGTGGAAAATGAAGCTAGTTTCACACCTTTTTCCCACTAAGGGTGGGAAGTCTTGAAACTTTCAGGTTATTCAGCTTTGCACCACAGAATGTGTCTCTGTAGAAGAGAGGTTGACATTCCTCACTGTTTTTCTTGCGTGCACAAAGAGAGGCCCGTCAGCTGAAGGAAGCTGGTCTTTCTCAGCTGTTCTGTGGAGTAATCCGAGTCAAGGGCTTTGATCAAAAATGCACTAAAAGTGTGTCATGTATGTGGGGAAAAAATAGCCACTTTTGTTTGTATCTCTGTCTTTCCCTTGTCCCACAGTTAACACAGCACATAATGGCAGAGTGAACGGCCTGTGCTTTAGTGGAGATGGCCTTCACCTCCTCACCACTGGAACTGATGACCGAATGCGGCTGTGGAATAGCGCCACAGGAGAAAACACTCTGGTAGAGATTGTGTGTGTATGTGTGTTTGTGTGAATGAGAATAACTGCACTCTACCATATCCTCCCTGGATTAACACTTTGGATTATGCAGAAGCAGCAGTTGCAGACACATTTCTTTTGTCTTTTCCAAACAAGATTAGTGAAGGTGTGGATGTCACCTTGAGTACCCATCATGTCCTGATACCCTGCAGGTTGGTTTCGGTTATCTGCGGTCTTCTCTGAATAAGGGTATTCAGGTTGGAGCACCTCTGAAAGTCTCAGTGGTCTGTTCAGAGTTAAATTGCACCCATTCTCATGATTATGACACAGTTTGTGATCTGCTTACATGTACATTTGTTCATTTTTATAGAAAGAACCGAAAGTAAGATGCTGTGTAACTTGGTTTTGTAAAATGATTACATTAGAGGTGCATTGTTTGAGTTTCAAGCGGGTAAAAAAAATGTCACAGCTTCATGAGCCATGGCGCCATCACCGTCCAGAATTGTGAGGGTAACAGGTGATGTAAAGATATATGACTTAAGCTCAGACACACCATGTAGGGAGCTTTAAAAGAAAACAAATCTCAGAGGAATTGAGGCGTTACCTTCAGAGTCATTAGCTTTGACGATTGATTTATTTCAGTTTAATGTGCAAAACTGACATTTATGAGTAAAGTTTGTGAAGCCTTTTGCAGAAAAAGAAACGCATTTTTGAGCAACAAAGAAAATCAGTTTTCATAAACACTGATTATCACTGTGGGAATCCTAAAAGTTCAAGTATACTCCCATCACTATCAGATAAGGTATGTGTGTGTTATACATTCCTCTCTGGGTTACCTAAAGACTGTAAGGCCCTGCAGCTCACACAGAATGCTGCTGCACAAGTTTAAGTAGGACAGGAAATGAACCACATTAACCCCTGTATTGAAACCCATTCACAACCAACTCAGCATGTAATAGAGCTAGACTTGAATTTCACTACATGATGCCACCCACCGCTCAGATGTATTAGGAAGTCAACAGGGCTGTGTTATGAACATGCAATTGAAATGTATATCAAACATTTTCAAGATGATCCCCGTGGTTATTTCCCTGTTTTCTTCAATTTGCCAGCTTTTATCTGGAGTCCTCTTGTTTAGTAACAGTTTGACTCCTCTAAAAATCCTACAAGCCAAGCAGATGGCCACCAAAGCAATCTGTCCTGACAGAAAGAATAAAGCTGTGATATAACTGAGTAAACAAGTAACAAAGGAATCTACCAACAGGATGATACCAAAAACCAAATTACAGAAATTTTTTCATCACTTCCTGGAGACAGATTCTTGAACTAATGTGGTTTTGATCATTTTAGTTAAAAGTTGATAGGGTCTGCTCACTCCAGCCATCATGATTGGCACTTCTTGCCAGCAACAAACTAACCCAGCAGCAGACACCTCACTCTGTAGCATCCATAAAATAAAGTAAACATAATATTTCCAACCCCACACTCCAAAACATTACCTCATCCCAAAGCTCAAGGCCGCTCTGCAGCTCTGCTGTTTACCTTGAGCTCTTACACAGTCTGCTGTTCTAATTTCCTGCTCTGCTGCCTCATGCTGCCGTTGCCATAGTGGACATGTTTCCATCTTAAAGCTGTTGCACGAAACAACTAGTGACTCAGAAGGTAGATGGTCTCACCCGGTGGAGGATAAATGATGAATTATAGTTGAGACTACCATATCTGGTTCACAAGAGACCAAATAAGAATACATTATATAATTTAAACTTTGGTCACAGGAATGAATTAAGTCCATGTTCCACTATAATGATGAGGTAATTTCCTCGTCTGGACCTGTTTGTCATGATTTCAGGGTGACTACAAGTCCTGAAATGTTAGTCAGGCTTTGTTTTATTTGACGGCCTTAAATGACTTATGTTTCCTTTGTTACCTGTCTGGAGTTTTTGACCTGTAGTGGAAGCTTTTATATCTGGGAATTGGTTTCTGTTTGGTTCATTATATGCATGACCATGAATATGGGTCACATGATACACAGTGCTGAATATGTTGTGGGAAATCATGCATCATAACAAATACACACATAACATATCGATCAAAAAAAAAATTAATGTAAATATAGTTTTTTAACATAATTTGATGACAAAAAACAAGTTTTCTTTTTTGGTAATAGTTTCTTATTCTTCACTGTTTAAGAAGTTGATTTGTGAGCATTTATACAGATAATCGGAACCTTGTGTTCACCCCTCAGGTAAACTACGGGAAGGTCTGCAATGAGAGCCGGAAAAGGCTGCAGTTCACAGTGTCACGCGGCTGCAGCCCAGAGTTTGTGTTTGTGCCATGCGGCAGCTCGGTGGCCGTGTATGCCCTCCACACAGGAGAGCTGGTTACCATGCTCAGGGGTCACTACAACAATGTGGACTGCTGCGAGTTTCACCCAGACTACCAGGTGAGAAACACTAAAGTCCCAGGTGGGGACCGTTTCCTGCACATGAATGGAATACCCATCTATCCTCAGCGCTGTGTTTGTTTGTATTTCCATCTGTGTGTGTTTTTTCTGCCAGTCCGGTCTGGTCTGTCTCTTTCAGGCCTGATTACAGGTCAGTCATCTCTCTGTCAACCTTTAATTCATCATTTGAGCCCTTTTGTTGAATTCACTGCAGTATTGCAATCACCAGAGCAGCCTCTGAGGAGTCCCTCACCTCTGACAGATATTGTGGTAGGGTAAACATTTCCATTTGTTTTACCGTACCACTGTAAATGCAAATACATCCTCCCTGTTCGACCTGACTTACTGGTCCAATACATCAGCTTTGACTGGTCCTTTTTTCAGAAGTGACGTGAAAATGGATCAGCTCACAAGCTGTAATCTTTTAGGGGTTTCTCAAGATGAAACCACCAGTGTGACCATTATTACTGCCAGACATCAGCAGAAAAATAAAGTTTAATGTGAAGCCAAATTTACACTGGAAGAACAGTCAAGCTTATCCCACTATTTAATAAAGTGTTATGTTTTACCAAAACTAATCCTTTTTTTATTCAGGCTGAAGTAGTGCATCTTAAATTGTTTGAATTTTTTCAACATCAGTATGCAAATTTAAATTCTTATAGCCAAAATAAGGAAGTGTGCTTTTTTTTTTTTACTTAGTTTTTATTATTTCTTTCTTTTCTTTTTTTTTTACAGTACAGTACAATATACACATTTCAAAACAATTATGTTTCCTTTCCTCTTCCTCAGCTGTAAGTGTGTTTTTACAAACATCCATAGGCAATACAAGGTGGAAATAAAAAACAAAAACAATCGTTATATCAAATAAATAGGTAATGTCCACTCTAGAGTATAGAATTACTGGTACAAATGTCAATCAGAGGTAGGATGACGGCATTTTGATATACGACAGAAGGGTTTTACATAATAAATATTGTCATTGCAGCAACAAAGGTAGTACAGGTTCCCATCTTTTAGTGAAGGTGACTTTCTGGAGTCTTAGGGCAAATGTGATCTGCTCCATTTGATAAATATCCCACACGATTTGAATCCATGTATCGTATGATGGAGGTTCTGTTTTCAACCATCTGATTGTTATAGACTTCGAGGCCGCAGTGAGTAATATACTCAAGAGGTATTTATCCGCTCTTCTGTCCAGGCCTTCGGGTATTACTCCCAGCATTGCCACTGCAGGGTTTTGCGAAATGTTCATTTTAAAAACCTCCGTCAGTGCATTAAAAACCTCCCTCCAAAACATACTTAACTTAGGACACATCCAAAATATGTGTGTGTGATTTGTAGTGTGCTTTTTTAATGTCTTTTTGTGAAATATATTTGAATGTTAGTCTCTTAGTTTTACCTGATTATTGCACTATCAATATAAGGTGTATTATTTTATGCCTAGGATGTATAGACCTATTTTTTTGTATCTGTCTTGATATAAAGACTCTATTGTTAAATTTTGTGGGCTACGGAGACAGCTTTGGCATCAGAATATATAGCAAACTAAAATAAATAACGATGCTCCATCATTATACAGATATGATCCAACTGTTCCCCAGATGCCATCTTCACTGTGTGATGTTCATTTTGGTGTTTGCCTGGAAGTTATAAACAAGAGCAGGATAATGGGGGATACCATGACATTGATAAAATATACCATCAACCTGAATCATCGTTCATATTCATTCTGGCTGGAACATTTACGTGGTAATTTACGTGCATAACCCAATAAACCCAAATCATGAAGTGTCTTTGTACAGGCTGTATTTGGTCATCGCAGTTGTAATCGTGTGTCCAGCCCACGCCCTTGTTATTAGTCAGTTTCCGGTGCCGTACACGGGTTTTGAATATCTAATGTAAGAATGCAGTCTGACAGCTCGCCACCCAGGAGAATTCAAGAGAAGGACTCTTGCCCGGAAATGTGTTTCACTTATTTGTGAGATCTCTGGACTGATGTAATAACACTTATGAATGTTAGAGGGAAGGTGGCTTGTTGTGAGGTTGGTGACACACCAGTTTACGTTCTTTCTTTTTTACCCTGTTTGTCCTCATGTCAATGTCACCATTTGTACTTACGTTTAAGTAAAGCCAAACAGGAGTTTGTTGTCTTTGATTCTGTGTGTGAACCTGTGGGTCAGATCGTTGCTGTCCTTGTTTATCTTTATCTGTAGGAGCTGTACAGCGGGGGGAAGGACTGTAACATCCTTGCATGGGTTCCCGTCCTGCGTGCCCCAGATGTTGAAGAAGAGCCGGACAGTACCAAAAAGGTACATGTCCTGGCAGCAGAAAGAGAAATTAGAAAACCAAGAAAACTTAATTGGCGCTTTAAATTCTTAACAGATAAACTCCTTATCATTTTTTCCAATCATTTTTATTCAAATATACTGGTTTGGGCTTGCTGTTAAACTTAATATCTGATTCCTTACAGAGTGCTGCTGGCCAGCCCTCGGTGAATCCTGCCTTTGAGGACGCATGGAGCAGTGATGAAGATTAACTCTGGTGTTTTGCATGCCCGAACAAAGGGCACATGCAGGTGTTTGAGCATGCAAATGACCACTTATGCCTCTACAATAACTTGTCAGAAATGACATGTCCAGGGACACCTCTAAGAACCTTCTCTTGTTTCATACTCTGAGACAAATATGGGGGCCTTACACTTTAAGTTAGCTGTGTAAATATTCGTTTTACCTCATGAAAATGCCGATTTTATAAATATTGATCTTTTTTGTACTTTTAAATAAACCTGATTGCTGTTTTTGTTGTTGTTTTACTGAATGTAAAGCCAGAATTGCCGCTGCTGTGCATAGCATGCATGTTCAAATGTCTGTCATAACCTGCAACAAAATCATCAATTTTGGTAATGAATTGTAACCACTGGGAGGTACCTTTTAAAGCTGTGTTGAAATTTTGATTAATTAGCTGTCAGAAGTTGAGAAACAAGTAGAATACATACTTAGTACCATTCCTTGGCTCCTGCACACATATGACACTGCCTTTATTGTATTAGGTCTGGAGAATTTGTAAAGCTTGACTTATTTTTTAGAGAGGAAACAAAAAGTGAGGCACAGGTCTGTAACTTTTTTAACAGTGGTGCTATTTTATTTTATTTTTTTTGTGTTTCTTCACCTGAGTTAAAGGGGAAAAAAGTAAGTGTGCTCTCTAAATCACACTTTTGTATTGCCAATTTTTGCAGTCTTTGCATTTATTTATGAAGTTCTGCTGTCTGGTTCGGCTGGAACTACAGCAGGGGGTGATACTGAAACCATTCTCTCTGTCCCTGCCTCGTCAGAGTTTCATGTGTTTTTGTTACCATGTGAATCCCTTCACCCTGGATTAGGTTTCAAAATGACCCATAAACAGATAGTCATATTACTGTAACAATTTTGAACACTTGAAATCAATCATGTATGTTTTAGCAGTGACTTTTATTATAACAACACTATCAATATACCAAGGCGTTGTTTTTGTCTTGAACCATGCAACTCTCTTTTTTTAATTCTGGTATTAAAATTTTTTGTTGATATCATAATCTTACGTTTTACATCTGTTTGAGTTATCTCACTGTCGGTTTTGGTGAGTTTGTGGAAAAAACCACTCACTGTCACTGTCACTGTCATGTCTTTAGGTCTTTTCCCGTTGAAACTAAATACCGATTGTCTGACAAGTATATTCTTTATAGTTGCGAAATCTGACATATTTTCGATGACACATCACTCCAGTATATTGGACTCAGTAAACTGACCAATCAAGTAATGAAGGGGCGTGGCCGGAGCGCAGACTCCTCCCCCGGCGGCCTCCTTAAGTCCTCAGGAGCGAAGTGAAGCAGCAGTTAGACGCACACCTGTGGAGGAGGTGAGGCGAGAAGGCCTTGTAATTGGATTCAGACTATTTGCTGAACACAGGGATTTTTTTTTATCAAGTTTCGGCGGCAGAAGCAAACCAGGTTGGTACTGAACATTTTCTTTTTTTCAATGAGTTAGATTAAAGAGATGTCAAAACTTTAAATGTAAGAACTTTACTGGCCAGTGAATCTGTGAAAACCGGTGTGCCGACGTGAAAGTGAGACTTGTGAAGCACCTCATGTCACAGAGAGGTCCGTGGTTCCTGTCGGACTAGTTTTTCATCAGTTGCGTCACCTGTTCCTCATCAGCTCGTCTCCTTGGGGTGATACCGGTGTGGAAAAAAAAAAGCTCAATACAACCAGCTCTTTATCTCGACGCCTTACATAAGCTACTAAACGAACTGGTTTTATATCTAGATGCTCTTTCAAGGGAAACTCATCTTCTTTAAACTTTTTGGTTGTTTCTGAGCCATTTCAGTCATTAACAACTGAACAGATTTGTTGTCCTCAGCCAGTTTTCCTCACTTCTCAGACTCTCCATGTGTACAGAGAGATTGGTAGCTCAACAATAATTGGGAAACTGTGGTTTGTCACATTGCAGACATTTTAAAAATAGCACAGGTGTGCCATGGGAGTAACGGCCTTTACATCCATGCCTCTGCCTATATCGTTAATTGGCAAGTCGAGGCTTGTTATGTCTTCTTTAGTGCGCAGGCTCACTGCCTCCTCTCACACTCTTATTTCACCTGTTCCTCTTGTAGCCAGGCTGACACACCTTGAAAACCTGTCATGTCGGGTTATGTCTTTTGTAGATTTAACAGACTTTTTTGAAGTATTTTTTAATCTTAGAAATACACGAACAGCACAACTGGTCTGCAAACGCAAATAATTTCATAGGAGTATCAACAGTGCGAACATAAGCTTGACTCTGGTTTGTTGGTGTGTGGAGAATAGTTATAATTTGGCGCGTTTTCCATATTGCAGGCACGTTTCATAAACCAGTAAAGCCAGCCATTTTGAGATTTGACTCATGGAATAGTATATGAAAACTAATACCAACGCTGATTTGGCCTTGCATCATCCAAAGCCTTAAAATTACACAACAAATACTTTTTGGAGTAGGTCTCTAAAGAGTTCTTTTTTTTTAAACAATTTTTAGTCAAATTTTTAAGAGTTCTCTGCCAAGTCTTTAACTTTTCTTAGAGGCAGAACTTTGGTTTGTTGTAATGTTAGAGTTCTTTTTAAAGTCATTATTTTGTTCCTGGACAGCTATATTTTCCAGCCTGTTTTCTCTCTATGTGAACATGTTTCTTCTATACATTCAAACTCAAACAGTTGTCCTTTCTCTAGCGATGGGAAGACACACTGACTGCTACTCATTGTACTCCCCTCACACTCTTTGCTTTGTCCATCTGCAGCTGAGGGATTTGCCAAGAGCAGCAGAGTGGCCTTTTTCCTTTCCATACAGTATGACCCTTTCAACCATGGCACTCGGCTGTTTATAAGAATGATAAATAACAGATTAAATATGAAAGAAACTAAAATTATCTTTTATGAGCATTGGCCCAGTTCTTTTTTCCTGTAAGCAGCATTTGTTGAAAAGAGGCTTGCTTCCTGTTTGTGATGTAAGTGAGGGAACTGGCAGCCATTATTATCCCCTGGACTTCCTTGGTGCAACGCAGTTTTTCCTCAATCCAGAAATACAGTTATCTTTACTGAATGTTAGGGGAGAAGGAAAGAATGTTTACTGAAGTGTTTTTGTCTTCAATCATAATCTGTGTTGATGTGACTGTTTTTACCCTAATCCAAACTGACTTCCTAACCTGTGTTTCATTTCTTTTAACCTCAAGGTAAAGCCTGAGAAAAGTGAAAATGGAGTTTTTTAATATAAAGTCATCAGTCGGACTTGTTTATGATGAATTCATCCAAAATGCAGGTGCGTCTTTAACACTGAATATCTTTTTTTAAACTGTCAAGATGGCCCTTTTTGGTATGTTTTTGGATTTTGAAACTCTTTATTTTGTTTTCTGCAGACTCCAGGACGGGGAACTGGTTCCTCATGTCGTCTCCTCTCCCGCAAACGATCATCATCGCGGCGTACATTTACTTTGTCACATCTCTAGGGCCTCGGATAATGGAGAACCGCAAAGCCTTTGACCTGAAAGGGATTCTCATTGTGTACAACTTTGGTGTGGTGGCTCTCTCGCTCTACATGTGCTACGAGGTGAATATGAACTGCTTTAACACTTGACATGTTGACGTGTTGTTTGTGCCATTGCAGCTCTTTTGATTTGGCACAACAATACATATCGTACCTGCTCATGGCTAAGTGAATAGTATTTCTTGCATTGTTGAGTCCTTTTGTGAAGAACAGCCAAGACGCATTCCGCTGGCAGTCTTGTGAAATGTTTTTCACAGACGGACTTCTCAAAACTTGACTGTCAATCTGACGGTAAACCAGCTCTGCAGGTGCTTTAAGCATGTATTGTGTTCTTGGAGCTATTGCTTCAGACGTTTACAACTTCAACATGACTTTAACTCTGTCATGCATTTGGACTGCAGACACGTCTTAGTTTCAGTGTATCGTATATCCAAAGTGGTTGGATTTTCATCTTTTGGTTTTGATTCTTTTATTTCTTAATACTTCAAAATAAAATGAACTTTGTTGATCCCCAAAGGGAATGAAAAAATCCCTCCCAAGATTAATATTTAATGTGAGGATCAACCAGATATGTGTAGATGTACTAGCCATAGCCTTGTAAACACCTGGACAATCTAATGCTTTTCAACAAATCTGCTGTAATTGTACTTTCAGGAAGCGACAGTGTTGACATGATCAGACAGGTGATTATTGCACTTTTTATTGTGGTGGTGTTTTGCAGTGTTGTAATGTTCCTTATATTTTGTCCTCCTTATTAATTAACTCATGAGGTGTCAAATATTAGAAAACTTTTCAATGTAATACACACAAAGAATTATCACCTGTCTGATCTTGTCAACTAAAACTGGAAATGTTGAAGCTTAGAAAGATTTTACGCTAGAGCTGTTGGATTGGGTTGTATTAGATTGCCCCAGGTGTTCGTGTTATGACTGGTTGACTATACTGAGTTTCTCACACCAACTTTTCAGTGACGTAAAGGTTTATCACCTCAGGGGTACAGTCATGGTTTTTTCTTTTTTTCTGGACTGAGGTCTGAAGTAGTTTTAAAATCGGTTACCATGATCTTAAAGTGAATGTAACTCTGCTTCTCTGGTGACTGAGGGTACAGGATTTTTTTTTTCCTGCTCCTGTGATTAACATCCCTTCGCTCTGTTCTCTGCAGTTTGTGATGTCAGGATGGGGAACAGGATACAACTTTCACTGTGACTTGGTCGACTACTCCAATTCGCCACAGGCCATGAGGGTGAGTGACTCATTTCCATGTCAAGACGTCATGCTGGTACAGAAGTTTAGAATCTCGCTTCTTTTGTTTGAATCTGAACAGAAATATTCTTTTATCTCCTCTAGATGGCAGCAACGTGCTGGCTTTACTACTTCTCCAAGTTCATCGAGATGTTAGACACAGTAAGTGATGAGTTTCAAAACCTTTTTTCTTTATACTACCCTGCACTTCATTTTTTTTTTTTGTCTATATCATCCCTTCTGTTATAATTGACTCACTTGCTTGTGTCTCTTTCCAGATCTTCTTTGTGCTGAGGAAGAAGAACAGCCAGGTGACATTTCTTCATGTCTACCATCACTCCATCATGCCCTTCACCTGGTGGTTTGGAGTTCGGTTTGCACCAGGTACAACTCCTTGTTTTCAATGTTCAGGCTGTAATTTCAAAACTGGTGAAGTTTCTTGTCATTTTTTAACTTTTGTTTGTGATTCTCTGATTTCCAGGTGGTCTGGGAACCTTCCACGCTCTGCTCAACTGTGTTGTCCATGTCATCATGTACTCATACTATGGCCTGACTGCCATGGGCCCCAACTACCAGAAGTACCTTTGGTGGAAGAAATACCTCACCACCATCCAGCTGGTATGTTGCTTAGTAGTACCTAAAGTACTTTTATTATATCTCATGGTCGTTTAAGTTGACCTCGTGGTAGATCTGTGTTAATCCTGCTCTTTGTTGCTCCCCAGATCCAGTTCGTGATGGTGACCAGCCATATCTCCCAGTATTTCTTCCTGAAGGACTGCCCCTACCAGTTCCCCATCTTTATCTACATCATCGGGTCGTACGGCCTGATTTTCCTGTTCCTCTTCCTCAACTTCTGGTACCACGCCTACACCAAGGGCAAGAGGCTGCCGAAAGTGCTGCAGGCTCAGACATGGGCACACCACAGCAATGGAGTTATGAACGGAAATGCCAATCACGATAAAGATGAGTGACGCAGGAGCAGGTTCGTCGGGGGGGTTTCGGGGTTTACCTCGTTTACGTAAGAAAACCACAGCAGAGTCTAAGATTCAACTCCGATTTGTTTTGGACTGTAACTTTTGATTGCATTTCTACTTGGTTTTGCAAAAGACAATCTTTAGATTATGACCAAAGCTATATTCAAAAGGGTTTACTGACCCAAGCTGAAGGGTTTTTAATCTTTATATACACTGAAGGTAAAGCCTGTTACGGTTTGGCTATGGAAGTTTCCAACTATTCCTCTTTTTTACCTTGGTTAAAAAAAAAAGGTTTGTTTCAAATGGACTCCTTTACTCGCTGGTTAATTTGCTTCCCCTAAAGGACCCTTAGTTGTACAGTTATACTGAGCCTCCTCAGAACGCTTCTAACACAGAATTTTTTTACTTTTGTAACCTGATATGTCTCTCCGAAGATATCGAGAAAATACGGTCGAGATTTTTAAAAGAAATGTGCACTGAAAAGTTAATGAATATATTTAATTGGACCTCAAACTGATAGTAATGCAAGTACACATGTTGTTCAGGTCATTGTTTAACATTTACATACATGCAGAACAGGCTGTTAGTTTTGATCACACACGCATGCCCACCTCTCTCTGGCTTGAGTCATAGCTGCTGCTGATGGTACAATGATTTGGTGCAAAGGGCTATCATCATCATCATACCACAAACTTGACATGATTCTCCTATGAAGCACTGGTGAGACTGTGATTCCAGAGAGGAAGGCTAATGGACCACTGTGCGTCTTGTAGGATCCAGAACAGAGCTACAGTTTAACTACTCCCTTCTAAGGCAAATAACACCATCTTAACACAGATAAGTGAGTCCATCAGGACTCGCATATCTGCTTCTCAGTATTTAGTGTTGTGTGTTGAAGCTCTGTGGCTAACAGAGGATTCAGACTTTGCTGGAGTCAGGCAGTGCCTTTTTGGACTGAGGTCTGAAGTAGTTTTAAATCTGTTACCATGATCTTAAAAGTGAATGTAACACTCTGCTTCTCTGGTGACTGAGGGTACAGGATCAATCTTGGCACGACTTTGGTACAAACTCATGTTAACACTAAAGATAAACAGATGCAGTGTAACCAAACGGGGTGAACTTTTTTTCAGTTCCTTGTCAAATCCCTTATAATAATACTGTAATACTATGTGAAATGAAATGTTTATATTGTATTTTATATGTATTTATACAAAATAAATGATCATGTACTTTGAAAATGGCTCATTTTGCTTTTTTCTGTCTGTAAAAGTTATTTTTAAAGTAAAGAATCTTAATTGCTGCAATGGTATGCACACAAATAAATGCTCAAAGTGAAATATTGCTAAATCCTGCAGACATCAACAGATTTAAACTTTGAATGAAAAAAAGGACATTTTTAAAACTGTCCAACCAATATGAGTTTGGTGTTTTAGCTCAAAATTTAACCTTCTTTTTGATCAATTACGTATCAGAGCCCTTTGTTCACCAGTAGGTGGTGCTGTCACACTAAAACTGGAAAAACTTGCACTCAACAGTCCTTAAGTGCATTCCTGTAGTAGTAGGAACTGCATACTCGCAACACTTCATTTTACACACAAAAAACTAGTCTGCTTGGACATAATGCTGAGCTATATAACTCATGTGTATCTCAGAATATTATCCGCACCTGTGTGCAGTTCTCTTTTGTAAATCAAATTTGCTGTTGCATTCGTAACCTACGGTATGTTTTCTCCCTTTTTTGTGTTAGGTCAGTGTTTACAAGATGAAAGGCAAGTATACCTGGTTACATGGGTGTTCAGGCGGGGTTTCAAACACATTCAATACATTATTTTGTCTATTCCCATAACTAGACTCCCATCAGAGGAAGGGAAAAAATATGAAAAAACATTCCTTTTACGTGCAAAACATTCAAAATTAGATACACATCGATTGGCTGGACTGGTTAATGAAATAGATTTAACACTTTCTTTTCACTGTACACAACCTGATAAACTTTTTTCAATGTACTGATGTGCAAATCGGAGCTTTACCCATACAGGTTTATTCCCACAGTGTTGCCACAGCTGACATCTATCCAAAAGTGTGACCCCTGATTGTGTGGGTTTTGATAGAATCATGTCAAATTAGCTATTTTATGGAAATTGGTAAATCCCCCTTTACCCTGCAACCCACTGGTCAGAAATGAATCAAAATCAAGATGCATGACAAAAGGTCAAAAACTTCTTACAGGTCAGGAATATCTTGCAATTCCTTGATTGGAGCAGGCCTGGAAGGGATTTTCAGTAACCTAAAAAGGACAACCAAGGAACAATATAAACATTGAAATTCCCACGTACTCCTTATCTTGATTTATCTCCTGCTCACTAAATTGGATGTTATGCATTGCTGTCTTTTTCATTTATAGTTATATCAATAGTGAATCTTTGCTGTTTAAAAAAATATATACACTTGACTTAAACTTGCAAACTTTTTCCTTCTCTAGTCCTCTGTCAACCCTCACTTCACCTTTAGACAATCACATCCAGGATCTAAGAGAGCACACTGACCCGTCTATTACTCAAGTGGCACCTAATAATAATAACCACATCAACCAGCAGAGCCTGAGGCTCCCATTGACTGATACCCAGCTCTTAAATGTGACAACTTTCCACAGAGGAGGCTGGTATCAGTGTGGTTTACACTAACTCATTTTGGATATGATACAGTCTGTTTGGCTCTCCATACAACTGTTCAGTGGTGTATTTATACTAAAACTAAACATGACTGGAGAGCTGATGGCAGGGAGCAGGACGTCTAGCCCTCAGGGGGGTTTAGATGATAGCTTTCCACCATGATGAGTTCCAACAGCCCCTGTCTGTCCCCAAGCCCCACTCGCAGGTCCTTCCCTGGTCTCACTGTAAGAGAGGCAAAGATAACTAGGTCATTACCAGGCTGAATGTGTGAGACGGCTCATCACGGCAAATATGTGTAACACTAATGTGGTGACTCAGAAAGTGAGTTGGGTGTTTGTTTTTTTTGTAATAACACCATGATTATAAATACATACATACATTGTTTTAATGTTAAATTCCCATTTAATTTTCCTAAATGTTATTGCACAGAACATCTTGCTCAATGAAAGAAAACAGATGTGGCTACATCTGTCATCCTCGTGAATTTAACACATGTTGATAAAAGAAATTAGCTCTGAAATGTCTAATAATTTCTGGATCATTAACTTTGTACTTTTAACTTGAAAGATATGAAGTTATTTCAAAATCAATTATGTCTGATAAGGGAAATCCATATTATCCTATTATTGTTTGCTGCCCATTATAGAGATTCCATGGAAAGATACAACATATTCAACATACTTCCTGTTATAGCAGCATATTTTCATGATTTTTATGACTTTATTTGATTTTATGTCAAATGATAGAAAGTTCATTTCTTCAGGGGTGGATGGAAACCTGATTAAAACACTATGTAGCCAAGAAGGAGAGGCTAATTTTGTCTCATGACAGAAAAATTTAACCATATCAAACTGACAAAGACAGCCTGAGCGTATATAATGTAAAATATTTGCCAGAATAACATGGCTGAAGTTCATTATGTGTTAAAGCTGAATCAACAAGTTCTCCAAACAGAGACAAGTTATAAACATGTACAGGTTTATAAACTGAAGAAGGAGGAGCTGATTTCTTTTAGGATTGGTTGTTGCCTTTCTTTTTAATTACTGTAATTCCAAAAAATGTGGTTGCTTCTGAGTAATGGGAATTTCCCCTTGTGGGACTAATAAAGGAATATATTATCTTAATAATACCACCATCAAAGGTTTGAGCATCTCTGTTTATGATAATTGTCTATGATCTTCACTGTAGTTTTAATTTTTATAATTATTATTAAAAAAAACACCACTTTTTGCCCCCCATATAGGTGAGAACTCTCCGGTGAGGGACAACAATCAACAGAAGAAAAGGGGACAACAGAGGGGGTAGTGTGACAAAAATCAGGATGAACAAGTGTAAGCAAATATCAGTTACTTTTCTGGATCTTTAGATGAAATAAAAGTGTGATATTTCATGAATAAATGCAGTGGCTAAATGAGGAAGGGGACTCTCGTTTTCCTCGGTCACTGAATCTCTTGAACATCGTAGAATGTGGTTTATGCAGGAAGAATGAAGCCGCAGCTTTTAGTGCTCTGAGAGTCACACGGGTGGTCTGTTGAGTCCTTGATAATAACAAGAGCAAGGCAGAGAAGGATACTGTGGATACTGTGTGTGTGTGTGTGTGTGTGTGTGTGTGTGTGTGTGTGTGTGTGTGTGTGTGTGTGTGTGTGTGTGTGTGTGTGTGTGTGTGTGCATATGTATGTGTGGGTGTACTGCTGCTGAGCCTGCCAGCAGAGAGCAGATGGCTCTCAGAGAATAATTATTAGTATTTTAGATAATTGTGGGTACTTGGTCGCCCTAATAATAACCTCATCTTCCTTTGTCACTCACTCTGTCTTTTATTGTCCTCATTTTAGGTCCTATATAGGAATGTATTAAATGAAAAAAGAAGAGTATTTGGTCTTATGAAAAGGAGACATGCTGCTGTCATTGTAATACCAAAAATATTCTGCTTTGAATAATGCGTGTGTCTCTTTCTGATCCAAGTTGTTTGCATTTGATCCCCAAGTTTATTGAAAAGACAGTTGAAATCAGCTATGGACATCTAAGATCTAAATGCAACCATAGTAGAAAGGCTGTTTGTCTCATAACAGTATTTGTATGCATGGGTTGAAATTATCACTATCATTTTGGACTCTAAATTACTGCAGTCGGAAAATAAGTGTTTGGATGTGTGATGAAACTTGTGACAGGAGGAGATATCCCAGTAAAATCTGGTCTGAACTCAGACCTCCTCAAATGAACGCTGACAAACTTTGACTTTTCACCTTTTTGAGTATCTTTAAAAGGTGGTGATGGATGTTTTTTAAGTGTTGTTATGACAGAAAATGCACCTGTGCATGGAGGTGTTTGTAAATTAATATTCTGCTCAGCCCTGTATCTGATCTCCACTCTTCCACCGTCTGTTTTCACCAAGTTTTCTGCAAGGGCGCTTTCAGCTCTCACACATAATGTATGACTTAGTAATGGGTGTAATATTCAACCTATAATGTCTATTTTAACATAGTTTATGAATAACCACTACACTGAACACATTACAGCCAAATGAGTTATTTTTAAGCATATATGGTCCTAAATTTATCACTATTTCCACTCTGTTCAAACAATAAAAATATGACTGATAAAATTTTGCATTCAAAAATTTTCAAACATGAAATGAATGCATTGCTGTAAGTTTGCATCATTATTTGTTGCTAGTATGGCTTTTTTGTGCACCTGTGCCTTTACACTATAGTCACTGTGTGTTTTGTCCCTTTGGGCAAAACTTTGCAGAACACAGTGTCCCCACACCTCACAGCATGAAGAGCATCTTTCTGCTCCTCTGTGAAGCTGCCTGTCAACAGCTTCTGCAGGTGCACAGCAGTGGAACAAATACGCCACGTTCAGGGCCAGGGGATGTTTTCCTGGTTCTTATCTCCCCCTCTGCAGTATATTATTAATCCAAAAACTGACTTGGTGGACACCACCCTGTTCTCCAATGAGGCCTCAGTGGAGTGAGTCTGGTCTTCTGTGTGTGAACTTGGAGGCTGTATGCTGTCCCATCTCTTTAACAACATGAAGCAAGGACAGGCTATTTATGCTTCCTTTTACTTATATATATTTTACATGTACAGAGATACTATTTATATACTTTGGGGATTCCTGATTAAAACCTAATCTGAGAAATTACAGAGGAAAATGTGTACTTTTTCGAGTGTGTGATGTTTTGATACGACAGTGCAGGAGAGGAACAAAGCGTACGGCCTTTATATCATATTAGCAAAACTCTTCCACTCCTGTGAGTTTGACAAGCCCTGAGGCCAAGCAGCCTCTGCACACTGCTTGTACCCTTTGTGAATCCCTGCCTGCCTGACTGTTTGCCTGGCTCTTCCCTAAAGGCTTGCTGACTTGTCTGCCTACGTCCCTTGCCTGCCTGTCTGGCCTCTTGCTAGTTTGTCCCTCGATCTGAAATCGACTGTACAGATATTCATTAAAAAGTATTAGGAGATCACAAGGATTAAATGATGGCTGGACACTCCAAAGCGATGACAAAACTCGGAGGATCTCCAGCCGTCGGTGGTTTTATGAAAATAATTTCTCTGAAAAGCTCCCAACTTTGATTGTCTTAGTGAATTTGTTTCTCTGTCACCCAGGAGACCATTGTGTTCCCAAACAAATCTACAATGTTGATGTCTTGTTTCAGGCTAATAAGAAAGTATTTTTGGTGCCCAAGAAGGAGCCAGAATGAGCACCAAAAGAGGAGCATCAAGCACACAAACATCATATTTCAAGGATAAGTGTGAGGGTTACATCAACCTTCTCATCTAACCTTCTACAGAAAATCTAAACAGCGTGTTCTCCCAAATGTTGATCTGTTCCTTCACCTGCTAATTGAACTCTTTCTATTTTAAATTCAATCAACACAAAGCCTCGAATGGACATTGAAACCAATGGCTTAGAATAAGTTGAGAAAGAGGAAAAGCACTTATGTCCTATAGTAAAGATGGATGAAACAGTCTATAAAGATAGTTTAATTCAGACGTCAGCACTGTTGTCCACTGGGTGAAAAACAGCTGTTCAATCAATGTGCAGTATGAGAAAAGAACACGTTCTTCAGTGTTTATTTATATGAATGCGTCTTTTTAATTAGAAAGCAATCGGAACATTACTTTAGAATGTGTACTCAGATGTTAACAACAGCACTTGTTCATTTGGTGGGCTCTACGTTGGGGGTATGTTTGAGTGTTTCATGGACTCTGAGCTTTTTGTGCCTCTTTTTGTTTCAATAGTCCAAGGTATCAGGAACTAGAGAGTAACATGATATTTTTAGCTGTGTAACTGAAGACAGCTCCTGTCTTCACATGTCTCAGACATGTGAAGACAGGAGGACGACTTGACAACATATATCCAGAGGGTTTTCTCATATGGAACACACCCCGCTTTGATTTGATTTGATCTGATGTATGCCATACATCATGATGTTTCTTAGGTGCTGCTTTGCACACTATTTTACCCTTTAAGCTCTTCTTGTGACCAGATTTATAAACCAAGAAGTGAACCTACTGTGCCCTGCAGTCCTCTATTAGCTGGTGCAGCGATGACTAATCTTTCAGGTGTTTAAAGATTGGTTAAGATTGGCATTCCAGAAGTAAAACCATAGAATGATTTTCATGCTTGTGACATAAACATAGCAGACACAGAGTGAATACAGCACTCAGTTTTGCTTTTATCTGTGTCTATCTGTGTGTGAGAAAAATGGATGAGTTGCATTGCACACACCAACAGTCTGACTGGTCCAATCTGTTAACATCCAGCCATCGCTAGGGCCAGGCCGTCATGCAGCCAACACATTTCCAGCATGAAACAACAGAGTAGGGTAGAGTCTGCAGTGGAAATGCAAACAAGTTCAAGATTTACCAAACCAAACTGGGCTGAACCAACTGGACTCTTTGATGGAAACATGCCATCAGCCACAAAGGAAAGTCCCAGTCTGGATTTGAATCATTTACCCTTTTGCTGTGATGTGGTAGCGCCAACTAAGCACCCACTTGTGAGCGCTCACTTGGTAAGTGTAGGTGTGTACATAATGGTGAGAAAACTACAACTCCCTTTCTCCATACTGAAAGGCGCTAGTTTGGATTTCAACACTGGACTGTCAAGACAAATATGAAAGTGTTTTAAAGTGACAATGCCAATCATTATACTGTGCTAACTTGTAAGGATTTATTTACCTCTCAGCTCAGTGCAGTTCCCAGTTCAGCTAACTAGCCATCTTAAATAAACTAAGAGAAACAGGAGCTAAGCTATCAATGACTGTGGATGGTGTCAGCTCAGCTCAGCGGGAAGAAATGTCTGTGTTAATTGGAGAGCAGGAGAGATCTCAAGTGACCTGGTGGTTAAGGTGTGTAACTTGTGAGCCAATGCCCTTGAATTGAGAGAGCTGCTGTTATCACAAGCAGGACTTGGTAGCTTACAATATTTCAGGACCTTTCTGAATCACAGGATTTCAGCAGCTCACATATGGCTGCAGTTTGCACCATGACCATCCAGATCTCTGCTTTTCTGAATGATTCTGTTTGACTTTCTGTTTTCAGAATTTCAATCAGGAAACCGGAAAACCGGAAAACCTGATTGGACATCCAAGTAAGTTCTTGGCTCTTGCTGTTTTTTCATTGCATAATAATACAACCCATGGTGCACCTGTGATCAAAATACACAGAGTCAGCAGTTAAAGGGAAAGAATCAGCTGAAAGTAACTCAAATGCCATTACTGTGTCAGTTCAATTACAGCAGTTATTGATGAGATGCAGAAATATCAGAATTCACAATATGTCAGTGATTCACTCAGTATAGACCCGATCAGCTGATCAGTGAGCTGCAGGCAGTGGAACATGTATGTCTGCTGTCCAAAGATAATTCAAAAACAAATGGATTGTTAGATGCTGGAAACATACAGAATTAACTTACAACAACACTAGTGTTTGGCTGAAGTTTGATGAAATAAGTTAAACCAGGTGATAGAGCTGGCCCTGTCTGCAGCGTTTAATACCCCGCCTTTATTCGGGTTCTTGACAAAGCTGTCAGTCATCCCCTGCGGGTAATACAATCGCTGTTGACAAGAACCCTGTAAAAACCCACTTTAGCAAAACCGAACCCTTTTCGCGCTTCCTCCACACAGGACTTAAACATTGCTCTATCCTTGAGTTTATTTTTATGACTCAATCACCAACCTAAGTTTTGAGTGTACCCATCAAACAGCACTTTGTCAGAGGTCTTTTTTTTCATGACTCATGGTAGAATAACATGCACGGCATACAGCAGGAGAAGATAAATGACCTGAAGTCAAATGATGCCCAGCAGATCACTGCAATCTTTGTAGTATACGTACATAAAGAACAAGAACTTGTGAATTGTAAAGAAATAAATCATCCAGGAGTCATAACTGCATATGATGGCTGCCATTCATAATGTGATGACACAACAATTTCCAAAGTTTTTGTTTCCGTGTCTGCTTGATTACCCCTCATCTGATTATACTTTCCAAACAGAAATGTTTCCACAGCTGCTCTCATTTCCTTGTACTGTAAATACTGCTGACATCCTTCCACTCTGTCATAGTCCTCTGCCTTTATTCTCCTTAATAAACCCCCTTTCAATTCCTCCCCTCTCCTTTCCTTTCCTCTGGAGTTTATCCACAACCATGGGAACTTTCAGGAGGAGGAGAAGGAGGAGGGAATGGGAGGCCGGAGCAGGAGAGCCACATGATTGGCTAAGAGGTAAGAACCTCTTTGACATGATTGGCTGTGAGTATGGGAGATGCAAGCAGAGCACCCTCCTTATTCCAGAGAGCATCAGTGAGCAGCCGAGTGGGACATGCTGTGTTAGAGATGCACACCGGTTACTCTGGTTTGTTTTGGTTTCTGTGATTGTGACTCGTAGAGGACTGTGTACGGGAGCCCAGGAGTGGATAAATTAATTCTCTCCAGAAGTTTCTCTAAAAGATATAAAGTAAGTTTTCATATTTTTTCTTACCCTCCTTCCTCTTCTTCTTCTTCCTTTCCCCGGCTGTCACTCATCTTTTGTGACAGTTTCTCATCTTGCTATATGTTCTTACAACATGAGCAAGTGACACACCACATGCAAAGTAACTTATTATTATTCTGACATGAGCACAGAATTTAATTCAGTGATGAGAAATACGTCATAAATCCTGAACCACAGTGGTTCTCTGAGGTCAGAAGTTGTGTGCCTGGCTTAGTGTGTCCTTATGTGCAGTGCTTGTTTAATTCATGTGTGTATGTATGTATATGCACAAGACTACAAAGAGGATATACTCGATTCTACATCTTTAAAGGATGCAGCCGTGTGTGTGTTAGGGGAAGTGAAGGTGCACTGCGCCTTCACAGCAACTAACCTCATCAGCAAACTTGTCACTGCATTGCTCCACGTTGATGGAGGAGCTCAAGGACTCTCTCCCAAAATCTCCTGGTGTGACTTTCAGGCTGCAGGGTGGTGGTGGCGGCAGTGGCAGTATAGTTGGCTATAAATAGGCTTGCTCCAAATTGTACTGCAGTCACACATAAATTCAGAGGGAAAAAGAAATGACACAGTCATTGTTTGTATTTGAGTCAGGAGCACTTTGATCCTCCCGCTACAGCGTCTCTGTGGCAGGAAGTATAATTTAGCCGCAGGGTAAACACAGATGAATTAGAGTTTAACCTAATACAAACCCCTCTGTTTTATATGAAACTTTTGGACCTTTCCTGCAACAACTGTAGCAAGGGAAGGAGAGTAAGAAGCAAATATAGATGGACCATACATAAGACAAAAATAGAAGACAAGAGCTTTTGTCAGTCAATGTTTGTTCTTGTCAGGGTGTCCTGAATGTGTTGATGTAAGGGCGCAGGAATTGGTTGCACGTGTCACAGTTTTCACAGCGCGGCAGTCACTCACCAGTTTGCTGTGAGGGTGTTACCACCTATGCTGCTCCGTCAGAGGACAACTCCCTAGATTTACATCCACATGCTTATCAAAACACAAGTCAAAGCAGCTTGATATAATGTAAATAGAGGTATATAAAAAAGGATGACTTTATGGATGTGAATACTGTGACTGAAACGTTGCTTTGATGTGATGCTTACTTGCTCGCATGAAAGGAGGAAGAGCCCATTAAAAAAGTTTTGTTATTTCATTACACACAAATGATACCCAGGAGGATTTAGAGTTCAACCAGCTGACCTGCTATCAAACACATGGATCTGGTTATGTTTCAGGCCCTCATGTGGACCATGACTCATACGGCTTTGTAACAAAGATTATTTCAAGCTGATTGCAACGATGTGACATCAACAAACTGTGCCTTGTCCAGACCTATCCTTTGCAGCTTCAAAGCAAGAAAGTTTGTTTAATATCTACCTGCCCGTCAGCCAGAGCTCCTTTATTGCAGTGTTGAACACAGGGAGCCTTGTGTTGTACCTGACCTCTACTATGCAAATGTGTACTCTCAGACTGCCAGCCTGCGCTCAACCTCCACATGGACGAATAAGTGAGATAAAAGCAGTACAGTAAGTCCATTGTCTCACCTGGACCTTACCTGAGTGCAGGGATAGAGTCAGGGGCATGGAGTCTTACCTGTACGATGAGGTTTTACACCCTCTGCTCCTGAGTCTGAACTCTATCGACCCTTTTAGCGTCAGTCAAGGGTATGACCTTTTTGGAGAGCTGAGGACAAAAAAATCATTAGATACATTTACCAGTTAATAATTTTATGAAGATAACATCTCTGAAAATACGATGCCGCCTAACTGTCTGGAACCAAGGCTTCTACTTTAAAGTTAACCCTTGCAGATGGGGGCAGACTGCTTTAACCCATATGCTGAACAGATGGATAATTTGAAATGACAAACAAGTATGTGTTGGTGTGTAAACTGAGGGTGTATAAGCCCTTAGATACACTTACATTTATAGTTGATTACCATGGTAGTCGCACTAAGGAGGACAACAAATTGATTCATCAGGTCCTCCAGGAAGTTGTGTTGTTAATTCCTCATATCACTGTGGACTCTCAGAGGAAATTTCAGCAAATTATAACAACTTGTCTGAAAAATTTCCCAACCCCCTTCACTTTTGCTAGTTCTTATTTGTCCATTTTGCTGTGTTGGAGATGGTTAGCTATCTGTTTGGATGTACCGCCATGCCTTGGGTTGAGTCTTATAAGTTTTTGTCCATGTTGATCATTGTAGATGTGGAAAGTGCTACAGATGAAAAAAAAAAGTACAAAACTGTAACTTGTATTTCTTGTACTGCTACAAAACTAGGCGTTGTAGACCACAACAATCTCTGAAACCACTCACAAAACCCTGAGGGAACTGATTTTAATCCCTTCTCTTTAACAGTTCTGTTTGTATCACTGTTGTCAGGTCGCTTTACTACTGTCAGGGTGAGTGTATGGGCGCACAGACTAACAAGCTTGGCTTGATGTACTCTGTGTACTGTTTGAACACAAAAAAAGTATTCGCACTGCTGCTCATGTCTTAGCTCCAATCTTCTTGAGGAGAATCTCTACAAATGTGCGTCTCCATGTACTGTACGTGTCCAAGTCTGTCCTCTGCTTCACTGGAGATGATCACCAAGAACCAGAATTAAAGTGACATTGTCCAGCAGTTTATGTGTTGTGTTGACGTACTCAGATGATTCTGTTAGCATGAGCAGCCATGAGTGATAAAGTGAGTGATGAAGCTATAATGAGTTTACGGAGATGAAAGGTCAACAGTGGAAGACTTCAGCGTCTGGTGCCAACAAAGTCGAATGTCACAGGTTTCCCTGAGACATTCTTGGCATTTTATGAGAGGCAGTTTATGGAAAACTGTATTATTTTGCTTCCCAAAGCATATTCATTACTGTAATAAAGCCTGTGTTTGTTATTCTCTGTTTTTTCTGGCATGGGACACAATAAAAAAGTCCTCTCAAGCTCTTGGGCAGATAGACTGCAATATGCATATATACACACAGACATGCAAACATAAACACATTCGAGCAAATGACGCCGAAGGCCTCTAAATATCTTTCTACTAAAATCCTGTTCTCATAATAATGAGCTGGAAAGTGCACTCAGGGCTTTTAGATTCCATTTTTGGACTTGGAGAAATTCTGGTCTTTGTATACTTTAACTGGGCATGTGAATTTATTGTTTAAGTCCTCTTCTTTTAAACAGGAGCTTTAAAGGTATCTTTAACATCTGTTTTTAACTATGAAGGGACAAGAAACAGGTTTTTTGGACCATTATGTTACGTAAAACTTGTTCCTTAAGTCCGAATGTTTGACAATTTGTCATGAATCCAGTGATGAGTGTGTTGTTTAATATTAAATCTGAAAACATGTGTGCCCTTTGAACTTCAACTGGAGTATTTCCTCTTTACAGGCCCTTAAAAGGCAGCCCCAAAGGCATGCTTTAATCCCATCCAATGACACATATTGAGTTAGACATACAAGTCTAAAACATTATAGAGGAAAAATACAAGAGGATGAATTTATCTCCCCTCTTCCCTCTCTCTGTCTTCTGTCTCCTTTCTCTTTCTCTGCAGCAGAGCACAGCTGGATGGTATCAAGGGAGCCACTACACAACCACACTGCTAGGGGTCAACAATGAAGCAGATTTAGCCTTTAATTGATGTCACTTAAACCAACACAAGCCGGGACAAATGAAATAGATGACAATACTTCAGAGATTCTCTGCCTCTGCAGCTGCATCTGTGTGCCTAGACTGTTACATTAGGCAGGAAGAATGACCTCCAAGGGACTTAAAAGAAGACACGAAAAAGAAGAAGAGACAAACAGCTGTGATCTTAAGCCTATTTGTACTCCCCTTACCCTTGTTTCACTGGAAGTCCTGTCACTGTGTTTCCTTAGCTTTTAGAAATGACAAGTAACAGGCGAGACTTCTTTAACAGACATAGCTTGTGATAGGGATCAGCCCTGGCTTGGATCTTGGAGGGAAAGGGTGGGTGGGGTGGGGGGCTTTATAATGTCTCCAGAGAGGGATGGTATGCGGTGGTCATCTTTTGGTCATCTCTCGCACGACACATCCTGGTGCTTGGCTTTAACAAAGAGAAAATAAAATGTTTGCCTGTGCTGTGGGAAATTTTCCATAAACAATAGTTGACATTTTCTATGTTTGGACTGGGTCAGGGCAATGTTGCTCTTTAAAACACAAGATATAGAAAAAAGAGCTGGAAACTGGAGGAATATTCTCTGTTGATGCCAAAAATATGTTGATGTGCTCACACTCACTCACTTACTCACTCACTCATTCACTTACACAATCTGTTAAGCACCATTCAAGTGACTATCAAAACAAGGCAACAGAACCTACAGAGAAAAACACGAACCATGTTTAGAGTTGATCAGAATATCTTAATACAGCCTCCAGCATTCAAGGACACCACCTCTGAGAGAGTCAAACGGTTGGATAGACTGCAACGTAACTACTCCCTTGCTGAGAACCGATTGCATTGCTTGGAGCGAGCACACCCCACAGAATAATCTGAGTGGAGTAGGTTTGACAGCTAGTGTTTGTGCAAGGACTGGATGAATAAACATAAGGGGTGGTTTATGGATTACATGATTTGATTTTCCTCCTGCAGAAGAGCAAGAGAGGATTTGCTTGAGCTTCTTCTTGATATTTGCATGGAGCCCTAGAATGTCAATGAAACTAGTGCATTTGATGAGGTGTTCTACACTAGTTATACAGCCATGAACCTGTTAAGAACTGCACAAATAAACAGGACACAGTAAGAGAGAACTGGGCTCTGTAAAGTTGTATCTGTAATCTGGCTCATGATCAGTCAGTAATAGGGGATTGATGGACAAACCAGAGCCGACAGAGGATCTGGCTCCAAATTAAGCAACAGAAACACAAAGAAGATATTAAAGGTTCTGGATCCTGACTTTAGGATTAGAACTAATGATGGAGGATCTGGTTCAGAAAGAAGTAACAGTTGAGGATCTGGTCTAACATGTATTAATGGTTTAAGTCAGAATCAAAAAGAAGTAGTAGTTCAGGATCTGGCTCACAAAGAAGTAATAATCAAGGATCTGGCTCATGAAGATGTGGCAGAGAATCTGACTCACAAAAAAAAACAAAAAAAAAACAATAACAGAACCAGCAGAGGTGAAGAATTATACTGGCAGACAAGCACAAGTAGAAGATCTAGATCAGGATCCAGTCAGAAGAAGATTATTACAAGCTATATTAAACATACAGTACAGGCCAAAGGTTTGGACACACCTTCTCATTCAATGTCTTTTCTTTATTTTTTATATGAGTATTTACATTGTAGATTATCACTGAAGGCATCAAAACTATGAATGAACACATGTAGAATTTTGTACTTACAAAAAAAGTGTGAAATAACTGAAAACATGTTTTATATTCTAGTTTCATTAAAGTAGCCACCCTTTGCTCTTGATGACTGAAGTACTTAGTGACTGACTCGGTAGTCACGAAGTAACCCTGATAAGGCACACCTGTGACGCAAAAACCATCTCAGGTGACTACCTCATGAAGCTCATTGAGAGAACAGCAAAAGTTTGCAGCGCTATCAAAAAAGCAAAAGGTGGCTACTTTGAGGAACCTAAAATATAATACATGTTTTCAGTTATTTCACACTTTTTCTTAAGCACATGATTCCACATGTGTTCATTCATAGTTTTGATGCCTTCACTGAGAATCTACAATTTAGATAGTAATGAAAATAAAGACAATGCATTGATTGAGAAGGTGTGTCCAAACTTTTGGCCTGTACTGTACATGATCAGAGTTATGAATGACTAATTGATTGGAAATATAGGATGTAAATAAAAACTGCAAAAAAATAAAAAGCTGTTGAATCAAAACATTTTGTTAAATTTACTTACGTATTTCTATACTTTTCTAGACTGAAAATTTATTAAAATATGACTACATTAACAACTCAAATCTTGTAGACAATTGGCTTGTCTACAAGATTTGTGCCAACTGTTGAATAGGAGACTGATTTCTGAATTTAGATTAACCCCACACATTTTGTCTGATAGAATAAATTATCTAAACATTTGTAGACATATAAAGAGAACTAACTGATGAAGCTGTTTTTAATTCACTGTGCAGAGTGACAAGTGTAAATGAGGCATCTTTCAGTTGCCAAAGTATTTATTAAAATCATGATGAATGAATACAGACACATTTCAACTAAACTAGCATACAGTGCCAAAAATAGCTACGTATCACTCACAGATATCTGAGATGTCTCATCGTAATTTCATCCCCCTCATAATCCCATTACTTATTATATATTTGTACATGGATATGAGCCGACACTGCTCATGGCTACACACACAAGTGTTCTCTTAGAATAAAATATAATTTTGCAATATGAGACCCTTGTGAAGATTGGAGTAGTACATTGTTTTTGGCTGTTTGCCCTTTTCCTGGCTGTGTCAGTTTGCTGGTTCAAACTAGATAAATGCTCCCTGTGGTAAAATGCCACTCTCTATTTTGCTTTCTCACTCCTACTCTTTGTTTCTCTCCCCACAGTGAGTGGAGGAAAATTCACTAAACTCCCAAGGTCTAATGCCATGTGGCCATCTAAGGATGTTGGCTTAAAGTCCTGAGGCAGACCTAAATTAATCTCATATCTGATATCATGCTCATCTTTTGTTTAGCAAAGGGGTCTTAACTTGGTTCTGGCTCAAAGGTTAGTCAAACAAATGATCCAGTTACATGATTTCATAAGAACTGTACGGAATATAAGTTATGAATACACTATTTTTAATGACTGCATAAATAAACGTTGTGCTTTGCTGCAATTGAGTGATTAAAATAAAGGGTTGTCTTGAGATGGCATGAACCAATTAAAACTATAAAGTAGGGGAAATAAATAAATTGTCATCAGTTCTGTTTTTTTCCCACTCAAACTAAACACTTTTTAGTTCAGCTCCAATTAATGGCAAATATTTTCTCTGGATGAAAGATTTAGGGAAACATATCTTCTGGAAAATATTTGGTGTTGTGGTTGTCTGGTGCTGTTTAAACAAATGCCAGCATTTTTCAGTGGTTTGATACTCTTTCAAACTGGCAGATCTGGTCATTGCAGTGGCTCACTGGAGATGTATATTTTTGCTGTGGAAATGTTTTTATAAAAATGAGATTACAGTAATTTAATCAGCTTCTTGGCTCTTTTTATATAACACTGGGCCAAACTAAGCTTCAGAGGCTGGGTCTTTTCGTTTCGCCAAACATAGAAAAGATAATTTGAATTAGACAGGACATACTGCTCTGGAGTAACTACTCTAGAGCATTTAGCTTTATGTGTTGCTAAATTTAAGTGAGGGGAGACATGCTTTAGACACATTGTCATAAGGGTCATGGAATGACTCCTAAAATAACCATCACACATTCATACACTTTCTTGTGCCTATGAACCTATGCACCAGCTCAGTGGACATGATCCAAAGGTCAGTATCTTCACGACATGGTTGGCTAAAGGGGACCAGGCTGCTGTTTCTGCCAAAACATATGAATGGAAGAGGGATGGTGGGATAAAGGTTGCCCACAACAAAAATGGTAGTGGACAAGATTCACCTACCCCTGCTAGCCGTACTGTGAAACCTTCACTCTTTTTGTGAAGATACTACAATGGTGAATTTACTGCTTGTAAGTTTTCACCTATTACCATGGGCTCTGTAAAGTAACCATGGTCTCTGTAAAGTTGTATCTGTAATCTGGCTCATGATCAGCCAGTAAGGGGATTGATGGACAAACCAGAGTCGACGGAGGATCTGGCTCACAATTAAGCAACAGAAACACAAAGAGTAGTAGTACAGGATCTGGCTCACAAACAAGTAATAGTCAAGGATCTGGCTCATCAAGATGTTGAGATACATGGTTGGCTAAAGGGGACCAGGCTGCTGTTTCTGCCTAAACATATAGTAGATAGAAGAGGGGTGGTGGGATAAAGGTTCCCCACAACAAAAAATGGTGGCCGACAAGATTCACCCACCCCTACCAGCCCTTTACTGTGAAACCGTCACTCTTTCTGTGAAAATACTACAAATGGTGAATTTACAGCTGGTGAGTTTCCACCTTTTACCATATAAAGTTGATTATTGATTAGGGGAGAGTGGGGTAAGATGAGCCATTTTTCATATTTTGGATCACTACATCAAGGAAATCATAGTTTTCTCTCTAACTAGTGTATCTGCATATATGGATGTTGTGCATCCCTGCAAACCAACAGAATGAGTGTAAACATAACTGTCTAACATGAGAATGTCTTTAAGTGATTCAGAACATTCACAGCTGTATTTTTGAAAAGAAAAAGTAACACATTTCTACAATCTGAACTGAAACTCTGATCCTCTCATCAGACTCCTTTACTTTCTCAGTTGAGCCACTGGATCAGCTTAGCCCAGAACTACTATTATGACTTTATTAGTCCTCTAAGCTAAAATGGTGGACTTTTATTCTAGGCTTTTGACCTCATGTTGCAGCTCATAGATACCACAATTGATGTATAAATCAAATTAAAAATGATCTTTTTTGGTTGGAATGCAATTCTTATAAAACTTTTGACGGACTAAATTCACTTTCAAGAGTGAAAAACGTTTTGTTTTTTTTAGGAATAAATGTCTGACCCTTTCACCCATGTGCTTCAAACCTTCACAGACTCCATGAAATGATGCCCATCTCCTAAATATTTGGTCACACAATTCATTTCTTTTACCATTTCCAAGCAACAGGGGGTGGCTCAACTTACCCTCTGGCTCAACTTACCCCACTCTCCCCCATAATCTTACCTGTAATGGTGAACGTTGACGCTGCGCACGTTAACGTTAGTGTCGTCACCAGTTTGACCGTTTCCCAACATGACGTTGATTGAGCAGAGCACCGCCTGTCCCTGTCACCGCCTGTCCATGTCACATGCAGCAAGTTAAGCCAGCTGGAAACGACAAAGTCTACTCACCTTGGGGTGGTAAAGTGGAAAGTGAGCATCTTCACCGTAGTGTTTCATTTTGAGCTACTTTCGTCGCCCAGAGGATAAAAGTACATAACGTGAACTTTTCATCCAACTCTTGGTAAGAGCGAGCAACGCAATGTTACTGCTGTTTTTCCTAACTTGCTTATACTTAAACATTCAAACTAAAATTGAAAAGCCTCAAAAGGCACATCAATACCCGACTCTTTGAAGTAGGAAAATATAACGATAACCCAACAGTGTGTTAGCGATACACGTGCCTCGTGCTCAGAAATACTTGGGGGGGCTTTTGGAAACTAGATTGCTCGACGAAAAGCTAACAAAACAAATAACCAGACAACAACAGTAATAAAATATTTAGACGCCTACATAAAGAGGTTCCTGCGTGAGGTTTTGGGGTTGTAGGTAAAAGTTAAGTCTCAATATTCGACGATATACGCCAAGTCTACAAATTGTACGTTAGCTTAATTGTAGTTGTGCTGAGCACTGGTTGCCCTTAGCAACAGAACGCCGTAATGACAGACAGCCGGTAGAAGCTCGAAGAAAAATTGGAAAAGATTTCACTGTTAAGGGAAATATAGCCAACAAAGTAAGGATTGTTACATACATACCTACACTGAAGTTAAAATACTCAAATGAATACACATAACTTTTGGTGGAAAAATATGGGACACTGTCTGCATGTTGAAATATTGTGGAAGGGAAAAAGGTCAGACACTCACAAAGCAGACACATGTACAGAAGCAGGAGCTACTGTGCCAAGGGAAAAATTGTGTCATCCCTTTGTTGAACATGTTCCAGGGTGCTTGGATGCAGCGTCAGGGTTTTTTCCTGTATGTGTAGCAAACATTTGATTGCAGAATTGAGAACTGTGAGCTTTACAGTTAGCCAAAATGAGATGCAAAGCGAACGAAACATAGGTTACATGACAACACTGCACTACAATGAATACATTGTGAATTTGATGTTCTATAAGGCTGCTCCCTACCATGTTTGAATATTGCTCTATATCATAAATGCATCTATTCTTGCATTATTTTGTTGGTATTACTCTAGAGCCTATGTAAATGCATGAAAAAGCACTGTGAGGCACCCAGTGTTCAGCACACTGCAAGTCAGTGAGGCCATTGAAAGGGAAGAAATCTCTCTAAGTCTGTGTTTGCAATCTTGACATCAAGCTGTGTTACTGTCAGTCATGAGTCGACTATATTAAATCACATCTTATGGCAGAGATGCAGATTGAGGTCCAGATCACCACGGCGTGCCTGCTTCTTTCTGCTGGGCTGTACAGATAGAAGTGACTCATCCACAGCTCTACAGGGCCGGCTTCTGCCTGAGGCCAGAGATGTCATATGCTGTAGTAGGCCACGTGTATGAGGAATACTCTGTGTGTGTAAAAAAGAGGATAGAAAAAATGCTATTCTGGATAAACAGAGAAACATCAGAAATTGTCATAATTGTTCAGATTTTATTTTATTTTTATTTTTTAGCAGAACTATTATGGGTTTACATTATAGTTCAAGCTTTTGTGTTTACAATATTAAGGCAAGTGCACATGCGTACAAAGTTTCTGTGGATATAACAATGAACATAATTTATCCTGTAGCATGTCTTTATGTTTTTTAAAGTGGGGGATGTTAAGGTTGTCTTCAGTGAAAACTCATTGTGATATGTAAAGACAAATATAGATCTCTGGAGACCTCTACTGGCAAATTAAAGCACAGATGCACAAAACCTTTAAAGCAGTATAATGTCCATATCACAAGACCTGGTTATGTATTTTGGATTTGGATTTATCTAAAGTAGTTTGTTTTGTGTGTGTGCACATTATGCCATGTTGTTTGAAAATGCTTACAAATATGACTTTAGGCTTTCATATGTCTTTGTATGGTTTAAGTGCTCCGCAGTGAGCTATAAATGGTGCTGACACAGAACCTTCCTCAATTAACAGTCAGCATAAGGGAGACAGAGATAACACAGAGCATGGTTTGAAAGGCCACGGGCAATTGTGTACTTAGTTTTTAAAGGGGCTCGTAAAACACATCTTAGTTAAATAAGATGTTTATTCTAGATTGATAGACATTTATGGTCATGAATAATGATTTAATTGAAGAACTTCTATGTGAGTGCAATTCGTGTACTTACTGTTTGTTTTTTTTTTCTGATTGTTTAATGAGAGTGATTTGTTCGTGATGAGAGTTGATTGGTGTGTTTGTTTCTGTATGCCACAGGTGTCAAACTCAAGGCCCGGGGGCCAAATCTGGCCCGTGGAACAAGTATATTTGACCCACGAGATCATATCATATTTGTATTATTATTGGCCCACCAGTATGAGGTCTGCAGATTTCCTCCAGGATGATAATGTAAACTTTAGCACCATTATTTAAAATACCCTTAATAAACCATGAAAATCTGGGAAAGTAAAGCGTAAGGAAGACTTGAAAAAATTGTGTGCTATCTATATTTCCAATTTTGCATCTCAAGATTACAAGTCAAACATGATTTGGCTTTTTATTTTGTGCTTTGATTTTTTTCAACTCAGTATTTAGATTTCATTTTAATCCTTTAGATTCCAATTTTATTTTATTTTTTATTTTCAACTTTCTCCTCATGTTTTTGCTCTTTAGAAGCATTATTTTTCTATTTTTAATATCGTGTTCTGATCTTTTGAACTGATCTATTGGATATATTTTTTAAAATCTCAGATTGCCTATAAATTTATCTTTTTTACTTTCTGAATTTCCAAGTGGTTTATAATCATTGCTGATTTTGTTATATATTTTGGAAAGTTTGGGTTAAATGTTGACCCTGTTGGGCCCTCAAGTTAGACATAAATCCAGATTATGGCCCTCGCTGTGGTTGAGTTTGACACCCCTGCTGTATGCAGTCACACTGAGATTCTTTGGCCTCTGGAGGGCACTAACACAAGGCGTTTTAAGCCTTTTCACCTTATAAAGTTGTCAGTGTGGCTTATTTACACATTCAGTGAAGATAGAATACTATTAATCTGAAGCTGTGTTTGTGTTTCTCTCAGAGAATGTTAGATCCCCCAACTTCTAAAGAATATAATCACTAATAATGAAGCCGGGAATGCTAAACGATATCAGCTTCAATGGCATAGCTATACTTTGGATGTTAACTGATACAGTGGTGGAGGACAACAAGTTCTTGAGAGCATTAGAGAAGAAAAGGCATGTAACTGAAGAAAACATAAAAAATGAGGAAATAAATTAAGATCGGAAGAAAGCAAAATCAAAGAGTGGCTTTAGAGATGTGCATTGTCAATAATGAAAGTCATTTGGTGTCAAAGATGAAGAGACTGAAATGACACGCTCATTAGATTAGATTAAACCTGACTTTATTTAACCTTTGTGAGGGTTCCCTCAAGAAAGTTAAATCATACTTTTAAGACAAGCAGTTGGACTTTTTTCTCTCAACATTTATAAAGCAATAAATATGAAACCCTGGAGAGGTGCTCCGGTGAATAGTACCTCGAATTGTGTTTGAGTTTTTGCAAAAAGACAGGCCGAAAAACCTAGGCAGAATGATGTGACAGGGTCTGTATGTTTCTGGCAGAAATTCTTTACTGCACACTTCCCATAAATCATCTTGAAAGGTCTTATGTTGGACCCTGTCTGCATACAAATGTCCCTGTCTGTCAAACTCAGACATAATAAAGCTCTTTTCAGAGCTTTAGCACCTTTGTTTTATTCACAGGATGAGTACACTTCAGAAGTGTGAGCTTGAATCTTTTGTGTGGAATCCTACAGGTGGGATGACCCCGGTGTGAGTGATTGGAAGAGGAAGGTCAGTGAATCTGTAAATGTGGTGTATATTTTAAAAGTGAGGTGCCAACAAAAGATAGAATTAACCTTTTGAGGAGGTGGTCTGAGGTGACAATAGACATTTACTAGGTGTAGCCTTTTGCTGGAGTGTCCACAGGCAGAATACTACTTACTTGTTACTCATGCAAGTATTGCCCTTTTGGAGGACTTTTTTTCTTCAGATGAAAATGTTTTTGCAAAAGTCTTTATTCAGAAACTCCATGGACATTTCAGGTGTTCACTGCAGACATTAACCTGGGTAAATGGGGTCTCACTAAGTGGAGACGGAAAGCAGTTCTCCGTTGCAGTTCCCATCAGGCTAATGAAGCAGACACATTTTAATATCAAATCCTGCCAGGTGCAGCTTCACCATATCTCCTGCCGTGCTCAGCAGAGGGCTCCAGTTAATCTGAATGCACAATAGACCTATCAAACTCACCTGATCATCCATCTTTACAGCCAAAGAATCCTTCTCAGTTTTTATGGCATATGCTTTAAATGCTATCTTTCTGTACATTTTTATTGCTTAAAAGCTGTCAGTGGTCCTCAAGAAAGGATTTGAGATATTTAAGGAGAGCTGATGAAACGATCAGGAGCTTTTTTAGTTGTATTTATGCCTTTCAAAATAAAAATAAAATCTAATTAAAGTAGTGGGTTGATACAGTCAGTGTCAGAGAAAGCTGTAATAGAAGCAGAAACAATCAGGAGGAGTTTCATTGTTGATGCACAGATGAGCATCACTGTTTTCAAAATACTACTGCATCCGATGACCCCAGTTTCTGAGCGCAAAAAGCAAACAATCAAATGTGTGAGTCATACTTGAGTCTGCGTGACAATATGTGAAATACAAGACAATTATTCCAGAGAGCTTGAGGTGTGAGAGCTAATTTACATTTCAAGTAACTGTGGTTGTATTCTTCATGCCTGCCCCCCTTGCTGTGAAGTTGTTTGGATCTGCGACAAAGGGCTCAGCACTGTCAGTGAAGGAAATTGAGCTGTTTCGCCAGATATGACTTAATAACTGTCAAGTACGTTTTCTCCATACTTGAGATTAAATTGGAGCTTGGACATGCGTGTAACTTTACGAGGACTCTTCTAATCCCTCATTAAATAGAGAGAGAGTCTGTACCAAGCAAGAAAACACACTCATTTCTCATCCTCAGTTTGTTTATCAGGGTTGTGCAGACATATGTTGGCATGCCTTTTAGTTGTATTACAAGAGGGTGTGATTGTATTGGAGGAGGTGACAGCCCTCCTGTGGTTTCATTTTAGTTGATTTATGTGGTGTTTGGATTGAGGTAGCTATTTTAAGTCCTCTGTGTAAAGGACAAGACAAGAGTTGACAAACAAAGGTAGTGGCTAATAGTTATCTGATGCTCAGCACTGTCTCTCCATATTCAAATACACTTAATAAAGTTATGTTTATATTATATATTATATATTATATTCATCATATTTCAAAAGTGTCTAGTTGGTGCAGCGCCACTTGGAGGAGCCACTGCTATGTTTCTGCTATTGCTGCGACTGCAACTTCTTTCCCATTCATTTACTCCTTCCTCCAACAGCCTATCTTACTTCAAAAGTGGTTCAGCAGTGATCTTTTAGCCGTGATCAGTGAACCAAATACAATTACTAAATCAATAGGATAATAATTTGCGCTGCCATCCTCTGATAAATGAGGGAACTCTGTGAAGTGGAAAAGTCCTCTTCAGTCAATGGCTGGGAAATGAGACTGATTTGCTGGTACATGGGGAGCTTTTAGTGAGCATTCAACAAGTGTCATTGCCTATTTACTTTGAAAACACTGCAGTGGAGCATATAATGCAGAGTAATTTATTCTAATAGGAGTCAACTAAGATGTAGCTTTGGTTGTTTACTTATTGATTGCTTTAATTCTTTGTTTACCATCTAAGTTGCTTATCAATGTCAATAATGATGCTCCTGTAGCTTTTCTGCAAAAAATTAGCTCGACAAACTGAACACAAAAGGTGCTCGATTAAAAGGTTTTTGCAGATCTGCCTACAAAGAGAATAAAAGTGGCCGACTATTTCAAAACAGCCTCAGTGCCTGCTTGTCTCAGCTGATTGAGCGTCCACAATAAAAGCCTGAGATACTTTTTGAGCGATTATTCAATAAGAAGCTGTGGGGGCTCAACAAAAAAGAAAAGAGCCGTTTCACACAGCGACTGAAATTTAGAGCACATCAGACAGCCATGACCTTCTACCACCGGGTGAAGAGAAGTCATAGCTTAGCTCACTTTTTTCCCGATTTTTTTTGCTTTTAGCTCACTCGCTTGCTGTGATCACACAGGATAAACTGTCATTCCTCTCCTAAAGATGGCAGGAAGTTAATTGAAAAAGCAAGCACAGGATGTATCAACGCAACAGAGAGAGAAACAGCATCTGCAGAGGGGGAAGGTTTTTTTTTATTGCATACATAGTGTTTCTGGAGCTTTCTCTCTCTCTGGTAGGGAATCTGTAGGTCTAATCACACCTTGTGTCACTACTTCTTGAGCCCAGACTGAAATCAACCCCCTGTGGTTGAACTGCAGGTACACATCCAGCCACACAGAGCTGTCACACAAACCCAGACACAAACAAGAGCTTCCTGTCTAAAATATAAAGAAAAAGATCTGTTGTTTTTTTCTCTACAAATATTTCATCAACTTAGAGTATGCAAATTCTTGTTTTGGTGTCTTCATATGAAAGCGGAGCGAGTCATGTGAACAGTACTTCACTCCGAAAATGTGTTTCTGTCACAGGGATTTCAAACAAGGGTGACAGCAAAGATTTGATTAGGATTGGAGCCATTTTTCTTTACTTTGAGAGGAGACTTTGCATATGAAAACACCCTTTAGGAGTCTTTCATGTATCAAGGTCAAAAGTAATGTTTAGCTCAAGATCAAGAGTGCAATGTTGTTTATCAGTGCTTTTGTCCCCTGTGTGCTTCGTATCTGTGCCGTGCCTCCCGCTGATTCAGTTTTTCTAAATTAGCCTTGTGCTTTCAGGGCTGCAATCTGCATTATTTTCGGAGAATCATCATATCCGGGCTCAAGGCCTACCCTGAGGAAAGAGAGAGAGAGAGAGAGGGAAAGAGAGATTGAGAGACAGGAGAAAAGGAGAGTTTATTTCAGTCATTTCAACAGCTGCTTCTGTTTAATTCAAGCCCTGCTAGACCTTTAGCAAGCTCAGAGCTGTCAGGGATAATTTGCAAAGTTTATCATGTCACTGCAAATTTATATAAGTGGCAGCTAATGACAAAACTATGTGCACTGACACAGGGAGGTCTTGACGGATGCAAAATGTCAACTGTACTGTCACATTTCAGAAAGTTTGTACCATGCTGTCTGATAATTAGAGTTTCTCAACATAGTCAGGATGTGCAGAGCTGCCATGTACGACCAACTGAGCAGCACAATTGACTGAAATAGCTGCATACTGCTTCACAACTCGAGACAAATTTCAAATAATTGACTGGGTTTTCCAGACAGGTATTAGTACAATAGACCTGTGACTATAATGGGTGTTTATAGTGCAGCCTTGCCAGGGTTTTACAGCCTTGCATACATACATTTTTAAAATGTCTAATGACTACAAAAGGAATGGAAAATGTACAATTTGAAGATTAATGGCAGACTGCAGATTTACCCGCCTCGTGCTGTGCAATTGATTTGTGTGCAAAAGCTCTAATTTAAGAGCTCTTGAGTTGTTTTTGACAGTTAGCACTGGAAGGAAGGGCTGAAATGAGCAATAGGTCAAGGCTGTGGTTTTCCTTGAGGTTATGCAATGCTCTGTGCGTTTATCTGCCTTTTATACGTCATGCCATAACACCTCTTACACTTCTTTCCTGTAGCTCTTCTCCACTCTTCTCCGCTCCTACTGTACTGAACCCAGGTGTGGTTTACTTACGTGAGATAAGTACTGTCAATCCAAATATATATACATTGTTTTGCTGTTGTAATTTTGATGCACCTCTCCCTCTTACCTTACCAACAACTAGGAGAGAGAAACAACAACAACAACAAAAAAAAACCCAGAGTAAATGATTTCAGAAAACTAATTTGTTTAAACCATAGACTGTATATAGAATGGACGCCGTCTGCCTCCTCGCTGGGTGAAGCCACCGCGAGAACAGCACCCTCTGGTGACGGGCAGCAGTATAGGTCATAAATCCCGCCTCCTCCAGCAATCCCTATGGAGCTGTGGACAAACTTTAGAAATTTATTACACAGAATATACATTTTTCTCCCCCCTGCTTGCGATGTTGGCATGTAGTTACTGTAAGACTGGTTTGTGCTCAAGTCCTCTTTTTTCTGTACAGCTCCATTTTTAAACGTTATTAGGGGGTTCATGTTTTCTATGATTGACACTTGATACAGCCTATGGGCGTATGAAGATTGCGTAGCTCATCTGGGGGATACGCTGTTTAAACCGAGTGTCATCACAGCAACTCTCCTGGCGAATGCGCACAATGCTACTGCACAAGTGGTGGAGTGCGTACAATGCTACTGCGCAAGTGATGGTTCCAGGATGTTGAGAAAATCCCGGAAATACCAAGAGCAATTCGGCTTGAAATCCGTATAACGACGGAAGGTGGAACCAAGTTGTCCATAGTATAGACAGTCTATGGATTAAACATAAAAACAAAACGTGCCGCTTGAATGCAGAGCAGAAAAGGCTCTGTACCAAAGTGGCAGATGCGACTCAGAAACGTTGACCTAAAAGGATGCAGAGCTGGTTTATTGAACCAGTGTGTGACCATTGTGCTGCATGTGTAGGCTTCATTCCCGGCATATGGCTTGTCCTCTATTCAGAATTATGCAGACAGTGCACATGGTGCTCATTAATAAAATATATTTGACATGAACAAAGACTGTTTATTTATCCTGGAGGCAACATCATGCAAATCCTACATGTGCACCATGACACAACTCGTGACCAAGCCCTTTCAGCTCCTCTCCTCCCTACTTGTGATGCTTCTGCTCTCATGTGTTCTCTCCTCTCCTGTTGTGTCCTCTGGTGTCCCCTTCCCTCTTTCTCATCCTCTCCTCTCTTTCTCTCCCCCTGTTTCTCCTCTTTTTCTCAGAGCCCAATCGATAGAGACTGCCCAGCCAGCTCTGTCAGTTTTTCAGTCTGTGGTAATTACCTGGCCATCCTGTCACTTCACATCTATTTAGTGGAGATGGACCTGAGCTGGGGAACCTGAGTGGAGGATAATATGCAACCCGTTTGGCTGATCTTTCATTCAAAATACGTACAAGGACAGGGATAGAGTGGGGTAGCCGTGCCTGATGAAGGCTTTCAGTTAAGTTGGAAATGATATGCAGACGTGAGATGCTACACATAAGCCAATAAATGATATTTTATCACTAATATGGGATCCAGACAGCGAAAAATGAAATCATTGTTGAAGGGAAATGCATTACTTAGAGACTGAATTGATGCATTCACACCAAAATAAGAAGACACTTGGTTGTAAAACTAGAGAGATGAGGATTTCCATGTTGTTTGCTGTCTTGATACTGTGCATGCAGTACAAAAAGAGAAGTTTAGCTGTGACATAAAAGCTTAACCTAGCCATAAAAAAGACTGTCTCCAATCAAACCACATTTTTAATCTCCTTGAGAAAACCTTCCTAAGAGGATCAATAAAGTTTTATCTAATCTAATCTAATCTATTTCAATCATAATCTTATTTTTGACTTTTTTGATGTTCTAAAGGATTTTCCATGTGTCACAACGCTCCAAATTTCCTGAATGGACATCCAGTTCAGCACAAGCGGTCCTGGCTGAGTAGGGTGTGTGTGTGTGTGTGTGTGTGTGTGTGTGTGTGTGTGTGTGTGTGTGTGTGTGTGTGTGTGTGTGTGTGTGTGTGTGTGTGTGTGTGTGTGTGTGTGTGTGTGACAGAGAGATAAAAGGGAGATGAGAGAAACACGCAGGTGTATCTCGGGTTATCAAGCCAGGTAAAGAGAACAGGATTGTGCAACTCTGGCTGATAATTCTCTGACCTTTACCTTTTACACTCTAATGCATCCTAATAGGCTGCCGGGTCCCAGTATGTCTCCTCACTTACCAACTCACACATGCATTATATTCTCCCTACACACAGCCACACACACACACACACACACACACACACACACACACACACACACACACACACAAATCAGTGTCTGGTTGTCTTGGAGATCAAAGCTATTATATTTTCTGACAACAAAAGCCCCAGGAGTTGATGTAAACTTACCTCTCAGCCTTACCAGATTGTCTGATCTTGACTTAAAAAAACAAACAAAAAAAACATTTAACCAACTACATACACTGCATACAGTCTTTGAACATATGTGCATTTTTTTTTATTCAGCCAAACATGACCTTAAGTAACCTTGTGCTTAAAGTTCTTTGAAGTTCTTTGAAGTTCTTACATTTTCAAAATAAAATAACTTCAAAAACTTCAAATTAACAACGTACTTTGATTATGTGTTTTTCTGATATCCACTCTGTGTGATTGATTGTTTTCAGAGGTGGCCCGCACCATGCAAAAGAATGACCGGTCCGGTGACGACAGTCAGCGCGATAGTGTAAGTAATCGATCCTTTTAAAGATTCCTTTTGATCTACTACGTCCTTTTATCTTCCTCTTTTACTCCTATCTTACTTTACATCTTCATAGGTTTCATTCTTCTTGCGATCGAACCATCCCCATGTTGTCTTCTTGTTGTTGAACACCACTATGCGCGTCATTATGTAAGAAGCTTGGATAAAATGGAAATGAGCAGCACTTACGAAGTGCCTTTTTCGTCGTGCAACCACTCAAAGCACTTCACATCAAATGCCACTCATCCCATTCTTTATACACATTTATACACTGATGGCAGGGGTTGTACACAACTTCAAATCATACACAGGCTAGAATAACACTGACACAACCTTGGAAAGCTATTTAGAGTTCAGTATTTTTTTTTTTTCCCCTGATGACACTTAGGCATAAACTGGGGGGACTGAATCACTGAAAAGAAAAAGTGAGAAAATCAAAAACTAGGAAGGAGCGATGAACAAGACTGAATGCGCTCTCGAGCATCTTCAAAGGGATGATTATTTCCTTCCACGTGAGGTGAAATAATTTTGTATTTTCAAAACAGTTTGTGATGTGGTACGAGAATTCTTTTTCGCAAAGAAAGAGATCTTGGAACAAGTCTTGAATGCAATATCTCAGTAAGGCACAAAAGAGAATAATTGCTGGAACATGCTGATGTCTCTTGAGGTAAAATGGTTTCTGTTGTTTTTGGTGAGTTCTGACAGTTTTGGACAGCAGTGATTTCATTTTCCTTGATTATGTTGCTTTTCTCGTCTCGTTTGTCTGACAAATGTTTTAGTATTTCAACAAACCATGGTGAAATTTGTGTCAGGGTGCTAGCACTCGCTTGCAGGGGTTAAAAACAAACAAATATATACACTTTTTTCCAGCCACAACAGCAGAGTAACTGGTTCTTAAATCACTTTACCCTGTTTTGTGTGGAGTGAACAGCTCACGCAGTAGTTGAAGGTGAGTAGTCTCATGTCATAATTAAAACATTTGGTCACTCACTAGGGATGGGCGATAAATTATCGTTCACGATAAATCGTCAGAAAAATCCTCCATAATAAATATTTGCCATCTCATGATAAATACGATGAATGCAAGTTGATTACGTAAGCGCGAGTTACTGACTCACAGCCACAGCCCACACAGAGCAGAATAACAATCAAACATGGCCGAAGGCAATGAAGAAGACGCTTCTGAGCAGCTCGTTACTGAACGAGACTCCACATGAGGGATTTCCTTTAAGATCGGGGCTTAGATGAGTGAAATCAGATATGCCTGACATCCAACAGTGGATCTGCTGTTGTTCACTCTGTGCAATAAGAGTTTTCAACAAATGTTGAAAATATTTTCACATTTGAGAGTTGTTTGATATCATTAGTTTTCTCCATAACCCACCACTCAAACTTGTGGTTCAGTATCTTATTTGACTATTCCAACTAGTGTTCTTAAGACAAACTAAGTCAGAAATATAGACTGGAATTATAATATTTTTTTTATCAGGACTTTAATCGTTATCACCAGAATGGCAAATCTTGTTGTGAATAAGTTTTAAGCCCATATTGCCCATCCCTATTGCTCACAGGATATCAAGTAGACATGACACATTTGATGTTCCCTCTCTCTTCTGATCTGTAAAGTAAATGAAATAAATGTTTAGGATTTATCCAACAGTTTAATAGGATTGTATCCAAATTGTTTTATTTCTTAATGAAAATCTGATGTAATTGGATCATAGTATAGCCTCTGTATTGCATTTGGACCATCTCGTGCCTAGTTGTGTGTTTGGGCTTAATTTTACACCAATCCAATGACTCCTTGACTTCATTTCACCAAAGGGTGAGACAGTTGACAGCCCAAATACAGTCACCTCGGTTTGTGTGATACAGTGATAAATACACTAAATATTGATCATTAAATTGAAAATATGTAGATCTACACAGATTCACCCCATATTAGATTCACTGTTACAACTTAATCTCACTGTCCAATGGTACTTATGACAGGGGTTTCCAACCTGTGACAGCATGGTGACAGAGTTTGCCTTTGGAAAGCAGATTATCACAAGAGCTGATATTGTAAACACAACAATAGTATGTTGTGTATGCAAAGACAAGCACAACCAGTAAGAGGCAGCTTATATTGCCTTTGGGTTTACGGTTAATACAGCAGGAGATGAGGAGAGGATGGTGTGTGTTTGAAAATATTGGCAGCTGGCAGTTTGACACTTAACAAATCAAGAACACACTCAAATCTTAGACTCCAGTCATGGCGATAAACCAAACTTGGTGAATATCCCCTTCAGGCACATCACTGTGAAGGCTGCTCTAGTAAACAAAAAAGAACTTTCTCATTCCATCTGGCAAAGCGGTTGCAAATTACAATAAGTTTTTGTGCTTGGGGGGGAAAGAAGAGGCTGGTATAGCAATCTGACAATGTCTGACACTAGTGTTGGATGAAGTCTGAGTTGCTCCTCTTGGACAAATGGTAGAAAATTTTTGAAGTTGTAAATAGGGATGGGAAGTGATGAGAACTGATCGATATCAATGCAATTATCGATTCTACTTATTGACTCAATTCCTTAATGGGTCCTTTATCAATGCCTTTCTTTGATTTAAAAAAGTAGACTATAGGTTATCACCGGTGACTCTTATTGAGTCTTGGATAACAGAAAAAGATGTATGCCACCTTCAGTGAGAGTCTAAATATAATCAAATGGCAAACTATTTGTACAGCATTTACTTTGGTCGGTATTAAGTCAAATACATAATATGTATTGCAATTATGTTAACACAGGACATAAGTAGCTTCCATGCCATGCTGAGACAGAGCAGTAGCGGCTGACGACTGGTGGAGAGCATCGAATGCACGTGACTCCTTATATTTGATGCTATGCCCTGTTGACAAATGTTGAAGCATGTTGCTGATGTTTCCACCTTTACATGTTATCACTGCTCAATGAACGCTGCACGTCGTCTTTCTTAGTTAAATGAAGCCACGCTTTCGATAGTTTCTGCTTACTTTTCGTACCGTCCGCCATGTTTTTTTTCCTCAAAGTCTCTGTTCTCGTTTGCGTAGACTGGCACTCGTGAGACCGTTTTTGTAAGGCACCCGGATGAAAGGAATCGTTAAGATAAAATGTAAACGATGTTGATGGATTGAACCATTTAGAACCGGTTCTGAACAAGAACCAGTTCTCGATTCCCATCCCTAGTTGTGAATACACATATGTCACAGTTTCATGATATTTGTCACAAAAAAATGTCGGATACAGTTGAAATTAAGATTGCTCCTGTTCTAGCATTAAAAAACCCTAAAAGTATAGTGCCATGAAACCATCTAATATAACAAATAGAGGTTTGTCCCACTGAGTCCACCCCCCACAAGAGCTACTCAACCATCAGTGCCTCAGCTGTCTCACATGATGTTGTCGGAGTTCCGTCAAGCTATTAGTCACCCACCTCCATCCGTCTGATTTTAATATGCAGGTTCCTGGAAATCCTTGCAAACAACAAGACAGGTCAGAGCCGTGTTTGACCAGAGATGCAGCTTGTATAGAGAGGCAGCAGACTCTGTCAGGCTGATCCTCCTGTGTGCATGAATAAGATATTCAATCACATTCTACGCCTGTTGACCTGAGTTAAAGTTCAACTGTGGGGCCGGTGAATGAGTCTTTAAAATGAGCTGACAGAAGGGAGGAAATATATTCAGTATGCAGATGGAAAATCTCCTCTGACTCTTGTGGGTAGATAAGCTCAAGAATAAACGACAGATTTATTAAGAGAAAAAAAGTGAAATTTCATTTCAGCTGAAGGTTTGCTGCATGGTTGACAATTCTGTGTGATTCATGGTGAATGTTAAGACGACCTGTGATATGTGGTTTGCACCCTGGGGCTGATTTTCCCTTGAATATCCACTCCATCGGTATGGAAAAACAAGAACATATATCTGTTTGTTTCACTGTTCAAATGCATTCAAATGCTATAAACTGTAATTTAAATCATTTAAATCTCATTTCTTACTAACTCTGATCAACAGTTTGAGAAACAAAATCCAAAGACATGCTTTCTTGCAAGATAAGCAGCTCAAACTCATATGTAACTTTATAATAAAACAAATACCATTTATTCCCACTGGTCCAATATTAAAAAGAGCTGCATGAATATAAATGGTGATTAAAAAATCTGACATCAATGGGAACAAATGACCTAAAAAAATCAAATAAAACCACAGCTAATGGAAAGAGCTGATTGATGGTTTTACATTTCCTTTTTCCTGGGATGTAATACACCTCAAAATTACATAATTGCATATTACTACGAACAAATCCAAAAGACAAATGGTTGAATTTTTAAATTTTTGTTTCTTTCGTTGCCATGGGGGAAAAGACTTGTGAGTTAAGAGAGAGCAGGGCAGGGGGGAGAAAAAGAGACAGCTGATAAAACAAATGGGCTGGACATCGAGGGAGTGCAGGTGAGCGAGAGGAGAGGAGAGGAGAGGAGAGGAGAGGAGAGGAGAGGAAAGGAAAGGAGGAGGGTGAGGTAACGACTTGAGGTAACTGTAAAAAACAAACTGAGAGCAGCAGAGATGCTCCCTCCTCATCCTAGAGGGTGTACTGAGGTAGAGCAGGGACACAGGCTGCAGTGCTGATGAATACGTTTCACAGGGGCTCTCGGGGGCTGTCCAATCAGGCAGTGCCATCGATGAATAGTCATGAGTCACCTTATCAGCATCACCATGGATACGCAGATGTGACTGTGGCCCTGTGAATGTGATGAGGGAATAGAAATGGGCCAAACGCCGCTCCATCTCCTTCCCGCGCACATCTTGATCATCAATTAGAGCCCAGCAGGGGAGCGTCCAGGCCACGAGCTCGGCTGGCTGAGGGATAGGGAGAGGCGGCTTCACGAGAAATGTACAGAAAGGGCAAGTAGTGGACAACATTAAGGGGATATAACCCATGGAGTATTTGAAATCAGCTTGAATCATTATATAACGGAAAAATTAAAAACCAGTAATGTCAATTTACACTCAGCACATACATTTGAAAGCTGACAGGAGAAGTGGGAAGTGTATGACTAGGTGTTAAACAAAAAGATTGATTGAAAGCAAATTAGATTGAAGAGGATCAGAGGATGGCAAAATTATCACAGGAGTGGAAAAGTGAGTGAAGGGTGAGCAGGATGAGAGGCAGCTGCTGGAGATCAAACAAAGAAAACGGACAGGGGCTAATGGGATAAAGGGCTGGGGTGACATGCAATGATTTGGACAATTCCCTGATCTTCTACATCAAGACCTAATAAAGATTAACAACCCTCTTAAGTGCAGTTTTGTAACAGTCAATTTCTTGGAAAGGTCACTCTCAACACTTGCTGGAATCACCTTCAAGATTTGATAGATCCCTTCAGAGGCAGATACCAATATCACCAAAGACTAGGGGTACGCTGAATCACTTAATATTCTGGTCAATGTACTTGTGAGTATTTGTATCAATAGTACTCTGAGTATTTGTTTCTAGTGCAGTGCATAGCGCACTTTTACAGGAGTACAATTTGAAGTCCTTAAGCTACACTCCAAAAACTGTGAGCCTGTCTTTGTTGTTGGTGTATCCCCACACTCTACATCACCATCACCATCACCAACTTCAAATTTAAACTTTCTGTAAAATTAGGCCGACAAAAGAAATTCCTCAGTGTTGTCTCCAGCATCTCTCTTCTGCTTTTCTGCTTTCCCACAAAATAGCTTTCTGTCAAATGACAATGAAGCTGAATGAAAGGGAGTGACTGAGGGCTAATATTAACCAGGCTAAAATCTGTATTGAAAATTAGGGGTGTCAAGCAGACGTTTGATTGATTGTGTAATCAGTGGATTGGATAGAATGGTAGTTGATTTGTAATGCCAGCTAACAATACAATAGCACCCCTAGCAGGCATTACCAGTTATTGGTCACTGTATAAGTGAACGTTTGATAGAGGAATGGAAATAAAAGGTTGCACCATAACAGTTATTGCACTCATACAAATACTAGAACACATTGTAAGTGTGCACACTATAGACTGTATATAGAATGGACAGTGTCTTCCTCCTTGTTGGGTGAAGCCGAGAACCCACTGGTGACGGGCTGCAGTATAGGTCATAAATCCAGCCTCCACCAGCAATCCCTATGGAGCTGTGGACAAACTTCTGTTGTAATTTGATGCACCTCCTCCTCTTACCTTACCAACAACTAGGAGAGAAAAAAAAAAAAAACAGAGTGAAGGATTACAGAAAACTAATTGGTTTAAACCAAAGACTGTATATAGACCGAATGCCGTCTGCCTCCTCGCTGGGTGAAGCCACCGCGAGAACAGCACCCTCTGGTGGCGGGCAGCAGTATAGGTCATAAATCCCGCCTCCACCAGCAACCCCTATGGAGCTGTGGACAAACTTACGAAATTTATGACACAGAATATACATTTTTCTCCCCCCGGCTTGCAATGTTGACATGTAGTTACTGTAAGACTGGTTTGTGCTCAAGTCCTCTTTTTTTCTGTGCAGCTCTATTTTAAAAAGTTATTAGGGGGTTCATGTGTTCTATGATCGAAACCTGATGAGCCTATGAGTGTACGAAGTTTGTGTAGCTCACCTGGGGGATACACTGTTGGAGCCGAGCGTCATCACAGCGACTCTCTGCGACTCTCCCGGTGAATGCGTACAATGCTACTGCGCATCATTGGTTTCAGGACATGGAGAAAAAAACACGGAAATACTGAGAGCTTTTCAGCTTCAAATCCGTATACTGGCATTAGGTGGAACCAAGTTGTCCATAGTATATACAGTCTATGGTGCACACATTACATTCAGGAGCCTTTGTATGAAATGTTTGCAATTTTGAGTCCTGAACCCATGAAAATGTGTTCCTACCTTTTTAAACATTCATGAAAATTTACTATAAAATCTTATCTTATGGAGCTATTGAAGATGAATAAGTCTAATTTCCTCTGAATAAATTCTCTCTAAATAAATGTTCCTTTAAATAAACATTTTACAGCTTCATAACCACTGCAGTCATTTTTTTAATAAACCTGATAATTGCAGTCGTCTCACAGATATGACGGGCCCAGTACAAACAATGTTAATTGTTTTTGAGCCACTGCTTATCTACATGCTTATTTATTTGCGTGGGAGTGAAGCAATCTACTGCATATTTGAAACATAATTAAATTAACAGGCAGCTTCTCAAATATAAGGACATTTCTAGGCTCTCTTGGAAATTATATGTCTATTTTTTTCCCTTTAAGCTGGCCACAATTCGAGCGGTGGGAAATTCGTGTTGTAAATCTGATCCAAATGTGCTTGTCAGGGTCTTAATGCCTGCTCTGTTGTCTGTGTGGAGCCTGCATGTGCACATTTATCCACCCAAAAGGGTAGAAAGGGAAAGGACGCTCGATATTTATTTATTCCTCTACACCTGTTCTAAGGAAACATTGCCACCAGCTCACTGCTCTCATTTCACAGCCTGTTGACTGCGTTGAGAGTGTGATTAATCTTGCATAAGGTGTTTGGCAGCATGGATGTGGGGCTGATACATGAAGAGCAGAGTGTGAACTCAGTCTGGGAAGGTCGGTATGGTGGATTCGTGGGGTGATGAATCTGCCACCCTGTCAGTGTCACAGTTTACCCAAATTCAATCCACCAATGACACATTCAGTATGTTTTATCCTCTTTTTCCTGTATCAAAACAATCTGAACACTAATGTCCTCTTCACAGTTGCTTTATTGTGCGCAGATCCACCTTATTTCAAGAAGGCTCCTCTTTATCTCTCTGTTTTACACAGAGTGACCCTGACTCTTTATCACTGGGAAAATACAAAACAGTGTGTTTAACATTTCTGCAGTTTATCTGCTGCTCAGTGGTGCTAGCATTTCTTGCCTCTCCATCTGCTGCAAAATATTACCCTTTCTCAATAGGTTTTCTACAAGTTCATATAGTTCATCTTATTTTACCCAGCACGGAGTGATGCATCACAGGGACATGCCTGAAGCAGAGGATGACTATAGGTTTCATTCCTTCCAGACATTTCTCCTCATGCCTCCTAGCGTACTCTAGGGAGGCTCTTTGAAACAAATTGTTTCATCTCCCTCACCTCCAATATGACACTCCAGTACTACACTGTTACTTCTTTATCACCTTTCCCGCTAGTTTTCCTGCCTTTAATCTCTTCCCGCGTTATATTTTTCTCACTTCAGCTGCTGAGATCAAAAGGAAACAAGACGAGATGCGCAGATATAGTATCTTTTGTACATATTTTCCCTTGCAAAACCTTGTGTTTACTTTCATGCTATGAAATTGGACTCAATATGCAAACTTGTTAGCAGCTTGAGTCTTCTCTCTAAGGCATTCAGAATGTAACATGTTTAAATCAACTGTATCACCTAAAGGCTGATACAAATACAAGCAGAAATGTCAGACACTGTGACTAGATGTATATTTGCATGGAGGAAAATTACATGGCTTCATCCATGAGGGTCTAAGAATAGTAACAACAGAGGATTCTTTGCACAAGCAAGGAGGTGTTTGATTTCCAAACAGATGGAGATACAGTAAGTAATGAGGAAGAGGGTTTGAATTTAACATTTGAGCTGTAATCGCACATATACATACACGCTCTCAGATACTCACACTTAGTTAGTCATATAAAGAGCATGGGCTTTTATTTTGCATCTGTTAAACCTGTGCAAATGAGTCACAAAGACATCTTCTAATTTACAATCCACACCCAAAGGGTTGGATAGACTTCAAACTGCTGTAGAGTACACAGTGTCACTTTGTGCCTGTGTTGTCTGTATACATTGAAATAAGCCATCAAGAAAACAGTTAGCCCAAAATAGACCTCTCTGTACAAATAGAAGTAGTAAAAAAACACTTAACTCACTGACACTGCAGCTGACAGTCACGCACAGTGAGAAATTTTACTGTCTGCTGGGAGTTGGTGATAACAGCACTGTTTTAATGTAATGTCACACTTAAACTTCCCAGTAATCGTGACAACAATTTCACCTCTAGATCCTCTAATATGTTACATAAGTATTTTGAGATTACTTTGCTTTTATTTCTATTAAAAAAATAAATTAATCACCAGACTTACAAACTTAAAAAACACTTGATTTCAGAACCTGTGCTCAACCAAGGAGCAGCAAAGTCTGGGCTCTCAAGAATTTCTAAAATTTTTTGCTCTGTTTTTTTCGTGTTTTGGTCATTTTTTGTCTGATGGATGTTTCTGCTGGGAGAGGAGTTTGTTCAGGAGAGAAGCTTCCTTAATTGAGACGGAACTGGTGTAGATGACGACATCCTGGAGATGTTCTTGTGGTTCTGTGTAGGTGTGGAGATGAGGACAAAGTTGAAGGCTAGGAAATGGAGATACAAACCCTTTCTTCCATCAGTCATCATAAGAAACATAAACTCTCTGCCCAACAAAGGCTGAAACTTAAGATATTAATTTAGACTGAGAAAGCATTCTTTGAGTGCAGTCAAGCTCAAACAGAGATGCTAAAGCTAGTGGCAAGAAGAAAAGAAGGGGGTCTGGCTTTATTTGTTAACCAGAGACGGTGTAACTTCACACACAACTGTCAAGGAGAGGATGTGTTGTCCACATATTGACTGTTGGAAGTTGCTCTTTTGCCAAGGGAGTTCCGTCATATCACAACAATATTTGTATACATCCAACCAAGGCAACGGCTGAAGTTCAGTGTTTGGTTTCAAGTTTTATTTGATTGGAAACAAGTTGGACTCATTAGAGGATGTGGTGGAGAGATGCACACTGAGGAAAGAAGAGGCCGTTCTCAAGAACATGGATCATCCACTTCATAACACCTTGATGGACCAAAAAATAAACAAAACAAAGCAAACAAACAAAAAATCAGTGGTGGACGGCTCCTTTCTCTTTGCTGCAGGACAATTAAGTTCTTGTATTGTGTTGCCTTTACACATGACTGAGTTTATTTATTTTTTATCTAAGCTGGTCTTTGCTAGCTTTCATGTTTTCTAGCTTGCTAAAAGGAAGCAGGCTGGATTAATAACTTAATCATTGGAAAATTTGGAAATTTGTTTCCCATCAGTCAGGATCATTTCAATGATTAAGTGGTACAAAGTTTCTCCTCAACAATCAGACACAAAATCAGAGCAAACTGTGCAAAGTTGCAGAACTTTATGGGCCTATTTTTGCTTGTTCATCATTAGTGCAACATGCTTTTTGAATCAGACTTCCAGATGAGTCAGATTGAGAGGTAAACAATGTGCTTGGTGCTATTAGTGTGAGCAATCCATTTATAGTGAATGCCCCTTCAGGGATTTGTAGCACATGAGTTATGGAACTTTGGCTTAATTTTGTCATCATTAGCAGATGATAGAATATGATTACCATTGGGTTCTATGATTGAGGACCTTTAAATAATCAAACAAATATACTTTTACTATCAGCATCTCTCTCTGCAGTTATATGAATCTGATGAAATCCCAAAGTTTAACACAATGAAAAAGGTCAGTGTTTGACTGTGTCATTTCTAAGCCCTGTAGGGATTCATTTATATTCAGAGAATTGTACTGTGTCACTGTCTACAATGCAAAACATGTTTGGACATCATGAAACATAATATCAACTTGTGCATGTAGAATAATTTCGAAATACATGAATACCTCACTTAATTTCCAAACCCAGCACCCCTCCTCTCTCTATCCAAGCTGTGCCCACTGTGTACTGTAGGAGATGAACTGTGCTAATTTTTATTACCCCACAGAATAACACGCTTTATAGCTTCAGGAACCACCTGACCGCACAGTTAAACACACACGCCTGTAAATACCAGCTACTCTGTATGGTAGAGCGGCAGACACACCTTTGTTGTTGAGGCAACGTTGTCACTGAGTGAGCATGTGCCAAACAAACCGTAGGACTGATGGAGACGTTAAGACTGTGGAGTAACACGAGCCGTAGATATCAAGTGTGCTTTAATAAATCAGACTGCTTACAGTATGCATTATCGTCAGAGTCAGTGGGGACAGAATAGAAGCTATAAATAAAATGAGCTTCTTGATAAAATCTACTTTTCTCTCTCCTTTTAAATCGTGTCGCTTTTCACAGTCTTCTATTCACTGGCAGATAAATGGAAACACTGAATTGTTTTTTCAGCCAGTTGATTTACTCCATCTCCTCTTTCCTCTCTCATCTCTTCTCCTTTCTTTCTCCCCCACCCGACTGTGTTACTTCTTTCCCAGACACTTCTTGCCCTGCTCTTGGGCTTTACCCAGCATCCATTTAAGATTCATTCTCTGATAAAAATCAATTGCTGAATTCAGAGCGGAGCGGAGATGAATGATGGTACTGATGATACTAAGGAGGGAGCAGGGTGCCCCCTGGCTTGTAGTGATGATGGAGAATTCCTCTATTTTAATCTAAGCCTTGAACCATTTCATGATCACAGTTGCTTTGTGAGGTAGCTCATAGCAAAACCACTTTTCTGAGTTTTGAGTGTTTGATTCTACAGTTTGTATCCTGTAAACACAACCAGAAATGGTACACCTGATTTTGAAACATCTTACCAACATGGATTCAGATTTAGTTTCCCCAGTTTCAGAGCATATAGTGATGGAATATACATTAATATAACCTAACCAGGTACTGAAATGATGATGGTATTCAGTTCGAAGAGTGCAAATATGGAAATGCCTCTCAGCTCGCCTCAGGTGAAAACCCATCACCCACAAGCATGGGATAATAGAGTTCACCTTCAAGCCACTAACACATAGCCTGCACACTATTTGATTTTGAATTATAATTTTTTTGCTTAATTCTGTAATATATGAATGTTATTGTCATGAAACAAAGAGAGGTGGCAGGCTGAGGTCTTGTCCAGACACTGTTTCTACTGTGAACTACAGAAATATAAAAGGCCAAAACACACGCAACCAATCATAATCTTTTAAAGGTCGACAGGAAAAGAGGTGCTGATGAAAAACTCAATTTATAAAAAGAGTTGGCCTTCTGTTTGCTGGTAAAATAGTCTTATTGATGTGAACTGATTCATTAACTTTGCACAAGGCAAGGAGTACCTCCAAGGCCTTAAACAGCTAATCTTTATGTTGTACAACACTTGGATGGTTGGTTCACAGAAAAGCCTGATGTCTGATGAACAGCACGACCTTTACAGAAGTGATAATGAAAAGGACTCCAGATTAGTTTATTTAAGCACAAACATAGAGTAAGACAGGGAGAAGATTGAATTACTATCAAGGGAATGTGGAAAGATAAGAGGAGATGTGGCGACCTCAAATGATGAATGAAATCTACATGTGAAAAAGGAAATGAGCCGGTATTAAATCTATCTAGGTATGAGCATATCTAGAAAGTCTCTTCATCAAAGGAAAGAGCCCCCAGCAGAAAAGCTGGCATACATTAGTCAAAGAAATGTCAATACACATACATTTCTTTGAACAATTTCCATTATAAAAGTGCAAATCAAAGCAGAGTGAGTGTGTGTGTTTTAGCAGGTCTTGTTTTGTTGGCTGGGCATCAAATCTATATGCCTCTTTGATAATGGGTGCAGTTTAGTAATACATACTGATGTGCTGTCAGGATCAAAGTATCCTCATGCTGCTCAAACATCATTTACACCTCCCTGTCCTCACAGTGACTCTTTCCTCTCAGAATTTAATTTTTTTTGCTGTGCTTTGCAAACATATGAAAACCCAAAAGACTCAAATCAGAGCAGGACTCATTTTTACTCCCTCAGCCACAACAACACTGCACTGAATGACCCCTGAAATCACATCTTTCTCGGGTAGATAACATACTTCTTCATGATGACATAAAAAGAGGCTGTCATTATGTCTGAAGATGATTTATAGACCCGAAGTCTTGTTTTGCACCAACAACAATCTTTATTCCAGCATGTCAGTCTGAGGCCTGTCATGCTCACCAATAGGAGGATGTCATCAGCAAAACATGAGATGAAATTAAGATACTAAAATAATGGACCCAACAAGCTTGACTCATGGTGCCTTCGAGTTTCCACGGAAGTCGGATATCAGAGCTGGGAATGACGTCACACCCAAGTTACCATCGTTTCAGTTGCCAAGGCGAAGAAAAGCAAAATTGGAGGCGGAAACAAGATGGCTACATCTACAAAAGTTATTTTAGCGCTTGCCTTGTCCGAATATAAGCAGCTTCAGGACAAATATGCGGTCCTTCTGCAACTTCCAACACGGTGAATGAAGAGGACAAACAAAGGTGCAGAAGGTAGCCTATCTTTTCTTTCTAAGTATTTCGTTGTTTACAAAAAGTATCTATCGCCGTTTGATCGGTCATCAGTTAATAACAGGCGAGTGCTCTTAACTGCATACACGCAATTTATCAATTATAAGTTGAAATAAACAAAAAAACACCGGCTTAAACTACCAGGCTACGGTTAGCTGTTGTTAGCCACTGTTAGCATGGCCGGCTTTGTGGTTGGCATATACACATGAAAAATGTAAATTACACTATGAAAGTATTTCCACATCTAATCATACTTTTGTAGCCCGAGCCTCAGGCTGATTTACTGCGACAATAAACAGTGAAAAGTGTTAATAAAAGGATTATTACATGAGCTTCAACTTGCAGTTTACAACCGGCGCTGCCATCTTTAAACGTCAACTTGGGGGCTGTGTTGGTCATCTGACTTTCCGAGTCGGAAATCCGACATCGATGTTCATCCCAGTTGAAAGTTCTTACTCGGAGCTTATAAATTCTTACCTCCGAGAACAACTGGAACGCACCATCAAATCAACAGTTCCTATCGTGACACTCTGGATGCTCAGTTGTTATTTGAAAAAAAACAAAAACGTATTTGTTTTTCTTTTTTCTTTTTTGTAATTTGCAATGCAACACAACAAAAACAGTTTGAGTTGAATCCAAGCGGATACTTGCTGCTGATTACTTAGTCTGGTTTGAAGGAGGACTTGTGAATCAAAACTTGCCAGTGCAATTTCAAGGGCAAGATGATGATGATCTGTATTCCTTCTACTGCAGCTGTTGAAAGCTGTGTTTTCAGTGTACACTTTTACTGATTACAGCCCCCACCCCTCTACCCACACAAACCCAAAACAAAAAAAAAAACCTTTACCTGACAGATAAAACTTCAAAGATCCTCCAGTTCAGCCCAGTCCAAAACAAAACAGATCCTTGTGTCAGTTTGGAGTAGACTGAGAGGTTATGAAAAGCTACATAGCTCTTGTGTCAGTGTTGCTTTCTTTTTTCTCTCCTCTTCCATACCAATCCAACAAAGAGTGCTGCATGAGCCCACTTTTCTCAACAGGGCTGGCAATAAAGACGCAACCGGCTACCATACAGAGATCTGCTTTGACATCAGTGTTTGACGTTTGCTGCTTTGTCTGCTTTTACCATTAAGACCTCTGTATCATTTCACATAAGGAAGTGATTTAAACCCATTTGTTTACACTTACCTTTGTATGACCAGGACTTTGGCTATTAGTGTACTTTTTGTTGATTTTTTTAGGTCTTTTTGCCTCATCCTTTTTAATTTGATGACTGTGAAGCACTCAGTGACAACTGTTCTAGAGAGGTGCTATACAAATAAAGTTTATTTATTTATTTAATGTGATGTTTTGTAGTAATTATTAGGGATGTACCAATCCGATATTTGATATCTGTATCCGTCCCGATACAGAAGAAAATTCTAGATCGGGTACTCTATGGTATGCACTGTGAGTGGCATCCACAAGTAAACAGGCTAAGCGGATGCCCACATTGTTTTCAAAATGGAGCAAGCAAAGGGGTCTGCTATCTTGAACTTTATTACAATACCTCAGCCTACAAGCTCGACGGCCACTTGCAATACCTGCGCAATAAACGTTTTGAGGGGCGGTGGTAAAACTTCAGGTAACAACAAAAAGTAATTCAGCGTAGCTTTTCTGTACTGGAATTGGATTGGTATTGGCTGATACCAAACTGTAGATATCTATATTGGTATTGGAGGTAAAAAAAAAATGTGGATTGGTGCATCCCTAGTAATTATAAACCACAAATCATGAAAGAGGTAAGAGCACAGTGAACTGAGTGTCTGTCCAGCATCTGTCTCGGAGCGCTGATTGGACTTTAGGACATTCAGAGAGGAGCCTGGATCCCCCTACCACACAAGAAGAGGAATAAGTCAAAGAAAATAACAACATCTTAGCCGATAACAAACGTCTGCTTTTCTTTCTGAAGTCGGACATGCAGCCGGCCTTACCAAAACAGTTTGACTTGTCGACTAGCAGACTGGCACATGAAGTACACAGGAGAGCACAGGGGAGTCACAGCAGACCAATTAACCTTTCACTGATCCCACTTATCATAAAGAGCTACTTCACAAGCACAAGTGAGTGAAAATGACAGAGCGTGTGTACAATCCATAGCAATTGGAAAATACACACACACACACACACATAAACTCTATGTGCTCTAACATTTGTCCTCTCTGCAGTCACTTGTGTCCTGCTCTTTGAGGTAACTAAAACCATTTTAGCATACGATTCATTTGGATTTTCTGTATCATGGGAATTTGTTATTAAAATAATCTTTCATCACATGTAATGTCTGCAATGACCTCAGATGACTCGGGACACAGCGGGACTGCTTTTTGTAATATTTATGTTTGGCCAATTCAGTGTCGTTAAGTATTTATAAGTTTTAAATTTGTAGGTGGGGACAACCATTTCTTTTAATACTTTGAATATTCTGGCTTTTTTTCTGACAAATGTGTAGACATAATAGGATAGAAATAATACATTTTAATATTTAAATCCTTTATAGGGTGTTTTAATCAGAAGTAAATGGCTTTTAACAGCAGTGTTTTGTATTCACTGGAGGAATAGCAAAGAGAGTAAAGGGTCATTACATAAATTGTTTAGTAGCCTCTGGATATTCTGTCAAAGGAGTTAATGTGTGATACTGACTTGACTTTATGGACTCAGGAGAGACATCATCCATCTCCTTTACCTTCAACCTGTTGAAGAGTGAGGGTTAATCATGCTGGCTCCCTCTATAAAACTGCAGTCTGTTGCAATGAGTCTAATACAGGTAATTATGTAGGAATGAAAGGCTCAATGGCTTCTTGGATGAAGATTGGCATCTTGATGGATGCAGGGGTGGATGGGTGAGGGAGGAGGGGAGTAGGGGTGAAGTGTTTTTGCTGTACGATGGAGAGGCAGAGGCAGGGCAGTCACGACAAAGAGGGAAAGGGTAGACAAACACACATACTCACACAAATCAGCTGTGAGGGGCAGCAGGGGTAGTGCTAACTGCCAGGATAATTCATCTGTTTGCATTTGGAGGGTGAATAGGTGTTTTTATCCTGCGGGCCACTTCAGGCCCTGCATGCACCATTGATCAACTTCACTTGGCACAGCAAATCAATCTGCTGCATAAAAGTTGGCTAAACATAGAGCAGGACAAAATGAGGAAAACTGAATTAATCTAAGCTTACTTTTGTTTCTAAATTTTTATGAGTTGGATTATATTTTCATCTAGGAAAAATGAGATACTAGAACTAACCACTGACACACTGTTTTTGATCGGCTGCATATCACACTAAGTAATCTGAATGACTAAAGAGCTTTTTGCTAATTTTGTGTCATAATGATAATCCTTATGTTAGAATGTAGTTTAAAGTGTACTCCAGAAGGGGTTTCTGCAGTACCAATTCATACAAATGGTCCCTATAGTGTTTTATTTTAAAATTGACCAGATCTTGTATGCCATTCTCATGTCTGACATCCTGTCCACATCGATCTGCTCCATTCAGCTCATGTGTGTGGCGATCTTATGAAAACAGACAAGGCGTGTATCTTTAGTGGAGCGGGACAGAACTGACTGTGCAAAGCTTACAGAACATGGCGCTCACTGTGGAATCAAAAGGTTATGTTTCCATTACGCCTTCTCCGCGGTGTAAAACACATGGAGGTGTAATGGTGGAGCAGAGCTGATCTGGCATCAGGTATTTACAGTGAGGTGGGACAGTGCCAGTGTAAAACAATGGAGCTGGAAGGACACAATGACACTGACTGTGTAAATCAGTGCACCTCATGTTGGTAGTTTACACCATAGACTGTATACTATTGACAACTTGGTTCTGCCTTCCACCAGTATACAAATATGAAACCAAAAAGCTCTTGGTTTCACTTCCTGAAACCAACATTGCGCAGTAGCATTGTACGCATGCGGCGGGAGAGTTGCCGAGAGCTGCTGTGATGACGTTCTGTTCAAACAGTGTATCCCCCGGGTGAGCTACGCAATCTTTGTACGCCCATAGGCTGTATCAAGTGTCAATCATAGAAAATGTAAACCCCCCTTATAACTTTTAAAAACAGAGCTGCACAGAAAAAAGAGGACTAGAGCACAAACCAGTCTTACAGTAGCTACATATCAACATTGCAAGCAGGGGGGAGAAAAATGTATTCTGTGTAATAAATTTCTAAAGTTTGTCCACAGCTCCATAAGGATGGCTGGTGGAGGTAGGATTTATGACCTATACTGCAGCCTGTCACCAGCGGGTGCTGTTCTCGGGGTGGCCTAACCCAGCGAGGAGGCAGACGGCGTCCGTTCTATATACAGTCTATGGTGTACGCCCAATGTAAAATGACAATCAGGACATGTAAATGCACAGTCCAGTAGAGCTACATTCATAGCTTGATAAGGCGGTTAAACTTGACCTTTAAGAGAGATTCAACATGAATTCACATGAAAGGCAGAAACCTTGATTAGAACCAAACTCATTGATAAACAGCCATCTGCCATGACTGGGTGGTCTGAGAAAATGAATAGCAGGAGATACAGACAGTTAACCAGGCATTGATCTGAAAGCAAACAAGGATTTATAGCTGTGTCTGAGATTAGGTGTTGCATGTGGAGTGGAGGGTGAGGGATGGGGGAAGGGGGGGGCAAAGACAGGTAGTGTAATAGAGTAACACCTGTAAAAGAACAATGTGGTTGTAAATGTTAATAGTTGACCCTTACTGGCAGGGGAAGCCTTGTTCTTCATGCAGAACAAATTAAACTCCCCATAGTTACCCTCAAGATTAATGGCACAAAATCAGACTCAGTTTATCATGCTGTCTCACAGGCTCACTCCACATGTGTGTATGTGCTCGTGTATTCCAGTCCCGAGTCAGAGGTAGTCCTAGATGCACTCTGTATGCAAACAACTGATTACCTCAGTGTGGTCTCCAAGGAGAAGGTACCAAAGAAACAACAGAAAAATTGAGCTTCTCCGCCTCATTTTTTCCCAATGAGGTCTTGTTTGTACTGTGCGTTCAGCAAGGGTGAGGGAAATAAATGATCTTGTGCTGCAGGGCAATATAATTCAAGAAAAATGTCAATTTGCATTCTTGAAAAAAATCTCATTTACACAAGGTAATTAGTTGGGCCTTTCTCTAAATAAGATCCATTTCTACTGATTGATTTCCAGGTGCTCAAATTCAGAGAAATATTAGGCTATTTTCTAGGGAGCAGGCTTTGTAAGAGAGTCTGCTGTTGATGTCGCAGCATCACCTTTTCCTCCAGGTAAAACTTGCTCCTCCCTTTACTCTCCTGTCACCTCATATGCACACAGTCATAGTTTCCGGACGACTCCTGTCACCTGCTGAAATTCTCATCGTTACCTTTCTTTCCTTCTCTCTTGCTATATTTAATTTTCACATTCAACGTCTCCTTTTCTCAGGTCAATTTCTATATATATTTCCTGTTTGATGAATTATAAGTCATGACAGCAGGATCTCACTCTATCATACTTTTCACTCTGTAAAATTCAAGGCGATTGGATTCTGTAGCCTCTCTCCCTTTTATTTGAAACAGCATTATGATTTTATTGATAATGCTCAAGTATTCTGCTGTCTCTTGGATCTCTGATCATTCTTTCTTTATCAACCATAAACATCATGACACATACATTTTGAGTTGGTTTGAACTGAAATGCGTATTTTAAAAATGACGAAGACATGAGACATGAAAAAAGAAATACAAAAAAATGTTCAAAGCTACAAACAGGACCCTTTAATGATTAAATATGCAAGTTCAAAAAGAAGTGGAAAGAAATTAGGGCCGACGTCATTTTGCAATTGTCAATATATTCAGTGTCAAATGAATAAATAAATAAAGGTTGGTTTTTGATGTGTGTAGGTAGGCTATGTCCTACATCGGAGACATGACTCCACCCTATTCAGTCCGTAACAAAGGAGGAAAGACAGGTGAGGAGATGGAGGACGGTTCAAAAGTTGTAGCGGCTAAGGTAGATGTGTGATGGAGCGACGGCTAAGGTAGACGAAGTTAGTGTGGGAGGGGGTGAGCAGCTTGTGGAGTAGTTATCGTCCATTTATTGTTATCGAGGTGAGCTGCTCAATATATCGTGATATTGATTTGAGGCCATATCGCCTTGCCCTGTAAGAAATGCAACTTACTTAATCCTATCTGTTTTTAAATTGATAAAAGCTAACTATTTATCTTTCTCTTATTGATTTTGACCAACACAATATTGAGTTTCTTAGCTTTGGTATTAACCTGTCTTACAACAACATAAAAAGTATTTACATCTGTAACCGCTATACCTGTACTTGGCAGAATGGTTATAATGGAAGGAAGCCAGGGAGTGTTCAGGACCATTTAAAACTGCAATAATATTTCAGGTTTGGCTGTATTTTATGGAAATTTGATATCTGTTGTTGAAGTTTTTAATGTTGTCTTGATTTGCTCTTTCTTTTTGAACCATTGTTTTGATTATTCACTGTAAGCTCCTTATTTGCTATTGCAGGAGTCATATCCTGGCACCAAAAACTTTTGTCTTTATACTCAGATGTAACTCACTAAAACCTTTCTTTTGTCAGCTTCAGTAGTTATGCCAAGCCTTAAACTGACTAAAAGTTATTTAGTCAGTTAGTTAGTTAAAGAAATTTAAACAAAACAAAATAGAAAATTAAATTGGAAAGAAGTTCTTTTACAGGGCCTTGGAACTGTCATTTTATAGCTTACAAGCTTACAAGCTTGTCTTTTGTCCTTTGTCTTTTTACCCTGTGATTATTTAAAATTCATAAAAGGGCTTTCTAATCAAACACAGTTCAAAATGACGAGTTTATCCTGTCATTGATGATATGAATAGAGTTAGCGAAAATAAACTGTAAACACCGTAATTAAACCCCAGCATCTTTGGAAAAAATATTAATTGGATAGGATAACTTCTTTTTTACAGTTTTCACAGAATAAGATCTTTATCTTATATCAAATGGGATTTATTACAAGATAGTTGTAATAGTCTGCATTTATTCTACAATGGTTGTTCTCTTTTAAAATCAGTGTCTCAAAATTAATCTCAGTGAAATTTCCCACTCCTCAAACATTGGGTAAATATAAATTGGCCAGAAGGAGGTTTAAAAAAGTAGAGTGAAATTGTTTTAACTAGTGGTGGCATGATCATATTAAGGCTGCTGGATGTATTTTACACTGAAACTGACTTTTAGCCCGAAGGACCTTTGACTGCACAGATAAGCATTATTGTTTAAAAACTAAGACAAACCCCCTCACCATGCCCTGTTTTTTATGGCTCTTTATGGCCACAGCAAATAAAATTTTCCACTTAACACTTGCTTTGTGCTGAGTCCTGAACTTTGTTGATAACCTAAAACTGCATGAAGCGAAAAAATATCTTCTGGGCATTGTAATGTTTATGCCTGGGTACTAAGATGTCCACTTTGTTTATTCTCTTTGTTTTCATATTTTATGGAATGCCTGAGAATTTCTGGCTTTAATGAAGATTACATGTTTAGAGGAGGAACTTCTCTCAATGTCATTATTTCAGCGTGAAATGACCCACCCTCTCTTCTTCCGAACCCAGGTGTCTGATGAATCATCAGACTCCCCAGAACCAGGGCTGGTCACCTGCATGGAGCCCTTCATGGTGCGGAGGCTGTCTTGCCGGACGATCCAGCTGCCCCCTTTAGCCTTCAGACAGGCAGAGCAGTACTACTGTGATCGCAAGTCTGAGCCAGACACAGTCACGGTTCCACCACGGCCAACAACACTGCCTCTACGCACCCCTCCACTCATCGCAATCACCTCTGCTGACACTAGCAGGTGGGTCGATGTGTGAGTGTGTCTTTTCACGAACAAAACGCCTGTCAGGGGACTTGGTAATTAGACCTGAGGAGGTGAGCAGAGTGAGTGGTTTGATAGATCAATACAGCAGCTGTGGGAAGTGACTGGGGACATACAGAGTCTCATGTTAAGTACCTGACACTCATCTTAATGGTGCAGATGTGATCATTAATCATTTACTGATGGTGAAGATAATCATCTATCAGGTGTGTAGTTTGGAGGCTTTCAATCATTTTTCAATCAGAACCACCAGAAGTCACTCACCAGTGGCACAAAATGACACAAAGGAGAAAATTTTGTTTTGTTTTTTTGTAACCACATTGTTAAAGAAACAAGGAGAAAGGAAAAGTGCCTTGAGGTATTTGAGCTACTGGTCTGCACTGCTTTAAGATTTATTAAAATGCAACTTTTGATACGCTCAGTTTTTCTGTGGAAGGGGACTTGCAGTGGACGGTAATGTATCTGAACTAAATGGAGCTGAAAGGTTTCACACAGTTAAACTTATCTGCAGAGTAAGTCCAACTAGATATTCTCCTATTTTTTAGAATAATTTACCACACTTATTTTCAGAATTTCCAAGCTGTTTAAGCCCCTGGAATATGCCAGAGAAAGAAAACAAAATTAAGACAAGCAATTGTTGTGCATCACAAGTTGCATCAGATAATAGTTTTAGTTGCATCTAATGATAGAGTCTACCTCTGTTTTTATTGAGCTCATCCTAGAGCAGGGTAATATACAGTGCAGGGTCTTCTAATCTGAGGCACAGACGATTTAAAAGACGGAGGTACCGGTGTTGAATGTTGATTAATCATAATGTTGTCAGTTCAGTGTGCCTCTTACTGTATGCAGAAAGGGAGATGTCGGCGTATTGATTGTGATGGATTACCTTCTCAACTCCCATATCTCTTCATAATGAGTAACACAATGTACTGATATTAATAAAAAGCAATGGCTGCCGTAGACGAAGGACATTAATTCCTGTGATCTTGAAACGGGTTGGCAGAAATTCAAAGCAGTCACCTAACAACATACAAACCATTGGTATGTAAATCATACCTGACTGACTTACATGCTGTAGGATGGATGACTCATCAAAAATCAAGGCCTGTGGGTTTATTTTCATCACCACTGTCACTTAGTGATCTGAACAGGGATGTAATTCATCATTTGAAACCTGATAAGCAAGATAAAAGCAGGAAGTTACAGTCACTCTTTACTCTTTTAAAAACCTTTTCTTCAAAGATTTTTTTTTTTACACATATTGTTGTGGTTTTGGTTAATCTACAGGATTTTATGACAATGCAATGTTTCTTTCTTTTAAACTTTTAGTGACCTTAATATCAAAGTATTTGTGTTTTAACAGTTTGAACACAATAACAAATATATGAGCAGTACTTTTGGTTTGGCACTTGCAGTCACACATGCTTGGAAAACATGAGCAAACAACAGCTGAGGGAAGAATCACACCCTACACGCTGGAGAATGTATCAGAGTGGTTTGGATGAAATGAGATTTGGCAGAAACAGACTCAGAGTCTCCAACCAGCTTGATTCTCTGAGGAGAGACAGAAACAAAAATACCAAACAGCACTCGCTATCAAAGACAGGAATTCAGTGGGGATGTCATAATTTTACTCAGTGAGCAATCCAGAAAGAGACAGTTGGAAAATAGCTTATGAATTCAGTGGTCACACCTATTCATGGGTGGAAAATCCCCATTGTCCTGAGTTAGTATTGGACCCTGTCAATCACGGAGAAAGTGGTTCCTCTCTGCTTGGCCTTTGATTGTGATCGCATGCTTCAAAGGGCTCTGCATCTCTATCATCATCCTCATCGTTCTGCTACCTGCATGGCACTGTTCAACAGTTCATCATGTGCCAGATGAGAAAGAAAATGCATCAGCTTACTCTTTTTTTTTACCCACTACTCTTTCCTGTCTTGGCTTTCTCTCTATTTTTTTTGCCAAAGATGACAGGACTGGAAGGAAAACAACAACAAGCAAAAAGAGCAGTGAGGTACAGCCTATTAAATTGGCCCAGGCTGTTAGAACTGCTTTAATTAGAGAATATGTTGCTAGTAGACAGACTTAATAAGCAAGAATAAAGTGTTATTGACTTGTGTCTTCCTGGAAAATGAGAAAAGCTGGCGTCCCTGAGTTCTGAATAACAATTTCAGACAGGTGGAACAATTTTCATGGCAACTGTGATACGCAACAGGACTGAAACGTCTGCTTCCAAATTACAACTAAAATACCAAGAACACATTATCAGGAATTCAAAGTATTCTTCCATTTGTCTGATGTTCTGAGTCTGCATCAGAAAACTATATTGTTCTTAAAATGTTCATAGACAAAAATGATAATGCTAAAAAGTAGATGTATTGAAAATTCCCCACTGAATAAAACTTTAAGGGAAGCTTAAAGGGATATTCCGGTGTAAATTTAAGTTAGGGTCAAACACACGGTAACTTTGAGTTAGACACCCCCTCGAGAGATGAATGTAGCCGACCGCTTGCTTCTCTAGTTATACCAACCTCAGCAACAACCACACAATAGCAATACACAGTGGTCTCAACCAAAAAGCCACTCTATAGCCACAAATAATGCTCAGAACAGCACCTAACTTCATCAACAGTACATAAAGGGTCCCAGCTATAGTACTAGCCATCAAACATCTTTTTAGCTTTGCCTGATTTCTTTAGCAAAGAGACCAAACACAACTCACCCACTCTCTTCCAGCAGCCGCTTGTTTGGGGGGGAGCCCTGACGAGTTGATCACAGAGTGCAGCGGAGTTGCGCAGCTCAAGGAAGAACATTTATAATTATTATTTCATGGAAATGCAATCAGAGTTCTTGCAAGCAGTCAGCAACATTCATCGCTCGAGGAGGTGTCTCACTCGGTGTTACGGTGTGTTTGACCACAACTAAAATTCATGCCTGAATATCCCTGTAAGAAAGGGGAAGATTTCCTCAAGTGTGTCAAACTGCCTGAACTTTAAATATCATGTCACAATGGCACGTAAAATGAAGGGAAGTTGTAGAGTTGTCTGAGGAAAACAAAGAGAGGTCATGTCTGTCACCATTTTTTTTGTAGATAATAGTGAAAGATCTACTTTGACTTGTTATAGCTTATCCTTAACCTTGTTTTGTTGTATAAGGAAAACTTAAAATGTCTCTTTCTTATTCTACTTTTCAAACTATTTGCAAGCATAACTAAAAAAAACAAAAAACTAAATCTAAATGGAAACCCAGAGATTTGTGATTATGCAGCCTTGTCTGAATGCAAAAACCTCCTATGTTAGATTAAAGCATAAGTCATTCTCCACCACGCTAACACCACCACAAGCTACTTTGACTGCTTTTATAACAGAGCCTACAAAGTATGAGCAATACAGGAAAATTATGGAGCAGCAGAAGATAAAAAAAATGCTTGATGAGGTAATTTAAACAAAGGAGATTCATCTTGGCTAGCTTCAAGCTTGTTTCATCTATAATTTAGCACAAAGGGAAGGAAGTAATATACAAATGTGAAGCATTGAAGGTAGAAGAGGAGCCAAACTTAATGCTCCAACTTTAATGTTGGAGTGTATTCAGTCACTGTATCTTTGTATGCTGCTCAGTGAGGCTGTCTTTGCTAGAAGAAACATAATGTAGATTTATTTTTCAGCTGCTGTCATTATACAAACAGAAAACAACAATTCTTTCCGTAAGGTAGTTAATGCTTTTATCTCTACCTCTTCTCTGTGGCTTGCAAACAGTATCACAGCTATTTAAAATCCATGGTAGGGGATTTTGACTTAACATACAGCACTCCCCTCAAAATACATCAGCATTGATTGCAGTAGTAGTTTCCAGTCCCATGAGAGCCCTATTGTCTGGAACTCTAAATACCGTAACAGGGGCAAACAGTGGATGAAGTTTTGTTCCAACTACATAAACACAAGAGATATAAAACATTACTGAAAAGGGCTGTATTAATAACCATGGTTGTGTTTAGATATTGAGCTATTTGGGTTCCAAGCAAAGTATCAGCACATTTATTTCCCACACACCAAAACACCATCCCAAGAGTCAAGTGCATTTTATGGATGTTGATACAGATCAGACCATTCGCCCTCCTGATATTTTATCCCAGTGCTAGATTTAGTGTGTTTTATACCCCCTGTCTATCCAATGGCAGTGCTGTTCGTCTCTTTTTAATTAAAATTGAGTACACTCTGTGAGCAATCAATTACGTTCTTCCAATTTTGTTCAGGTAACAGAAAACTGCAACAGTTTTTAACCTAAAGTTAGAAACATTTATACACTAAAATGTCAAAACGGTTATTACAGTCACCCTTGCAGGCCCTGGGAATTTAAACCGTGACAAGAAAACTATATATCTGTGAATCGGTTGGGTTGGGCTGAGAACCTGCTCTTTTTAATCAGGTCAGTATCGACATAGATACAAATCAGGTGGAATGACTAATTACCCACCAAACCAATAGTTATTTCAGCCATTATCCCATTGTCTACAAAGACCAGACACAGAAGTAGGAGTGAAAATACAAGGCCATGTAAAAAAAGGAAGAAAGCATATACAGATGAGGTGTCAAAAGGTTTTCTATTGTGCACAAAATATTCCACTTTGCTACATATGCTGTGTTTCTGCATCCATGCAATTGTTGAATTGAATGCTGCTCATGCATAGCACACATATGTTCTTATTCTCTGCACACTGTCCTGCCGTCATCACACTTACCTGCCACTTCTGCTTAAGTCACCTTTTTTTTTCTCAGAGTGATTACATTTCTGCTGTTCCAGCAGGAGAGATTGCATTCCCCACACTGTTACTTTCCAGAGAAATGGGCTTTAGCTGCAAGGAGAGGGAGGAATAAGGCTAGTCTTCCCTGAAAGTCCCTTTTTTTCCTCTGGAAATGATGACAAACAGGACAAAGGAGGAAGGATAAAACAACATCTTTTGTATCAAATTTACATCACAGACACATTTATCCAGTTGTAACCTGCAGTTTAGTTAATTCCTCTCAAGGTGAGTTTATTTTACCATCCATCTAAAGGCTGCAGTTAGAAATTCCTGACTTGAAAAACACACAAAAAAATGCATTTTTGTGATAAACCCACATTTAAACCATGAAAGTGATGTAGTATTTTGGATGATTTATCCACCTGGCTCTTTGCCCACTCCCACCTCCTGCTCTCGCCCTTGTGGAGGATTTCAGGGGAGGTGCTTTGGGTGGGTCCCTCATGTTTAATGTACTATCCTGTTCCCTATATCCCGTCGCCGCTTGTTCCTGCAGGGGGACTTGAAGAGGGGGAGAACAGTGTTGACATGTCTGGATGGGCTCACCTTATCTCAACTAAGCATCAGCCTCGGGGATTTACTCAAGTTTGTGTGGTATTGTGGAGAGACCATCCGCCGGTGCTGACTGTCCTGTTGTGAACATTTTTCACTGTGCCTGTCGCTGCACCTTGCTGAAATGGGCGTGCACGAGGGAAGCCAGGAGGACTTGGACACCAAACACGAGTGACAGTTCCTCGTTCAGAGACAGTTCTCTTTTCCAGACCGTTTCCACTGAGGTGTTATCGTGATGCGTAAATGGATTCAGTTTTGGCTCTGTCCAATGTTTTTACGCAGGGCAGAGAGGATAAAGTTCGTGGAGTTAAACTTGTCACGTGAGTTTCAAAAAAAAAACTGGACGTGAATCAGGGACATTAAGAGAGAAAAAAGTCAAATTACCTTAAGGGTTAATATTTAAAACTAAAGAGCTGATTTTCAATTTCTAGAAATAACAAAACACCTTTACTTGCAGTGTAATCTATCCCCCATTATGATCTTTTAATGCTCCCAAAGTGTTGATTTCCTTTATTTCTGTATTTAAAAAATAGTATACTAAAAAGTCGGGGGTAGGATGGACCCTGCGTGCAGTACAGTAGGGACGGCGTCTTTGGTGGCCGGCGGCGGAACCGGCGTGAGTACGAAGGCGCCCAAACATCTGTGGAGGCAGCAGAATCAGGCAGCGCTCTCTCCGCTCCACCACGCGCTGGTAGTGCGCAAGAACGACCGCGTGAGACAAAGAGGCTTTTCGGACACCGAGAGATACCTCAACCCGAGGAACATGGACCGGACTTACGCGGTGGACACGGGGCACCGACCCGGACTGAAGAAATCCAGGATGTCTTGGCCGTCGTCGTTTCAAGGTCTTCGACGGTAAGGGCAAAGAGGAAACTGCTTTTCCTTGTTTTTGTCTCTTTCTAATTTGGCTCGACGGAGCTGACGATGGGCGTTGTGTGCATGACTGATGCGCGCGAGGGCTTTTAAGTGTTCGGGGTCGGATTTGGTCCGAACTTTGAGGACATTTGCAACATTGTTGGTTCAGTTTGTAGTCGACCTTTTTATTTTACGGCACTTTTTGTTACACTGTGTGGAACGGGTTCACCATGTGCACTAGCTCACTATAAAGGAAGATAAAGTATATGCCTTATTGGTCGGTGTCGAAAAGGTACAAATAGGGTAGGAAGACACAAAAATCCCTTCTATAAGGTCGTCTCGCTTATTTTCTTTACACTTTACTCTCGATATCCAGCCACTTCAAAGATAGTTGTACAGTTAAGATGGACTCACGGTTGATAGTCTCATTTAAGGAGGGAACAGATTCTCCGGAGAGAAAAGTACAGACAGGTCAGTAGATAGTAAGACAGAGTTACCACCGGCTGTTGTATTAAAGTAACATTTCTTCGTTTTTATGTGTCTGTTAGATTTATCAAAATGGTGTAATTAGTGAAGCCTGGCAAAAGAGGCTGGTAGAAATGAGAGGTAGGCGTTAACCGAAGGCAGGTCAGAGCCCTGAACGCAACACAAACACACACATCCTCCTTGTGTCTTTATTAAGCCAGTGTTTAGTGATCTTCAGGGATTTATTGCACTAAGCTGTAGATCACAGGGGTGTTCATGTTAGTTCAGGGAAATTATCCCTCTGCACCCTGTGAGGAGAGGGGCTTTACACTACTACTAGTATAGCACATATTCTCTGATGTGTCACCATAATCTGGCTCTCTACACATGACAGCATGGATAATTCCTGCATTCGTACGAGAAGTACTGGTTTCCTTAGACGTTTCCTGTGAATTGTGAACAAAGTGGTGACGGTAAAACAAAGACAGCAATGTTTCAGTGAAGCCTGCCTGCATACAGAGTCACTTGGATCTCTGCACTCAGACAGCCAGGGTGGTTGGGGAAATGTTTCTGCTCTAATTACTCACTTATTCTGGGAAGGATGGAGAGAGAGAAAAAAGAGCAACTAAATGAAATCTGAGAAGGTCACCTCAGCTCTTCGGCTTAAGTGACTGTATCGGATGTAGGTTTCTGCCAAACAGTGTGATGCTTTTCTGTGTCTTTCTGCCTTTTTTCATTGGCTATAAAAAAAAGGTGCTTAATATGGGAGTGATACTCGCCTGTAGGTCCAGTGAAGTAGAGAAGTGGAGCCCACTGACAGAACGGTCCCTGTCACAGAAGCAGAGCAGTCATATGGAGGAGAAGCCAAGGAAGGAAGGAGGGAGGGAGGGAGGGAGGGAGTAATGAGAGCACAGATGAAAGTGACATTGCAAAGTGATGTGCTGCACCGCAACACTCTTGGTATGAAAGTGTTACATCCGTCATACTTTACCACAACAAAGTATAATTTAACCGGAAACTTAAATCAGTGTCGCTCCAGGTATCAAATGAGACAGAGATTGACTGACAGAAATCAAACACAACACAGGAGTCGTGTGAACTTTGTTGCTTGCTACACTTTGTTTAGAGACATTAAGTACGGCATTGAAAAGGTTTTGACCTTTAAACTTCACGGGCCTGTGCACCGTTATTTGTCGTTGATCGGTAAATTGATTGCGTTGTTTTATGTGCAATCATCTCCGGTGTTCTCGCACTGTACCCCATAGAAGCTTTTACCAGAGATGTAAATGGGCACACTTTGTATGAAGAATCTTAGTATACAATCAGATCAACACATATTGTGCACAGTTACAATGCAGATGATGAAATAATGCACAACAATCAAGGGAGCAGCTGTTGCATATAAGCAGAACAGCTGCAATGAAATGGGTAAAGTAAATAAATGCAGCGCTCCCTCGGTGAGGCTTTTTTTGTCTGTGTAAATTTAGTTATACTGAAACCTAGAAAATGAGTCACAGATTTAAAAAATTCATAAATCCTTGTTTCATATATCAAACAATGTTGCTTGGCATATTGCCTTATTGATTGTGTTGTCCAAACACCACTGAATTGCCCCCCTGGCATTTATTGCATTGACTCCATTGATTTGAAAGCCTTTCAGAGGCCTTTGTGAATCTGCAGCTAAGCTAATGGAAACAGGCTAACCCCTCCTCTATTGCTTTGAATGTCTTTTTTTGCATGCATTATACACCATTTAACAGAGCTGGTGTGCGTGTGTGTGTGTGTGTGTGTGTGTGTGTGTGTGTGTGTGTGTGTGTGTGTGTGTGTTTTCCCCCTTTTCAATGCCTCATCAATGCATTTAATTGACTTTTTGAATTAAAAAGGCAGTAGCAGGTCACATACCGTCAAGTGAAAAACTCGGCAATCAAGTTGTTGCTGTGAGTCAGATGCACAAGACGTGTTTCCTGATTATAAGAGACAGATCTAAACAACTTCTGAGGCAGTGTCCCTGAAGAAAACTAATACGAAGAGCCAGCTACTTGCTCAACACTTTCACATGATATCAATCCTCTGCACAGAGAAAGACAACAAATCGCTCCGTCTGAGGACTGTGGATGCTGCTGTGTGTGTGTGTGTGTGTGTGTCCGAGTGGCTGGTTTAGTGCAAGGTCCAGCAGCCCCAAGGTAAAACACATCACCCAAATGTGTCACAATGTAGGCAGGGCCGCTATGCGGCTCAAGGCCTCCGTGAGACCTCAGCAAGAATCTGGAGCATCGTGTGATGAGGAGATGGCATTTCTCCCATTCCTTTTCTTCTGCTTGCCTGTCCCTGCCAGGAACACTGTAGGGGTTTTTTCTTTATCTGTGGAGATGTCTGTGAAGAGGGGAAACATTAGTTCACTTCTCTCTGTCA